GGAAATTGTGGATGGTGGGGCTGTGTAAAGTGGCCCCAGCCCACAGTCTAAGCTGAGTAAGAAAAGAAAGTCTGAGGAAGTCCACGGTCCTAGGCAGCCCCAGCAAGACCGCCAACATCATTTCTGTTTGTCTGTGAGGAATTGGGCTACATAATTCGATTCGCCGCAAGCGCATTCAAACATCCTTAAAACTTAAACAAAGAGAAAGGGCCCAGCGAAAGCAAGCTGCTTAGCGAGCATAGAAGACGCATCAGGAAAACGAAAAGCCTCCACGCAGGTTGCGGCGCAGGGAGTGGGGACTAAATAAAGGGAGCACTTGCGTACCCACAACGGGTTGATTCCATGGCGACACAAGTTCAAATAAAAGGCTGCGCAGTGCTAGTTTTACTTGACGCTGAAATTGAAGTGGATTTCGTATCCTAGAAGGCGGCGCAGAAGTGCTATTCACTTGTCAGCACAGTCCTTTAGACTCAAGTTTGCTTATGAGTAGCTGAACCCAATGAATGGCAGGCTAAGGAAACCGAATGCCAATTTAAGTTAGAATTGGGTCGGACCAAATCGTTCGCTTCTCAACAACGCTCAGTTCACCTATAATAAACGAGTTCAAGCTGGTTATTCAACGAGGCGAGGCAGAGTCACTATGAGGACGACTCAAAGGCGCAGAAAGAGAAGACGTTTGAGCATGCATATCTACCCTCGCCCTTTAAATATTTCAAACAAATAAATGTCATTGAAATTTCAACGGACCGACACCATAAACTAGAAACTACTACAGAGGAGTTCATGGAGGTGCCATATATGAGCTAATTACTTGGTCATCCGTAACCTATATACTGCGGTATTAAAAGTCTCACAGCATCAAGAGGATGCTGAGAGGCGAGCGGAGAGTCTGGGGGCAAAAGGTAAAGTGCGGGAATCGTCAAGCGCTTTGGGGCATTGACATATGTTGGTGCCGAAGAGAGACGGCAGACGGCATATTAATTGACCCGGATTCACTAGAATGAGAAATATGTTAAGGCGTAATTTTCGCCTTTTCGCACCTGCATGAGCGTCGCAAAGTTCTACGCGCTTGCATGTTACTACCGAATCTTTATTATTCCATTTTCTCGAACAGCTGTTCGTTCGATTAATTTACTTACGATAACGCTCTATAACTCCAGCAAAGGGGGCTGTTGCGGCGGCAAGTACACTTATCAGCCGCTTCACAAATATTTCGCTACTTGCGCTGCCCTATTATATCCATCCTTTATTCCAAAAAATCAATGCTCATGACGAGGCGGTGACTGCCCCCCACTCCCCAAAGGCTACAGGTTCTCCACAAAACCAAATTATTGCTTGCTACTCTCATCGCTTCACCAAAATCCAAAAGTGGTATCCATCGCGTGAAAAAGGACTCATGCACTGCGCTGTGAAGCAAAAGTGCCGACACCATTCAGACGGTGTCAGGTTGCTTGCCGAACCAGCCATCAAATTGTAGCGAAACTTACGAAGAGGCTTCAAAAATATAATTATCCTAGAGCGGTTCGCTAGCTTGAGTGTTTTTGGCAGTATGACCATTACATAAAAGTATACTAAGGACATCACCACCTGGGAAGCCAACCTCCTTTGCGACGCCTCAGGTATTCGCTATCGGGCAACGCGACCGCTCTTCTCTGTAACGAAGTGCACTTACTTTTGAAGAAGTGTGTGTTCTTATGCTGTATGATACCAACGCATGTGCTACTATTACTGAAATCTAGAATGACAAAATAGTGAGAACACAACCATGATGGGAATGATCTCGTGCGGGTCAAAACAAAGCGGTTTGTACATTCACACAGAATTTGCTCTGCAGCGCTGTTTTATGCAGAGCATATCATAATGCTCTAGGCCATGATAAAATCACACCACAGTGGTTAAGCTTTCACGTCTTTTCGGTGGACTGAGATTGTCAGCAAGCTAAGCTGTGCAATTTTCCCAAGCCCTGCCTTCCGCCAGGCCTTCTAATTCCTGAATGTTTTCTGACAGATATGGCTCTGGACCCGGTCGTTGGGTTGTCAGACGTCAAGAGTCAGGGTAGCGTCTATGTCGCTGTAAGCACACCCAGCAAAGATGCCCATTTGGACCCAGAATCACCCTGAAGCAAAAGGAAATAAAAGTAACGAGTCCAGCAACCGCACTCTTCTGCCTTGTGTGCGACTCTATGCTTAAGATTTCTATTTACTTGGCCTAAATTTCTTTTCAGCGCTGAGTAGGTTTTACAGCTATACGCCTTCTTTGTCTGTTGTTCTCCTGCATTCCTGGTCTGCCCAAAGAACCCCTTCCTCGATCCATGCCTTGACCTGGTGGTCCTAATCCAGCAGCTGCTTTTAAGGGAGGAGGGATTTGGAGAATGCTTGGCAAGGGCATGCATATATATTCGCAAAGCTCAAGAGACAGCCAGCAAAATGCTGTAAGCGGAGGTCGGCTGTTGTTTGGAGCTTGCAGATTCGGTTCTTTGATGCCAGGCTTCACGAGATGCACCCAGAGGTTACCGGATGACGATGTTTGTGGCTACGTGTCGTGGCCCTCTCAAGTCTTTTTCGTATCAAAACTCTTTGTTTCTCTGCCGATGCGCCTATTTAAAGGATGTTACAAAGATCCCTGAATTATTCGCGCCATTCCCGTAGCAAGCAAGTGACCCCTGTGGCGGCTGAGTGTTCCTACGAAGCCTCGTATGTACTTTATTCTAGGATCATGGAGCGCTGATGGCAGATTAGACAAAAGGTGAAGGGAAGGGGGGGGAGAGCCAGCTCTACTGGCTTACACAGGATCAGATGGAGGTTTCATTAATTGTGGCAGAGCATGCGGCTCTAGTTGCTAGCAACACGAGTGGCTGTGAATGGTCTTTCTCGCGTGCCTGGACAGCTGTTTTTCCCAAGTGCATGCTTTACCTGACTTCGCTACTTTCACCAGAATATATCGCTTGAAAAGCCTCCTAGTATTATTGTTGAGGTGTTCTCTGCACTCATATATAGGCACACTTTCTCAGGTATGGTGTCCCTAAATTCTGCCCTGTGCCTTCTCTGGAGCTGCGAAATTTGCTATGCTGCATGCAGCGGCTCTATACGCATGAAGAGACTGCTCTATGAGACTAGGGGACACTGGCGAACTAATATGAATTCCGATTTTCTTCACAGATTTCACTTGTCATCTGTAACCTCGTGGCATTAGGCTCATACATTCCAGCACGCCGAAGAGATCGAGCATGGCGCCTCCGTGGTCGTGTTTGTTTGGTGTTTGGTTCATTGTTGGCTAGTCTGTACATGTTTCTTCCTGCTAATTTTGCTTTATTGGTTGATGCAGACATGTGCGTTTTTTTTTCACTGTTTTCGCCTTTGTGCCCTACCTGGAAAACTGCGATCGCGCGGAATGTCTTCCACTCTTCGGCGCGCAGTTGGCTCGGATGTACAGCTACGGAGCACAAGGGCAAGCTTTTTGAAACGGGATGGGGGAGAGACTTTCAAAGCTAGATCAGATCACTTTGTACCATATTAGTTATTAGCTAAGATTTAGTAGGGTGTTGAGTAGCTGGACTTTCTCTTCGTACTTTTCAGGTTTTTTATAGAGTACTGTAAGTGGGATAAATGAAAACGCAATGCTGTGCGTGTGCTAGATGAAACGATCTAAAGTGAAGCAAAAGTGTAAGCTGAAAAAACAGAAATTACAAACACACAAATCAAGGAATCCATCCCTCACTGCTTCTGAGCTAAATGCGGCCTGGGTAGTAGCAAGTGTTTATGTGGAGCGTTGCCCCGCTACACTCACGGTTTTTTTCCGGGGTCCCTGCTCGCGTTTTGACAAGTGGTGGTGAAGCGGTGGTAATCAATTGCACAGGACAGTGCAGTAAGCTGTAAGCGGCTACAAGTAATACTCTACTGTAGAGGTCTCCTTGTATTGCCTCCACATTTCGCGTCCGGTCCCTATATGTTTAATAGAGTACAGATTTTCTGTAATTACCGTGGGTCCAAGCATACTAAGCTGCGTTGTCACAGGACGGCCTCAGGAGTCGCAATCGCAGCGCCAAGCGCCTGACTATAAATGGTGTCCTGAAAATAAGGCTCATCTTGAGGGGGATTGAAAAGGGTGGTTGGGGGAATCGCTACCACTGCTAACGAGCAATAAATTGTGCGATAGGGACTGCATGCCTAGGGCACGTCACAGGTTAGTCAGCGACGGGTACCTTCATAAGCAAAAATAAGCTGGGGAAGGTAAGGGGCTTGTCGATGGGAGCAGTATCAGCGCTTTGATCCCCCACGACAGCCCAGTGTGATTAAATGAACCAAGACCGGGAGGATACGAGTTGCTAGCTCAGTCTGTAAGCTCTGGATGGGCAGATAGAAACTTTACTTACTAAGTTTCTTGCTGCCGCTTTTCAAGAAAAAAACTATTCATATCGGTATTCGCACAAGCCTGTGCGCCAAGACGCCTTGTGGACTGCTCGAGGTACTTTAACATAACACTGAATATATTTGTCTTCTATATGGGGGGAAGATGGGGGCTTCCGATAAGATATCTATAGTAGCATTTTAAGAGCAGTTATTTCGGGTAATCGTCGCATGGGACAGTCAGGAGCAGAATGAGTGGTACAACCGACCGCTGCCGACCAACGGGGCCGCCCCTGAGGCTTGGCTGCCTGCTGCGGCGACCTCATAGCCTTTAGCTCGCACACAGTCGTCCCATCTCTCAACAAGTCCTTCGTTACTCAAAAACAACAAAATACAACCAGCTGGAATTGAGATTCCATGGCCACGATTCCTCTGCCTCACGGAGTATATGTGCTTAGCGCGTGCCGGCCTGGCTGCGCTCTCGGTCGGCTGCAAGTTGTTCGTGTGCCGCCCAGCCCATCGATAGAGCGTCATTTCAGTTGATATCATTGCCAAGTAGCTCGAAGTCTGTGGGAGACAATCTGTTCCTTTGTCTCTTACCACTTATCCTCTTCTTCTTGTTCTTTCGAACCGAAGAAGCAGAGAGTCGGCACCATGGCCACTCTGCGCGATATCCGGATGCCGACTTGGCAAGAACTCCAGCGTTATCTACGAGACCCAGAGATTCTAACTGCTGAGGTCTTGTTCTTGGTATTGACTTTGTCAAACATTTTCGTGGTGTACCGCCTTTTCCTAGATGTCGTGCCTTTCCCGGTCTTCGTTACCTGGTGGCAGCTGGCCCAAGGCCTGCTCATGGCTTGGTGCCTCGGTGAGCTCGGTCATGAATACCCAAAGTTCGCGTACTTTCCACGAGTGGAAATCGACAAACGGATACTGAAGCGGCTTCTCGTTCCAACAATTGTCAACGCGTTAATGCTCGTTTTGGCTAACGTCCTTCTGTACCGTGTGCAGTGCATCGCAACTCTCCCCGTTGTAGTTGCCTTTGCAGTTGTGCTTCATCACATCACCAGATTTGTGGGCTGTGGGGAGGAATACATGCCAATGAGATGGCAGGCTATTGGCCTGTTGTTCCTCGCCTTCATCCTTGGCATCACAGACCCCAAGACTGTTGGATCGGAGGTCCTGCCATGGGCTCTACTGTATGCAATTTTCTCTGCCGCCTTTCGTGCTGCTTTCCTCCAGAAGGTTATGCATGAGGTCGAGGGCAAGGGAAACCTGCTACATAACCACCAGCATTTGATCTCCATCATCGCGTTGCCAGTGCTCATGGTGCTATGCGGCGAGGGTTCAGTCCTCAGTGCCATGCCCTTGAACCCCTCTTCGTTGTACACATGGCAGACATGGGGATGTCTCGTCACTGTTGGAGCTCTCCCTTTCCTTAAGAACATCGTGTCCAACCGCTTAATTCGGAGGACAGGACAGGGCCCATGGCGGTGCCTTGAAGTCCTATCTATTGTCCTGGTCTTCATTATTGGCATTACATTCGGCAGCCCTGGATGGCAAGGATATGTAGCAATTCTTTTAGTTGTTGCCGGCCGAGCCTTGGGAGCATGCGACGTCCTGATAAACGCTGCTGAGGTAGAGCAACAAACCGAAATGCGGGGGGGAGGAGCAATGCGCTCCCCCTCTGACTCAGGGGCCGAGCTGGAACACGGAGGATCCAAGCAATACCTTCAGTCCATTGAGGAGGATAGTGGAGAGGTAAGCACAGCGAATAACCATAGCTTCATGCTTACAGAGGTCAATGATGTAAATAAAACCATCACACAGTTTCGTCAATCCGCATCACACAACCAAAAGTACGTATGCGCGTGCATAGTGGTTGGCTACTGTATTAAGCTTGGCTGTGTCTTTATTACTGGTGTAACACCGTGTCTGGCTTCTCGTGTTTTATTCAGGCCTATGGAGAGCTTCCCGAAGCCGAGTAGGGTGCGATTTAATGCGCCACAGGGTCTGAGCCGATTCTAGGCTATTCAATTAAGTGCTTTAGTGGAACGCGCAACTGCGAGAGTTGCAAGTTTAGGTGCTGGAGAAATTTAGGTTGAACTGTAGGCGGCAGTGCCATATCAATGGCGCTGTCGCCTGACCACCAGTTACGGAGGCAGAGCGCACTGTACCGAGTGCTGCTCTTGCTTTGGGGTGCATGCAAATCCCAAGTGATTACAGTGTAATATGCACAGCGCCGCGAGATCAACACCCTCGCAGAAAAACCATTTATTTTGGCATGTGAAACCACTTACAAAGCCTGGTGGGGGCAGTGTCTGAGCTTCTAGTAAAAGTCTACTGCATTAATTCAAGCCTAGTGTATTAAAGTACTGATGCGGATCTTCCGTCGCTCTTTTGTTCATACGGCATGGACTGTACCAGGAATGAAATATCTATAGCGAGAAAATAATGGAGACACAACAAGAATGGCCTCAAGAAAGGACACATATGCGACCAAAGCGCGTATACGGCATGTGAACATCTATAGAACGGTGTCTGCTGATGATGGATGAGCAAGTATTCTCCCTGCGTTCTATCTCCACACCTAGTGCCAGTAGCAGAGACATAAGAGAGACAAAGGTTCTTCCAGGCCCGAATGTCAGCTTGACTCAAAATTTATTAGTTCCAATTTTCTAAATAGTAAGTATATAGGTGCTGCTTTTGCGTGTTTTTGACGGGGAGCCTTGTGAGCTTCCTTCGGGTCGGCTCCTGGAAGGGCTGGGGACAAGGCACTCCATCAGACTGCAAGATTTGGCCACTCACAGAAAAACTGAAGAATTTACTTAATATGGACCTACATTCTTACGAGTATAGACGGGAACGATTCTTGACAGTAACAGAGAAGCCGTTACAAACACGGTAATGCCACAGCGTAGCACATGTTCAGGGATGCTTGGGCCCCGACAGACAGTCTAACGCCGTCATAGTTGAGCCGATTAGGTCAAAGCCTTTTATTTCTGCTCATTCATTGCGCTTCACTGCACTGTTGTCATTATGGTTCGGTGGCGCTCAGCAGCGTCACTGAATGTGTAAAGGTCAGGGAAATAATATATTTGTCGTACTATAGGGTCCCACACGCGGCAGTGAAGCGTTGCTGCACGCTCGAAAAATGGAGCCTGTACTCAGTATGGCTTCTATATCCCTTGTGCATGCAGGGCTTTCTAGTTTGCAACTTCGCAGATGACCTTAGGTTTCCGCCTGCCAGGGAACCATTTTTGTTCAGAGGGGCGCCCCAGAGCGTGCTGAATGTATCGCACTCCCTGAGCAGCATACGCAGCACAAGCACAGCTCAGAGAGAGAAGTGCAAAGATTTAAAATGTCAAGGTGCAAAATACGCCTGAGGAGCAGAGTACAAACCAAGGGAGCTTCAGAAAGTATTCCACCACAGGGTAGCATCCGGGTCGGCAGCTATTGGGAAAAGCAGCTGTGGTAGGGCAGATTTCTCAAAAAATAAAATGACTAATTATTTTGTGCCGTATGTCGTGGCGGACCTCTATCTCTTGATCAATATCCACGTGAGAGTGACCAAAGACATGAACGGTGCCACCGGCCTGTCTCAATTGCTCGTCAATACGGCTGGACCCCATTACATATGCCAGGGCGCGGGGCTTAAGAGGATACACTGTAGCCAGTTCAGCCCGAGGCAGAAAGTGAGAAAAGGTGATCACCACTGGAGCTTTGTCGAAATCCGTTGGAGCAGGTTTATAAGCGCATTCCACGACAGTAGCACAGGTCAATCCAGCTGCAGCCGATGAAGATACCCGGTCGTTTTCACTGCAGTGAGTCTGATCCTCTTGTTTTGCTCCACCATTGTGGTTCGTGGCTGCCTCGGCTGCAGCTGATGGGGGCACATCTGTTGCTGCTGAGGCTGGTCCTGCAGCTGGAGACCGTCCGCTCTGTACTGAATGGGATTGTCTTGTGGACTCGCTCAGCGCTTCTGGTGCAAAACAACCGCGGCGCTCGTTTTCACTGGCAAAGAACTCTGCAAGGCTGAGGGGCATCCCCCAGGTGTCTGTAGTCCGTCTTGGGGAGCTGCTGGAGAAGAGCATGGGCCGAACTGTACGTGCTTTTTCAACAGACCATCCGTAATGGGGTGCCTCAGAAAAAGCCTCGTGGGACTCTCTAGAACCGAAAGAAACTGCTGAACTTTCCTGTCTGGAGGCAGCGGTGGAGGTTGAGACGTTGGTGGAAGGGGGACTGCTACAGGAGGTGCTTTCACCCATGCACGAACAGCAACTGCTTGAATTGTTTCTGGCGCTCGACTGGCTAGACAAAATGTGCTCTGCCTCGTTGCATTGCTGGCTAGAATACGGAGTACTCCGTCCTCCCTCAGAACCAGGATCGTTGTTGCTGAGGGGATGCGGCCACTTGCAAGCACTGTAATCCATCCAATTTTCGGATAGACTTAAGAGGAGCTTGTGGTCATACATTCTGCCCGATTCAGTAGACGCAGCCGCGGGCAAGGGTACCTCAGCAATATCGTTGGCGGCAGTTCTTAGTGTGCTGCCTGGTTTGGGGGAGGGCAGGGCCACGCGGCGAAACGAGGGGTCAAACTCGTCGTACCACGAGAAAAGAGGCACCAGCCGCACGCCACTGATGGGGGTAAAAGGCCTTGTATGCACTCCCAGAGAGTCGCACAAGTGCAAAATGCTGTCGAATTTACGCAGACTGTCGGTAATGCCTGTATATCGACATAAACATAGAGAAACGAGTGCTTGGCTGCAGTTTAGCAACCTCGACTGCAAAAATAGAGCAAGGAGCTGCTGCAATGTAATTCTGTGTACTAATGCACTTTACGGTAAAGGAACTCACCAAAGCCCAGTAGGCAGCTGGTCTCTTAAAGCAGGTGACAAAGGATGGAATCAGATTAATAGATAAATGAATATGCTGCATTTAAAAACAAGATACGAGCTTTGTTATAAGACGGGGTGGATGAGAATGACAGCCAAGCAGCTGCGGAATGACCGGTGTTTAAGCGTGCAAGTAAAGGCATGAGACACTGCCTCACCTGATTCTCTATCTTTCTGTGTGACCCACAGTTCGTGGTTACCCGGAACAAAGGCCACATGACCAAAGACAGAGCTGAAGAGCTGTAGTGACTCTTTGAGACCGTCCATTTCGTAGTGTACGTCTCCTGCCAATATAAGGACATCGTTTGAGAAGTTCTCTCTCACTTCCGCCGCTGTCCCTGTGACTGCTTTCCACATCTTTCCGATGTTCTCTGCAAGGGAATCCGCTAGCAGCGGCCAGGTTACCCTTTCTGCTAAATGAGCTCCATCCAATTTGCGAGCTCCGTGGACCATACGTGATTCTGGGTCCATAGTTTTATGAACGCGTATATTTGCGGATACTTCCCTGGATTTGATAGTTCCGGACACTGGTTCTGAACATTTCTGGTGTAACCGGCAGAACTGCCTGACGAGCTCAAAATTGCCTCTGCATTCAAGATGCAGATCAGACCAAGCAAAAATCCGCATTTCACCGTGTTACTTGCCAAATTGGGAAGTGCGAAACTGGTTCGTTTCTTGTTTTCAAAGAAGCTTAAAGCTGTCTGGTTGCCCGCGCTCAGCCTTCTGCGGGTCCCGAAGCAAGTTTATGGGTGGATTCAGATGAACTTCCCGCAGTTGAAGTCTCTATGTCTCGCAAATTTCAAGTCGGTTTATCCTCAATGCCGAAATAAAAAGAGCTGGACAATTCAAATCCAAACTCAGCGCTTGATTTCGGCATGAGGTCACCCCACTGACGGACCCGTAGATAAGGTAGGTCAAAGGTTCAACGCACTAGAATTGCTTCACAGGAATGATGACATGGCTATCTTCTGCTATTGGGAAAACGCATGATTATCCAGAAGTCTTAGGGGTCATTCGGAAAGAAACATTTGTTTTTGGAGGCGACATATTTGGCTTTTGAGGTGGTCAGACTGGCGACAAGGGGAGAAACCAAGGAATGCTTACGGATGTTCGGCATTCAGCGAAAATATCGCCACTAGGACAGGCCCTATCTTGAAGCTTTCATCATGAGTTCTAGGAAATAGCGGCGCAGATTCTACATAGCATTTCAGGGAAATGACAGGAAGCCACTGCTGTTACCAGGAACACCGCAGACCAACGGCGATTCTGTGAATATTTGTTTCTCTCGCCACGCGTAGGTCACTTGCTGTTTATTTGTTTTGGCGTTTTGCGCATTATAAGAAGTTTTAGCTATTGTTATACTTTATTAGGCTTCAGAACACGAAAAAGGCATTGCGAGCGCGGGTATGGCTATGTTTCACTAGCTTGTGCACGATCAGGACGACAATGCTTTAGCAGTGGGTAACTTCCCACACATACTAAAGCAGAAGCCAGTGTTTGTGGTCCCATAAGCAAGGTGCCATAGGAAACCATGCCTAGCAACGGAAAACTGCCCATGATTTTTACAGTCAGAATTAGCAAGATAAAGAAAACCTTATTGTAGTCACTGGCTAGAACGGCAGTCAGCTGAGCTCACTAGGACAACTCCAGTGCAGCTAAGGTAAGAACTACGCTCAGTTTATTCACCTTCTACTTTTTCTGTGTGTCTCTGCTCCGGAAAGCCCGTTGTAATCCCACTTTCGTCGAAGGGTACAAGGTGGGCAAGGTATATCCGTCTTAGCTTCTGCAGAGAGTTCCTTACCCCATGATAATAGCGAAGGTACTGTTGCGAAATTGCACGTGCTCTGGGGGTCGCCAATTTCGTATTTACTGTGAAGTGCCTAGCCATGCCAGGCCCCAAGCAGCCCTTAAAATCTTTCAGCACTTAATCAATCTGCTTGGAAACACGAAGAAAATTCACCTTAAATGTAGATAAGTATTTGATCTCACTAAGTTTGTATTATGCACCGAATACGCATCATAGCAATGTGGAATGCGGTCTAACGCATAGCCTCTACAGATCGACTCCCAAATCAGAGCAGAGAAGATGTGTTCATCCTGATTCACTAAACAAACAGGTCGAGGCCATAAACCTTAAGCGAGTTAGAACTAATTAGAAGACAGCTTACCGCTGCTTCGAGGAGTTGCAAGTGTGTTTAGCGGGCTCAGGCGGACTCAGGAGCTTTTCTAGACGTTAGTTCGATTCAGTAGAAAGACCATTAAAGTGCTGACTAGTCACCTTTTCTCTTCATACAGATTCTTTCGTGCACCGAAGCATTTGCTCAATGCTAGAAAACTCAATGTTGTGAGCATACACTAGACGCTATGCCAACTAGCTGTGAATGCGCGTTGTGCTCAGAGCGTACAGCAACACGCGCATTCTAACTGGCCCATTCCCCATTTTCGGTAGCGCTGAGGGTAGCGGGCAGGGAGGAAGGAGGTATATGAAGAAAAATCAAGAAGCTTCTATTACATGTGTATTGGGTTTAGATGTAAGTGTCTCCCGATGAAGACCTTCGACGGAGAGTTACACCAACATCCTCGCAGTGCGTTGTTCAATGAAATCCCGCTTACCAACTGCATTAGTCATCCGTATCAATTTTTCTTCTGGTTTCGCTGTTAGATATCGTGAGGCTTCTAAGAACATTCGAAAAATGTAGCGCAGACGAATGAGGACCTAGAAATTATTCGGGCGTAATCAGCGCCGCGGCGCCGTCTCAGCGTTGAGGGTGCCAGATCTTAATATCATGTACATTGGGCATTCAGTAGGAAGGAGTGGTGTATGAAATTCAGTGCATCATGCAGTACGGCTTGGAGCGACCCCTGCAAATGCAGGGGTTTCCGTTTGAAACCCCTTAGTACAAAGGGTCAGGCCCAAAATACAATAGCTGTTTTCGAGGGCCAAGTTCTAGAATGGCTTGCCTTTCAAGGCAGTATTCTTGAAGTCCTCTCCTCCTTTCCCCGCTGTTCGAAACGCGAGGAGCAAAGGCAAGCGATCTATACGGCAAAAGCACTTTCCATTCACCATGCACCAGATTCGATGTACTGACTGCCCCCCTCATGTTTGGTGGAAGTGTTCAGAGGAGCTATTGAAGCAAGACCAACCGTGGGCGCACAAAGGTCAATGAGCTCATAGTATAAGGTTAGTCGCTACGGACTTGCTATTAGATGAAACTTTGATTAGAATGTGTCGTCCGTCCAGGACACCGTTGTGGTTGGCTGTCTGACTTTAAATCCCTCCAGTCTATCCGCCGCGGAAAAATTCAGGCCCTCGATATTGTGGACATCAAGTGTGATTTCGCTTGCTGGCCTGCATGTGTATGTGTGGCTGGCTGATGTGCCTCAGGGCTACAGCCAGCTGCAATTGCTACCTCGCACCTTTTTAACTATGGATAGTGCGACCCACTGCAATACGTTAACGGGGTAGACGATCTTCAAGGAAACAAATCGGCACATTCAAGCTTTTCCACTTTCTATATGCTGTCGTTCCCATTATGGAACCTATAAAATATAATTTTATCAGCAGAAGTTGCTCGATTCGTATGCGTGGAACAATGGCGTGTGGAAACAACTTGTGCCGACACTCGAAAGTGGAGGAGTCGTACATCGTGTATCGTGCTCCATCAGGCATGGAACTAAGCCCTTACTGTGAGCGCAGGCCCTTATTCTTCCGAGGTCGCCGAATGCATAATTTCATCTAAGGTATCTGAAGAAAGACACTTAGCCCCAAACCCACTTCAGAACTTACTACAAAGTAATATTGACAGTCCTTCCACAAAAGCTCCCCCTTTTCCCTGCCCTTACCCCTGAAGGACTCGGGCATGAAGGGAGAGGGTCAGCTACGGTGCACGATGTTGCACCGTTATTGCGCTCCCAGCGTTCACAGTCAATTGCACCTAACATATAACGCACAGGCACGTACCATTGTTTCGAACCAAAGAGAGCTTGCTCTATACTGCAACAATTAACACAGACGAACGCCGAGAGCAACTACTCTTTTTTCTTTTCAATCAATATTAGCTAGTAAAATCAAAGGCGCCATATTGCAGCTTGGCGCGCTAAATAGTGCGGAGACAGATAGCCCCCATCCCTAATATTCTGTGGCTATTCACCGCAGAATAGTACATGTCCAACCAACAACACATGATGTGTGCAGAGAGTACCCATCGCCTGCACGCATGGGTAACGTTACCCTCCTTGTTTATCCACTTGGTTTAGTATCGAATGGCGTATGTTCGATGCTCGGCTGGGCTACTAAGCATTACCAAATGCAGGAAATAGGGTGTGTGTACATCAAACCACCTCCTGGACTAGAACAGAGGAAAATGGAGGTAAAGACACTGCTATTCGCTATTAAGGTTTGGAACTCAGGTGGTCGTGCTGCTGCATGCGCCAGTCGGCCCCGAACACAACGAGACGAAGGCCGAAGTAAAGTTGAGGCTAATGAGCTCAATACTTTATTCGAATTTTTGGGTCTACCCATGCAATTTGCGAGTTATTTGTTCGCGAAACCCCTTTATTGTTGCTTGTGCTATCCAGAAAGTAGCAACATACCCTTTGAAGCAGCTACCGGCCGGTCCAGCCGACAGTACACGGCACAACTATACGGAGGAATCTGCATGTTGCAGCCTTTCCTTGGAATAGATTCCTGCATTTCTGTTTTAAGGTATCCATTGTCTCTTCTCGCTCACGAAATCTGTTTTATCCTTTTGAATGCTCCTCCTCCGATCATCCTGCCGTTTCGCCACAAGAGGAGCAGTAAAGAAAGCTACAAATTACATTTGCTGAGGCCCAAGGTAGAGGAGCTCCTAGGACATGAGGGCTCATCCATTCGGAATCCAGAATAGCTAACGGCATGGCCAGGACAGTAACAAATTGGCACTAGCAACAAAAAGTATACTGAGGCAGCAGCACATTCTGATACAGTCTTCAGATTGCTGGAGACCCAAAAGAGCTTCCTCTCGCCTTGAACATAGCACCTGTCGTATCATTTCTGCTCAGCTGCACGGCGAGGGTGTCAGACATCTAGGGCCGTAGTATCTCGGTCCAACGATGGAGCCGGCAACGGAGTTGAAAGCGACCTCCGACAATGTGGCGAGTCCTTCAGGACCATCGGGATCTCAGGAGTTTGTTGCAGAGGCTGAGACTATAGGGGAACGGAAGGAGGGAGGCCAACAACACAGTGACGAAACTGCGACACAGGGTGAGTTACTTCGATGTCCATTGCACTCTGTCCTCCTCTCTCTACCGCATCTTCTTCATTTCCCAATTCGTCTTCAGCATCTACGTTTATAGGAACAACGATTAATCGGAATGTCGCTGCAACATTGGGGAGGGGGGGCCCCGGCGAGCGGAATGTGTGCTCGCTCGGTTCCTTGAACGTGCCCAGGGTGTCCATACAGTGAGCGCTGTGTCTCCCCTCAGGCGAAGCCTCCCCGTCACTCAGTAGCATCGTGGACCCCAATGTACGGCCCCCATGCTCTTGCTCGGTCGCTTCTGCTCCATTTTCAGGCCTTGTGCCCCTGTCTCCCTCCTCTTTAGCCCCTCCTCGTTGTTTCTTCTTCCCTATCTGTCTTGTAGGCTCCGGGCAAAAGGGGGCTGTCATCATCAGTAAGGCATTCTTGGCGTTGTTTCTATGTGTGCACAGCTGTTAAGCCAGCTGCACGAGATGGGCTTCAGCGAGGCGCGCGCTGGTCGGGCCTTGCTGGCGACTAAGGATGGCTCTGCTACATTGGAGGCGGCCTTGGCGTGGCTGGAGGAGCACGAGGACGACTCTGGCATTGACGAACCCCTTACCGTAGAAGAGCTAGCTGCACGCAAATCCGCTGAGAAGACTCCCCTTACAGAAGAGGAGGCGCAGCGCCGTGCCTATGAACTGCAAAAGAAGCTAAGAGAGGTGCGTAGATCGGGTGTCTATATTCGTATGCATGAATTTGTGTACATATATTTAGGTGCTTCTGTGCGGCCTAACACTATCAGTATGCGCTTCACGTGGGCTATTGATAGGCGGATGTTGGACTGGGGCTGCACCTTCTCGTGGTTCCCTTCCAACTATGCGTATCTACAGCAGAAGATTTGGCTTCTGAACTGCTGCTGCATGAGCAGACTCCAGTCGTTGTCGTGGTGGGGGTGCAAAAGGCATATGGCGTCCAGCGAAAAGAGTCTTTTGCGTTTTCAGGAACGCGTCAAGAGGGAGAAGCAGGAGGCAATCGAGAAGGAGCGTTTGCGGATGCAGCAATCGAAGGCGCTTCTAGAGCAGCAAGCAAGGCTGGAGGAGGAGACTAGGAAGCGCGCCATTCTGCAGCTTCAGAAAGAAAAGGAGGTGGGCCAGAGAGCCGTAGGGAAGCGAAAAACACCAAGTGTTTTTTAGAGTTATGAAAAATCATGCCCTCCTTAACCATTGCCTCTTTTATGCGCTTTCCCGCATTCTTACCGCCGTTTTCCCCCGACCCCCGCAAAGAACTTCCCCACCAGCGTTTCCGCGCACTTAGTCTTAGAGAGGGAGGCAGTGAGAGCGAGCAAGGCAGACTGAGCGAGATGCTGCGCCCTTGTGTTGCACTTGATAGGAGGCTAAGAAGGAGCGCGAACGCCAAAGGGAATTACTCCGTCAGGATTACCGAGACCGGTTTGGCTGCGAGGTTCGAGGCCATGCTTGATTAGCTCCATTGATCGAAAGAATTCTAACTCGAAAATTTGGGCAGTAGGGCTCTAGAGTGCTGCGTACGCTGGTGGGGGGAGCATGCATGCGTTAGGGCTTAGCGGGCCTTCTAGGTAGAGCGATCGAGAAGGCACCCTCAGCTGCGTTGGTGCTGGAGAATTCCGCCCTTCCTAGCAACAAGCAGTTTCGAGAGCCTCTCTACTTTATGCAGGCTTACAGAGACAGAAGGTCGTCTTGCCGCGTCAAGCAATGCTTTGGCGAGGCGACTCAGGGCCCTGTGTGGAATGGAGCGGAATGCTCGTCGCTGCATTTATTTAGGCCCAGTTAGTCCTAAGGCATAAGAGCCTCAAAGTGCAGCGTTTGCTGTGTGCGCTTGTGGGGTGCCCCAGATGCCAGAGGATACCTCTCCGGCAGATGCCGAGGATAGAATTGCTAAGATGAGCGCCAAGGAGAAGGTGGCTTTCTACAGCAACGCGTTGCTTAAGAACTACAGAAAAGAGGATCCGCAGAAGCTCCTTGTTTGCCTTACGACCCTTCGGGTTTACGCGATTAACGCCAAAGACAACCCAACTGAACCAAAATACCATCGTATCAGGCAAGGGCTCTGCTCTCCCCAGCCATGTGCTTCGTGTTTCTCCGGCGAGGAATCCAATAAGTAGGGATGACCCAAATGGAGGAACTGGGCAAGTTCATGCTATTTCTTCTGACGTGGCATGCGCTTTAGGGCTTCTGTGAGGGTCTTCAGGAAAGAGAACGCGGCATTTAAATCACGGGTGCTGCCCTGCGAAGGGGTACTGCAACTTCTCGACGCCTGTGGCTTCAAAGACCAGGGTACCATGCAGATGTGCACCGCCAGAAGGGTCTCCTGCTGTTGTGGCATCGGCGATGAAACCTTCTAAGGAGCTACTCCGATAGAACTGAATTCACGTGAATGCAGCTTGCTTCTTGTGGGCCTCTTGTGCCCTATTGTTGCTTTGGCCTGTCCTGCGGTCCTTTGGCTCCCTGCCCATCAATGCCATTTCCTTGCGTGTCTTATGCCCCCTTTTTCTGTGTGCCTGCCCTTAGGCGATGCTCTGGTGATTGAGGGACAACCAGATGGCTTTGTGTTAGCTCAGGCGGTGAAGTTCTTTGATCTGTTGATTGGCCAGCTCCGCTCTTGAGGCTTTGCTGCATTCCCCCCGTTGCGTCCTGCAGAGAAAAGGAGTGCCTTTCGCTACGACTTTTCACACTATACCCCATGAAAGCCTTCTACCTCTTTGCCTTCCTCTACCACGTCTGTAGGTTGTTGGATTTGGCCCGCAGTCCCGTCCCGTAGTTCCTCATGATAAGACTTCGTCTCATGGCTGGCGGCCTGTTATCAGACAACACCGATGCAGCACCAGTGCTCCTACGACTTTGATATGAATGCCTCCCAGAACTTTGACGGGCCTCACGAAAGTGATGTCGGGAGGACGCACACCAGGCACCCCACCGTCACTGCAGCTACCCAGTTAATTAACTCTTTAAACTTGGGCGCCGCCACGTTCATGCGGAAAAAAGCGCTTAAGTGTCGCGAGTATCGTTCGTTTGTGTGCGGCACCATTCTTCCTTATAATGGTTTTGGTAGTGACAGACTGAGGGGAGTGCTGAGTCTTGCCTAGTTGTCTCTCTTGACCGCCGGACGCAGTGTGCCTCATGATCGGGGCACAAGCGGTAGCTGCCGCCATTGTCGTTGCCTCTAATTGCACGCATATAGCTGCCGCCGCTTGCAGGTGCTAGCTTTTAGTTTGCCTAGGAGATAAAACTAGACCAGGTGGGGTGCCAACGGGTGAAGGACAGCAGGGGGGGGAAGGTCGAAGGGCCCTAGGACAACCCGCGGCGCACTTTTTCCCAAGTCCCCCCAGACTTTTTTTAGCGAAATTAGGGACTATTCTTCAACATGGAACACACAGGGCTTGCGGAAACCCTGGCGAGAAAAGGGCTTCGGCCGTCCATAGCCTCAAGTACTTAGGAGCGACCAGGCAACAGCTGGGGAGCTCAGGGCCACTGGGTGGCTATCCCAAAAGGCGGCTCCGCTCAGAGCCTCTAGTCCTTGGGAGCGGACACTTTCCGCCTAAAAAAAACACTGTACATGCAGCAGGGGGGCTTGAAAGGCGAGGGGACCTCTGCGACGCAGGCTACCGCGTTACCTGAATGGTGGCCTGGAGTCAGGGCCCTGGTGAAAGCAGCATTGGTGGCGCATGAGGGATGGAGAAGGTCCGTATGTTACAACCAGATCTTCAAGGCCAACTACAACGCCACTGCGCTCAGGATCCGCTTCAGCAGCGCGTGGTATCTTCACTCCCAAGTCCCTCTCCAAAGTGTTCTTCGCTCCAAGTGTTGTAGGTGACTCGCTGGCAGGGCTACTGCTGCCCGCCTCCGCTCCTGGAGCGTTTGCGCGACTTTGTATAAAGGCCTCCTCTTGCGTCTCCGACCCTGAGAACCCGGCTGCCAAGACTTCTGGGCTCTTTGGGGTGCTCTCCGAAGGCTCCTGTTCGGCCACAAAGCCTAGACGGCAGCGTTTTCCCCTTGCGCGGGTTCCCTTCGAGAAACATGTGCTCTCAGCGGCTTTAAACGTTCCTTCTGCTGCTGCTGCTGTCGCTGGTGTCGCTGCTTCTTCAGTGAGTGCGGGGACAGCGCAAGAACCCTCCAAATCCCCTTGGGAGTCCTTTTCGCGAGCAGCAGCGTTCGTGCGCGCCTTGGCAGAGAGCACCATGCACGTAAGTGCGTGGACTAGCTTCGCCTCCACGTGGCAGGCGATTTCCCGCAAAGCGTCTTCTTCAAATAGAAGCAATTCGTCTGGAGGCACACACTCCGCGACTCCCCCGGACTCCTCAAAGAGAATGGGAAGGAACGGCTCCCCGGAGGTGCCTAGGCAGTATTCTTGAAGCTCTTTTGGAGCTTGAGGTTCAGCAAGTGCCGTGTCACTGCCGCCGCTGTCGGCAGTCTGAACAGTCTTGGGGGAAACAGTGGGCACCGGAGAGTCCGTAGAGTATAGAGGAGGAGAGAGCGTCAGGAACCGCAGCCTGCATATAAACCCTCCAGAATACCGCCTACACTCGCAGTCTACACTTGACCCTTGCCCCTAGCGATCTCCCCGCTTTCTCTATAGCATCAATAAGAGCCGCATATAAAGGACCCCGTAGTAGCCGTGCACTTTTGTGCACATGGCTCTTCAAAGGAACAAGAATGCGTGGACCGCCCTTCCAGAAAATTGTACCCCGCAAATAGTCAGCAGTACAAGCCGCGCATGCAAGCTGCCTGCGCACGCGTATTCAATCGAGAAACACACGAAATAGGGACGGCAGAGGGAGGGAAGGGCGATGCGAACGCTTCATTTCAGACCGACCATAATTGTTTCGGATCTATCATGCAATTCGCGTGGCGAGGCGGTGGGCGTGCGTGAGCGTCTCCAGCTCGATTCCTCTGCACCACACGTCATCATGATGCAGCGGCCGGCAAGCATAAAAAGCCCATGTTGTGGGCTACACAGTGGCACCGAGTGCGTCAGCTGGCCTTAATGCAGATGCGCTCAAAGCTGTGTTGGTTTTTTGACCAAGAAAGTGCGAATCCCCTGCGTGTGCACTCCCCAACGGTCGCCTTCTGCCCGCTTAAAAAATTGAAAAGACTCCCCACACGCATACGCATACACGCATACAAATATATATATATATATACATACACACGTACACATACACACGTACACATACACATACGCATACACACACACATACACACACACACGCACACACACCTACGGGCCTGCACAAGCACGGTCTAGGCAGAAATAGGCAGGAAGTAGATGTGCAGGAAAGAAAATTACCAAGTCAACAATCCGGGGAAATCGGGGTTGCCAGAGGTACGTCTGCATTTCCTGCTCGTCTAGAGCCAGGAGATGCAGCACGTTGCGCCTGTCAGCTTGCAGACGCAAAGCCCCCAGGTAGTCCTACAGCCGCAGCAGGCAGCATAGAGCAGGCAAGTCTGTTCCGCTGTCTGTGATGCTTCACAGGGTCATTCCGGCGTGAAGAAGCTAGACTATGGAGCGATCGTGTTCCTTTTGACTACTTTAGGGGCAAGCGGTGCATGCCAGCCGGTGTTTCCTCCTACAAGGAGGGCCCTGGCCTCATGGGAATACACAAGGCAAGCGCTGAATGGGCCTTTCAGCGAAACAAAAGAGCAGGAGCTTTAGATGCCATGGTTGATGAAAGTTTGGGTGCAGGGGCAAGAAGGCCAGGGAGAACGGAACCGCGCGGAGAGAACGCACCGCTCTGTCAATGAGGCCCTCGACGGTCTTAAACTGCTCCGTCAGTTTCTTCTTTTCGACCAACTCTATGACCTCAGGAGGCGGCGATAGCTGCAACCATGAGGAGCTGCAGGCAGCAGCTCCTAGCCACCAGGAGGGACTCATCTGCTCACGATATTCTGTGTGGAAAGAGTTGCTATTGAGCACCCCTCCGATGCTCAAGAGAGGCCGAGACACCGAAGTGTTCAGCCTCCGAGTGACGCTAGGACGGGAAGCAGGAGTGCCAGAGGGGGGGTTGCGAAAGGGAGTGCCCCCCCCCCCAGTCGCACCGGGGCAACTGGCGCTGCTCACAGTGCTGCTACCAGCGCTGCCGCAACCCCTCCGCTGGCCTGTGCCTCCCGGGGAAGACATATACGGAGCTCCTGATGTCGAAGGCACGTGAGGGATACGCGGTGTGGGATCTTCTGTTCGTCCTGCCCAAATTGGAGCACAAACCGTCCACATGCACTGTTTGACCCCGACAATCTGTCCTATCTCAGGCGTGCTATGAAAACGTCAACCGACCCAAGAAAGCTTCAACATGCGGGCAATGTAGCACAGCCTTCCAGCTTACCAGGTCTGTTCTCTGGCAAAAATCCCGGCTCGGGGAGGTGGCGAAGAGGCAAGGACTTGGGGGGTGTCTTGGGGGTTGGAACGATGCCCAGCATCCCCATGTGCCCGGAAGGCACTCCCTCCGTGAGCTTTATCACTTGCGAGAGATCTGAACGCATGATGGGGGAAACTGGTCGCTGAGGCAGAGGGGCGCTCATCATGAACCCCGTGGATACCGGTGCGTAAGCCTCGCCACCAAAGGGAACACTAACGCTTCTTCCAGGCGGCCTTTGCATCGTGTCAGGAACGCAGCCTATTGGAGTAATAACACCATCAGTTCCCGCAGGACTGCTGCTTCCTCCCACGAAATTGTGGCCAGCCGTCGGAGTCCAGGGACTCCCACGACCCCGAGGGGCAGAAGAAATTTCCTCCCCGATACCTCCAGGCGCCGCTGCACCATCCATTTGCAGCCGCCTCCTCCGGAAGGCTTGATTCGCGTCCCCTCAGCCGCTGTGGAATGAATGCTGACAGGAAAACACTGAACGGAAGAGGTTACGGCGATGCGGGTAAGGGCTATGCCTGCCGCGAAGAAACACAAAGCAGCACGCAGTTCATTCAACCGTTCGATGCTTTGGAGGAAATGAGGATCCTGTGTAATCAGCATATGCCTTGCCCTTAAACCTGGCCTCTCTATGTTACATGCGCTCAGACCGCGCTGAGCCACAGCCCCCTTCCAGCCGGCGCATGCAAAATTGACCAAGATTAGCCCATATTAAGGCCGATTTTGTACAGAATTCACAAGAAGAATACTTAACACTCCACTGTTGATGTGTTTTCCTGGTCGTCACCTACATGGTGTAACGCGGGGGGCGCAGCGCAGAAGAAGTACGTACCAGCTGAAATGCAGAATACGTGAAATCTCCAAAAGCTGCACAGACAAATTAGTGGCTACCATGGCGACACCTTGTTCAGCAAAACATATCTTATCAGCTCATTACTCATGTGTAAGGTTCTCCCGCTTGCAGGCCCTTGCACCGATGCGTGATCGTGTCACTTCTCTGGCTCACTTGCTCCTATTTTGCAACAAAGAAGGGCTTCTGTTGTGTCACTCATTGCCATGATACTGCTTCCAGAACTCCTTGCAGCCCTTGCACTTTGCTTACTTCCTAAGAGCCCGAGGCACTCCTTAGTCGACCAGGAAAAAACGGAAGTAACTCAGTGCGTTGGGTCTAGCACTATGAGCTTATACAAAAATTACTTATACTCAAGCGGCTTTGGCCTTTACTGCTTTCTCCAAAACACACAAGGATGGTAGTGTGTGATCGCTTGGCTTGAGAGGTGACACGTTCTAGCGCTTTGCTGTTGGCTTTACTCTTTTGCGCTATGGACAGTCTGTTGCATATAGCCGTCTTTGCTTTTTGCTACCTAGCATGCGTCTACAGTCTCTTTGGATATTTAGACTGCATGAGCACGCTTTATTTATGCCATGGTGTTCTTGTCCTGGCGATCTCCGATCCGCTTTACAGCACGAGGCGAGCTGTGAAGCAAATCAAGTTGTGGAGAATACAAGAGTCTGCAGCTCGCGCTTTCCCATACTTGTTCGCCGGCGATATGCAGATCTTTGTCCTTTATTGCTACCCCAAACTTGCCCCTAGGTATTGTATGCATTTCTGGTCTGCTCTTCAGGCAGCAAGGCAAGGGAGAGAGTTCTAGTTACTTTGGTCCAATTATTGCGTGCCAGAGCAGTGTGGGGTGCGATTCGGAGACAGCCATCCTTTTGACTTTTTGTTTCTGCAGACTGGTAGAACTCATATGAAGTGTGCGCTTCTCATGTCACTCCTCTGCAGTGCAGGCCGGTCAAATGACCTTTCAGCTACATGACTAGCGGGGCGTTTTTGCGTGTTGTCACTTTATCCATTGTTTTGCTTTACATTCGAATAACCCTAAACAAGTAGTAGCATATCCTAGTTAAAATCGGTTTTGCTTCCTCTTCCTATTTGACTCGGCACTGTTTACCATCAATGCGATATCCCTTTAACAATCACTATTTGCAGAGGGGAAAAATGGATCAAAGCCGGCTAGCTTATTTCACCCTGATTAGTGCGAAGGGGAGGCAACATTGGGATGTTCCATTTATGGCCATATTGCTGCCCCGGACTTTTTGGGATGCGTACACTGAAATGCATCTATTAGTCCTTGGTAGAATATTGCAAAAAGCAATCGTGTAATAATGTAGGCTTTCTGTGAGGAGACACTTAACTCCCGATTCGATACAAATTTGATTAGAATTTTTTCCAGTGCTTTTTTTCTGACAGAACTTCCGCTTTCCCGCGTACCTGAGAGTCACCGACATGAGGGAAGAGGTCCAGCTGGAGTGAGCATTGCTTCTCTATCTAAGCAGTCCGATCATTCACAGGTGGCTGCACATGGCACCTAGAGCACTCGCACACTACAATGCCTCTTTTTGCATTGGCGTTCCAGTATTTTGACTAAACAAGATATACGAATGAGCAAGCCAACTAGGCGTTTCCTTAATAGTTCTTAGTTCACATAAATAGTGTATTATAAAGTATTCAAGTGTAGCTAAGCCCACTACATTCTGAGTCAAGATTACAAAGATGCAGCGCGACCCAGTGTAAGAAACCGCCGCGCCAAATGGCTTATCAACGATGTGTTGGGCGCATGAGTGGGGCAAGTTTAATCGGCATCTGGCTACATGCACAGTGCTGTCTTGTATAGTGAGTGAGGGCCATGAATGATTTGCTGTCGTCCTGGAGAAAAAGGCATTTGTTGCCCGTTTCCCTTGAGATGGCTTATCTGGAAAATATGCAAGGGCACTGTGCATAATGAGTTGCTAGACATCCTGAGCAGTGCCAAGCAATATACATGCAGGCACACTCCTTGTCAGCTTTGTGAATTTTCGTTATCACTGTACAGGGCATGCATAAGTGGGCGTCGTCGGGAAATATCCAGCTTTGTGTACGCATATGGCCTAATTTAGTGGAGTTATTGCTCTTACGCTGGAATGTAAAAACGCATTGCGCCTCCACATTTACAGTGGCTGTTTTATAAGCAACAAATAGGCAGCTTGCTGGTCCTGGCTGATCGCATGCACCGGGCAGAGCAATGACTGACAGCTCGGGTGTCTGTGTGACGCGAAAGGCACGATGTAGACCGATTTTGAGTCAATTTCCGATTTTGCGCGCATATTTCAAAGATAGGCGGTGTGTAATCTTTTTCTCCAGTGCAGCCTTCCACCTCAAGCCCCTTGGTCACTGAACTCGACGCGTTGTTCCCGTAAGCTACGTGGTACCGAGCCTGTTGTTCTCGCTCTTCCCATTTGTTGCGTGTCCGACAAAGTGACCAGCCTCTCCATACTTCTTCCATGCAGCTTGAGTCCTGTCTGTACACCGAGATTCAAAGACATCGAACCTGCCTTCCAGCCGTCCATTTTCCCACATGACTGATTCTCCGCTGCCATTATCGAAAACTCGATCATTCAGAGGGCTGCTGTCTTTGCCTGTGGGCTACCGGTAAGCCATGGCATCCGCGGCTGACAGCGGTCATGCCCTCCCCAGCGCATCCCTTCTCTGCGGAAGTTGTTCTCGTCCCGTTGTCATAATAGAAGATGCGGGCCCTTCTCTTTGGAACGGCATGGCTGAAGAAAAGGGAGAGCTCTTGAGCACAGAGAAGCACCAGCACCACTCCCAGCTGAAAGGGTCCTTGGAATCCGCTTGTGGTGTGCGAAGGCAAGAGGCACAGGAAACGGAGTCGAGCTTAGGGGAAGCCTCCGTCGTTCTGTCGCCTGTCCTGGAGAGATCCCCCGCACAGGCGCATGCTGAGAGCCCCTCACCTATAAACGGAGGCTCAGTAACTCCTATAGCACGGCCACAATGGGATGCCACCAGCCAGGGTGGCCCCAGTGAGCCAGCGAGAGGGGCGGATGAGTCTGGCGGAAAAGAGGATGATGCAATTATGCTGCATCCCCTCTGCTCCAACTGCTTGGATGCGGCGATAGCAGAGCTGGCTCCAGAAATTGCGCATGAAAAGCGTCTCATAAGGAAATACGATAGAGCTTTGCGACGTTTGGAACGCAGGCGTGATAGTCAGGCCTCTTCAGCCACAACCGTGGAGGCACCTGCTGCCAAAGATGCCGGTGCTTTCGATAAAACTCCTTCGTCCGTGTGCACAGCGTCCTCAAATGTCCAGCTACAGGTTCTTGAGGAGGAAGAGAAGCAACTGCTAAGCGAAATATCCTCCCTAGAGGCAGCTGTAGCGCAGAGAGAGAATCAACAGCTGGCAGTAATGGCGGAGATTTCTGAGCTGTATTTGTGGCAATTGGAGTTCTGGTTACTCTTTTCGACCCATTTGCTGCGGACTGTAAGACACGAAGAGGTGCGACTTACCAGGTTTGGTGTTTGTTTACGCTCCGTCATTTTTCCCTACCCCGTGGCATGCCCCTCCTACTTCACCCGTTCCCTGATTGAGGCTTTCTTTTTGTGTGGGCTGCTGTAAGGGATGCTTGCTTGCATTGTAGTATCTCCTACATAGTGAGTAATGACATCTCAAAGAGTTCTGCTGCTAGTGGCTCTGTCAGCCTTTCTGCCACGCTCGGTGATTCCACAGGCTGCATTTCAGTCTGCGGTATCAAGTTTCACGACACCAGCTCTCTGTCGTGGTCTCGTTGCTGGTCCTTTGTCGTCCCCACAGACTTCGTGCAGGCCTTTCGCTTACTGCTACTTCAAATCCTTTGCATGTTTCGCGCTTTTCCGGATGCTCAAGGATTTCGCTCATGCGTGTGGTACATTTTCAGCGGAAGCGTTCGATGGAGAGGCTGTTTGCCTATGTAAGCCAGGAACTGAAGCGGCTCAAGCGGTTCAACACTATGAACGAAGCTTTCCATATATGGACTTCTCAGTTTCTGCCCTCAATAAACAACTGCCGCATTGGTGCGTCATGGGGTGAAGCCCCAGCCTCGCCGCTCTTGACATCAAGAGGCGGAAGGGAATCCTAGAAAGGCAGCACATTTCAAGGGGAAAACGGGTTCTTCCCATATTCACGTCCAGAAGGGGGAGTTCCTTTTTAAGTATTCCGGGGCTCTCTGGCCACGCAGTGTGTCTGCACTAAGCTAGACACTACTTGGAGAGTACCATGCTGCACAGAACACAGTCAAACAGCCACCGGGTGGATGTCGAGGCCGCTCAAAGAGAGGGGGCTAGGCAATGGAAGGCGCAGGAATTCGTTGGCTAGCCGGCAGGAGCAGCCCTTGCCGCTTTTGGGGCTCCTGTCCAGCAAGTCTCCCTGCGGGCAAGCTGCATTGACATACACCTGGGGCTGCATGTGTGTTCCGTTTCACCCCAGGGAGGATCTCGTCTCCCTGCTGCCCCGCATGGTCCGAAATTAACACCGGCTGGGGCTACCTGACGCTCCTACTGGATGCCTTCTACCGTAAATGCCAGGTGCAGCCTTCAGGGTATCGGATCGTTCCCAGAGGCCAATTCTCTTTCCTCTTACGGTAAGCGAGGCGCCGCATGCGGTGCGCAGAAGGCACTTCTCGCCGGGGCTGCAGCCGATTCAGAATGGAACGAACGGCCCGCGGAGGCTTCCACTCAGTCTGCTGTCGCTACAGCCGAGAAGAGGGAGCAGCGGGGCGGCTCAGTTTTTATGTGTAGATAGGTCCCTTCCTGAAAGCGTGACCCTTCAACCCAAGACGCTGAGCGCAAAGACTATTGGATTGTGCAGGAAGAAGGATAATGCCATGCTTCCCCTCCATGGGGGCGGCGGGGAGGTCGGCCTGAGTCGTTTCTTCTATAGCAACAAAAAGTTCGATTCCGCGATGACGGCTTACCTCGAATGTGTCAAAGAGGTGACTCCCTTTTAAATCTAGTGCCCGCCTCAGTCTTTATATTGGGAAATTCGTGAGCGTTCGTAGAGAGCCGCTCACCGCCAGGGGCTTCTCGCTCAAGTCAAATCTTGCATTCTTCTTGGGCAATGAGGGGCGAGGGATTCTTCTTCGCAATACAGCGTAGCTACACCGATTCAAAATCCCCTGAGGTTCCGAGCCCGTCCCCCTTGACTCTTTCTTCCGCCATGCGCGGAATTTGTGTTTGCAGCTGTTTGACTGTCTGGTAAAAGCTGCTCAAGAAAGGTTGGAGCAGCGAACAGCTGCCTCCGCCTTGCTGCCCTTCCCTGAACTTCCGTACGAAATAGAGGGTGAGGAAATACCTATTGTCTCTAGCTGCCCCCCTGCTGCTGCGAAGTAGCCCCGAGCTCCGTCTGATCTGGCACAGGCACGCGTGGCTTGCACATGGGAGCGAAGTTTGGGGTTCTATGCACTGATGTATACAGGAGACAAAGTAGGGGGCTTCAGCATTAGGCTACAGCTAAATCAGGACGAGAGATGGACCAAGGCCCTCAAGCATCTTCTCATCGACATGAAGTGGCTGCTCGAGTACATTGAGCGTAGGTCTGCACGTCAGTTTTGCTTCTGTCCTTTAAGCTGACCTAATACGCTGTAACTGAACCTCAGCTAGGTGAGGGCAGACACGGCAGGGGAATAATGAGTACCGAAGGGCGGCTGACTTCTTTTGCTGGGCTGCTCTTCTGAGACTGTGCAGAATGAACTGCGATGATACGGAATCTTCAGGTGTGTCTGTAGTCGCCACGTCGGTGCCTTGAGCTGGTCCGCAGCGAGCGCTGCAAGATCAGTGGCTCCGTCATCATCCGCCTGGTCTGGGGGACTGCTTCATATAACTGGGAGCAACGCCTAGTTTTTGGTGGAGGGGTAGGGGGGCAAGTCGTGGCCTCTGCAAAATCGTTTTGTGGCCAAATTGATCCTGCGCACGCCTCCGAGGATAATAGCGCTACACGCACCATGGTGTGTTAAGGGTAGAGCCCTCTCCAGCCTGCTGTGGCCTGTACTTGGTGCTGCTGCTACCCTTCCAGCCCCTCAAAGCTTAGGAAGGGCAAATGATCACTAGGATCTAAATGTGGAGCCTACTGGAAGTAGATCTACGGAGGGGCTGATAGCGCCACTCCGCAGTGCAGGAGAAGCTTCACAATACTCAGTTTGCGTACATTGGCAAACGGAGCATGCCCATGAGCAGTTGTTGACGCTGCCAGAGCGCATTGTTAGCCTGCCTACTACTCAAGCCGTTGCAATCATCGCTGGTTGAACAAACAACGGAACTGCGCCGCCAGCCTATCCCTGCCCCCTTCCCGCCTCCCTCACTGGGATGTCCGGGTACTTAAGATGTGTAGTGTAGGTCCCCCCAAGTGCCGCAAAACGTCGTTTGCAACATGCACCAGCAGCAGCACCAATGCCCCTCAGCTACGATACTGCTTTTTTGCGGGCTGTGGCGTGCCCCCTGATAAGATGTCGTTTCATCCACGGGTTGGCACCCAGCGCGACGGAGGGTACTGAGGACCTTCGAGTAGGCCTGCTGAGGTCAAAAAGGCTGTTGCTGAGCCTCGCCCTCACTAGCCTTATGGTAGAAAGGTGCTGTCTCAGTGTCAGGGAACACGGCCGGATGCACATCACATGGCGACACTGACAGCGGCCGGCTAGACATTCTAATTCAGGTGTAGATATTCGTGTCCTGTGTTTCACTCGTCCTACGAGTAGCAACGTTCGTGAGCCACTTTAGGAAGGGGCGTGCCAGGAGGGGAGAATATATATACCACGGCAGGAGGGAGCCGTTAACGTGCAATTCTTAGGAGAGTTAAAAACATGTAGATGCGAGGGAAGCATCAGCATGGCAGCAATGTTGAAATGAAGTCAATAAAAATGGCGCTTGTGGCTGCAGATAAGCATCCCTAATTGGGTCGCCAACAGGTTCGTTTCTATCCGTGAAGTGTATTTGCACTCCTCAGCTAATCAGTCAAGCGGGAGTAAATTAGACTACATCTGAGAGCTAAATGCTCCTGCGTAATACCATGCGCGGGTGAGGGCCCTAAGAGCTTCTCGGCCCTCAGCGTCCATGCGAGTCACCAATTTCCCTAGGCCCAGCCTCAGGGTCTCCCTTGTCGGATTCGTTACATGGGCCAGGGGGCCCCCCGCAGCAGAAAGAGGGTCTGTCAAGGCTCTGGGTGGCACAAGACACGCAAGCTGTGCCTCCGTGTGCGGGTCCAGCCTGAGTTGCTTTGTCTTTGTCTTAGCGGATGGAGCTGCCGCGGAGGCAGGCAATATGACAGACGGAGTCTTGCGGGATTGGGGCTTGAGTGCAGCCCGAGAATCAGAGCTGCATGCCATGTCCATCACTTGCGAGTGCACCAGCCACGACACTGCAATGCGGGGGTGTGCGCGGCAAAAGGCCAGGTCCACGGGGATCTCTGGAGGCAGCAGAGCTTCTATAAGCTCAGAATCTGCTTCTCTCTCTTCCTCTAGTTTTTCCTCAGGAAGAGAGGCTAGAAACTCACTGCCCACGACATCAAGCCTTTTGCAATCGTCTACAGTACTTGTCCTCGCCCCAACTACGGACTCCGCAGACGGCATGTTGTCTGAGGGGCCAAGACCAGCGCCAGGCTTTTGAGGAAACTCGCGAGGTGAGGACGATGGAGTTTTATAAGAGCCGAAGATATGAGGATTCTGCGAGATGGCACCGCGAATGCTGCCGAGTAGGTGCCTGAAAGTATCTCCTGTAAAAGTTGCACAACAACAAATACAGCAAAACACCACCACCCCACGAGACATCCACCCAAACCCTATACTAAAGTCCTCCTCTGTTTCCCCCTATACCAAAGCTGGATTTGGACCACAGAGGCCTGCTGGGGCTTTGCGAAGAAGTATCAAGAAGCACTGCACAGCAGACCGACGCTAGAAGTAACGCTCGAGAAAGGGGCCAGGTCACACTAAAATGAAACGCCTCAACGGCTTAGCGGTTTCGAAGGGGGGCCTGCGCAAGAGAGAGTGTTTGCACCCGTCTGCAAGGGAATAGCTGCAAACGACCCTTATGGATAGGCCTACTTACGTTTCAATGCCGCCGATAAATATTCTCGCATTGCTGGATCCGCTACGCTGTCAACCTGAGTGCCCCGCTGCCGTTCTGTTGCATTTGCGATTGCCTCAGCTCCTGTGTCTGGTCTTCCTCCGGCTGCTTCCCCTATTCTGCCTGCCTCAGACTCTAGCGAATCACTAAGTGTCGATAGGCCTCTTTGCTTTTCACATGGCGTAGGGGGCAGGGCTGCACCCACCAGCCTTGCAGGCTCGGCCGCAGTCACAAGGCCCAGTTCCCCTTTGTGTGTGTCGTGTGCCTTCTCGCTCAAGTCCTGGGAGGCCTCGCCTACTTGCAGCTTATCTGAAGAAGTGAGAATCACTTTTTGATCCGATGGGAAGTTTTCGGAGTGAGAGCTAGCGGGCCCCATGTGCTGCTGCGTTGTTGCACGCGTCGAATCTGTCCGGCTTCCAGCTGGAGGCGCTCCTGCCAGCTGCAAAATACATACAAAAGCCTTTTTGAAATGAACATGGCGCGCACGCACACTGATAAGAAATATGTGAGGCACGCCCTATCGGCAGCAAGGTGCGGGGGGTCAAGACTCGGCCATCATAGCCTCTATTCCCTGTTCCCCTGCCCAAGTGACCATCACTTCTACGCGCCTTTGCAGAAGAGTTCGACAAGACACTGCATGCAAGAAGGTCAGGATCATGGTGCAGGCGGCCAATAGAAGATGATGGGCAGTACACAAGGTGAGCGAGTCGGCAGAGAGCGGTAGACTTGCTGCTACTTATAGTTAGGTGGGTAAGCTCTTACGCAGTGAGAGCTGATGAGCTGCGCAAAGAAAGATGCCACAGGATCTGTCGGCTCCTGGCTGCACTCCGAATGAAAGCACCAATCAGCAGCACAAGAGGGCACCACGTCGAAGAAGGCAACGTCGGGGTCGCCTGCGGAGAAGGAACTGTTCTCTGCCTCGCTGTTGCAGCTGGTTTCATCTGGACTTTCAAGTGCCGCTAGCGCCTCGTCCTGCCCTTCAGCCTCCACATCAGAAGCAGCAGGAAAGACCAGGTGCTTCCCAGCGTCCTTTTCAACGCCCTCAAAATGATGATTGTCAACATCGTTAGTGGCCTCAGACAAAGAGCCCACACAGGGGCCACCTTTGCCCTCTGACACGGCGCCGCAGCTAAGCATTGTGCTGGGACGCACAGACTCCGTTTCCAATTAGCAGTCCAAACCGCTCAAAGATCAAGAGTCAAGAGGGTAACCAGTAATCGAAATTGTAGCTTTACATGCCAAAGCAACGTATGCAGCACATAGGACTTTACGGCAAGGCCCTTTTTGACAAGGCGCTGCAAATTGCAGCTCGCCCTCCGCTGTAACTGCCGATGCCACAATAATGCTATCGCTTCCACCACCTGCTTCTACTGCTGCTGTACTCACACAAAACACTGAAACGGCGAACTTTGCCACCCTCAGCGCATCGATCCACCGGGAAAGCCGCTACGCAAAGAAGCTGCTTCTCCTCTTCCACTCTTATTCACTGCTCTTAACTGGAAATACTTCAGCCACCGGGGTGTTGCTGGGATATGCGATCCTCTGTTACTTTAAGGCGGCCCGCGGGATGGACGAGTAAGGGAACCCCTGCGGCGACAGCGGGGAGGGCGTTGAGTTCAAACGAGAGATTCAGCAGTCTACGGAAAAGGGAAGACGGGATCGGGTGTATAGACGCTTCGAAATCACTTCATGTACTCTCCCCGAGTTTGACTTTCGATTGTTCACGTAATCGAAGGAGCACGGGCATGTGGGCGCTCTATCCCTTTTTCTCAATAGATCGTCACCAATGAAGCGATTTCTCATAAAGTCTTCCACCCTTTCTACCCATGTGCTGCAAAATCTCCTCCCGGCACATGGAAGTTCCCGTTGGTCGGATAGCGCTCCTGGGCATCGCTCCAGGGCATTGCATGTGCATAGTCTGGGGGCTTATGCCTGCATGCTTGTCTTAATAACAAGCTCCTTCCTCCGCAGTTTCTTAATCTCTGTGTCATTGTTCCTCTCTAAAAGAATCTGCCTCAAGTCTGCTCGCTTCAAGAATTGCTATGCGCGAGCAGGCGCAGGCGGCTCGCTGACAGGTCAGGGGGCATAGCTGGTTCCTGCTTCACGAAGTAACGAAGCCTTGTTAATCCATCTATATGAATACAAGTACAGAAAGAGACAATTCTGTGTAGGCCTATGTCTTGGTTCCTTCTCTCTTCTCATTTATCCCTACGGCTTGTCCGTGAATGCCGTTCCATCTACAGTGCCCCAGATCCTTCAAAATCTGCAGCCTCCCTTGAATACCTTGCAACGAATTTAGGCACAAGCGGAGCTACCACCTACGGAGGGCGAAGCGTGACGCAGAGCGGGGCTGCAGGAGACAGCACTCGGGCGCGTTTGCCTTTCGCAGGTCCCACAGAGGCACCTAACGGCTTTTCAAAGTGGCTATCTGACTCCTGTAGCATACGATGGCAATTTCTCGGCTGCACATGAGCAGCAGATAACTTGCAACAAGGTCATTCAAAGGGAGACACACAGGATACCCAACAGCTACACGCCTTCCTTCCCAAAGAATACGAGGAGGAAGGGGGGCGGGCAGGCTCACAAGCAGCGCAACAAAAGGGAGGCTTGAAGGAAGATTGAACATAGCCACATCATCTATTGGCGGCTATAGTCCTTTTAATTCCGGAAAGCCATACACGCAGGATTTTATAAAGCGAGCAAGATGGAGATGCAGATGACCTTTTACTGGGGCTATGATGCCACCATTCTCTTCTCGTATGAAGCGCTCAGCCCGACACCCATACATCACTGCCTTCTCTGCCTTAGTCATGCCACTGTGTTGGGTATCGCGTTCTACAGCGTTGCACTGTGCGCGCATGCCCTTGCCTTGTTTACAGGTGGTGGCAGTCCACGACCGCTCTAGAATTCTACCTCTCTTGCCTCACCATCTTCTTCCTCTGTCTCGGCAGGTCAGCCTAGCATTGCGAGGCGAGGGAGGGCGAGGGGGGGAGAAGAAGAGGCAGTAAGGGGCCTGGAGCTGCTCTGCAGGGCAGAGATGGCAGTGCTGTGTATGGGGTTCCGCAAAAATGTGGGCGGGGTTGGTGTTTCAGAGTTTTCTGGTAGCGATCTGCCGTGCTGCCTGTTCAGTGGTCTGAATGGCTGTGCATATAGCAGCGACATTCGCAACTGTGTGCTGAATGTATGCTCTTGTATGTTGCCGTGTGCGCATGCAGCTCAAAGCTGAAAGCAATATGCCACGATATTCGGGCGGGGCCTTCCCGGAAGCCGTGGCTTGCTTGGGTGCCCCATTCTCCCACAGCTGCGAGCTGTGCAGAGCCTTCAGGTACCACAGCTGAGGGGGGTTCGAACGGCTTGCATGCATCATCTCAGTCGCCTCCAGCAGCCGAGCAGGGCAGGTGGATGGGGGGCCCGCCTCTCCTCTCCGGGGGGGCCCCTCAATCACTTTACCACATGGACGCCACCGTGTGGGCTCAGTTGTCTGCTCACCCGGTTCACGGCACTCAACCTGGTAAGCAGCGGCACACAGACGAAGATGAATACACGAAGAATATGGATGAAAAGAACTAACGACATGCGGAAGAGGCAGAGAAAGATCTGTTCTTCGTGTGTGCCGCGCATGCTTTTTCAGATCTTGCCGGGAGTCGTCCTAAAATTCAAAGAGCGAAGCCCGTGGTGGTTTGGTAAGCAAGGTTCTTGGTAAGGGAAGGCAGGAAACGTTTCAGAACTTGCCGCTTCCCTCGTTGCCTTGCTGTTGGTTGCCCTTGGGTTCTGTGGCATAAATTGCACTGCAAATAGAGATCGCCATCTGGTGTGAGGCATTAACTGAAAATTTAATGCCTTTGTCGGACCCCTCGTGTTCTTTCTGCTGCTTCCATCTTAGTCTATATGGTGCTTCTTGCGGTTGTATTGCTGCTGATTCAGGCTGCTGATGTTCATTTCCGTAATGATTGACTGGGCCATGATGCTCGTCTGCATGACCTACAATGGGGGCCTGTTCCTTGCAGTGGTAGGAGGCGTCTCCACCGGTCAGCTGCTCCTGCAGCATCACAGCGATAAGAGCGGCGACTGCTGCTCTGCGAGCACTCACGGCTAATTGTTCCCACCAATCGACACACGCACGCAGGATCACATAGACCTTCTCAGAAGGGGAGGTATGGACACTAGGTAAATCCAATTCCGAAGGAGGCGGGCAATCAGGAGCACCTAAAGGTATCTAGGCAGTCTACCTTAGCATGAACTGCGGTACAAGCTTGTAGCGCACTTTGTGGACTCGAAAGGGTTCTTGCTTAGTAGTTGTGTCTAGTGCGGGTAAATTAGTAAGCTACTGCAACGCGGAACCCTTTCCTTACCAGGGACGCCTGGGGTTAAATGTGCCTGCAAAATCTAATGCATCCAATGCTGGGTAAGCCGGCGCCACTAGCCTGTGAAGCGAGTAGTGCTGTCTTCTTTCGCTGTTTACGTTTTAATGAGAAATTAATGTATGTCTTAGGGCTTTCAGTTATACAGTCGGGCGGCCCCGATTTGAGGCCAGCCATAGGATCTGAAAGCCTATCTGGACCTAAAACACAGCGCAGTGTTATGCGCCTTCGTGGACCCCCAGGGGGCCACACTTTGCACTCAAAGCAAACAAAGAGGGAGGGTGCATATGTAGTGGTGCCTGAAGAGTTTGAATGCGCACGACTTTTGGGAGGGTTGTACCACTGAATAACGGGGGTGATGCTGTGGGAACCACCGGTACAGAGCACGCTGCAGCCAAGCTCAGGCAGAAACAGCTGTAACAAAATAGTTTTGATTTGCCAGTCCCCGTATCGCTCTGCTAGTGAAGCTTTTAGTATGTGTCACTCGATTGTCTCGGTGGTGGCGCAAGACCAGGGTCTTGCAGGCTCCGCCATGCGCCTGTTCATTCTGAAAGTGGCACTGCTGTCTCTCAACGACACATAAGATAGAGTCACGTAACAAGGAATACTAGCACTTAAGAGGATAGTGTTGGCCTTACATGTTCTATGGCTTTTATCGAAAGCATGTTAACAGGATGGGTTTCCACATGGGGATATCGGTAGTATGTCACACTGTGAAACTCCTTGTTTCTAATGCCCTCCCTGAAGGGCACTGTTTGCTTTCCCATGGTACTTTCTGTAGATGTGCCTCTCACGAAGCAACAGCTTCGACTCTGCGCGGCGTGCGAATGGGCCCCTGCTTTTCAGGAATAGGCCGGTGGAGGGGCTATCATAGCGCATCATCATGACGTTACGCTGAAAAATCAGAAGGGGATGACCCTTCAATGACGTGTGAGTCTACCTAATGTCTCCACAGAAAGATAGTTTTACACCCAAATTAAATATAGACATAGGAGAGCTATGAAGTGCCCATTTAAGAGGAGCCTTCTCACCCTGCCTTCGCTTCATAGAAATCCGACTTAAGAATAAGGAGAGAGACAGATATCGTGCACCGGCATAGGGGCACCCTCCGAGCACTCATACAATGCCTAGTCACCCACAGCATCCTCTAGCGTACGTACAAAAAGCGTTGAATTTTACTGTATTGATGTGGCGATTTTTTCCCTCAGCAAAAGGACTGTGAGAATGGCTAAACCGAACAGCCAATTTTTGGTTTCTTTTGGATAAAGTATAACTAGTGTAGTCGAAAGAGCCGGAGCGTAGCTTTTGGCCCATATGCACAGGGTGGCAGAAGCAGCACGTAAGGTGGGTGGCCTGCTTCTGGAAGCTGTACACTTCTCCCCGTCTCTTTCTTTGTACGAGGCTCAGTCAGAAAATGTATAGGATGTTTCATTTGTCCGAACGAAAACGACTTTAGAAGCTACTAGTTCCACTTGCAGAGGCCGATTTTGTCCATACAGAGCCTAGCTAACCACGTTGCTCGGAGTTTCATTGTCTCCAAACTGCCAGGCTTGTGTTCTTCATGAGCATAGGGGTGTCTACGGCTACTAAAGTATGCAGGAGCAGAGTACGCAGTGTTCCAGCCGTCCGCCAATATGTCCCTCGCTGGCAGCACCGTGGAAACCACATGTTGTTAGGTTGTGTGTTGCTGGACAACCACATATAAGGCTCTGTTTGCTGACAATCTACTGCCAAAATAGGGCACTTTCAGTAATACACTAGCGAAAGTTCCCACGACACCGATCGCATGCACAGCGGCCACCTAGCAAAAGGCGCCCCGAAACTAGTGGCTGCTCCCCTCGAGATCTTCCGCTCTCTTTTGAGGACATAATACTTGAACATGCAGTTTTTGTGCACTGCCTTCTGTACGGCAAGTCCTTGGTCTTCGCTGCCTATGCGGCTTCGAGAGACTTCTGACGCGTGTCCACAGCGTACTGTTGCCGCTATTTTTGGTGCTACTTGGCTCTGGCGAAGAGGATTTACAGCATAAAATGGCTAGTCACGCCGTATGTTTGCGCATTTTCCCTTTCTCTGCCGTCTCTCTACAGTATTCGGCACCGCCTCGACCTCTCGGGGCTTGCTTTAGAATAGTTTCGCAGCAGGCGTGTAGAAGAAGCACTCACCCCGAAGACCTTAGCTTCTGGCTTACTCTTGTTAACCCCTCCTGAACGCATGAAGCGGCGTCCAGTCGAGTGTTTCTCCTCCCCCGTCCCCCGATTTCCCTTGACCACCACAAGCTGTCACTTGGCCGACTCCTTTGTGCCAATCCAGCGCACGTCATGCATTGCCGAACTGCCTTCCCCTCCAGCTTGGAAGACAACCGACTGGCTGCGCAGCGCTGTCAGGAGCAGCCCCTATAGGTGTTTACATCTCTACTCGGTGGTCTCCTGCTTGTGCCACGTGTATCCTGTCCTACTCGGGGTGGAATTGTTGTGACGCAGAGAAAGCGGCTCATCCGCGACTTCAGGAAGCTGCAGAGCGACCCTCCTTTTGGAGTCAGCGGCGCACCAGTACAGAATGACATCATGAAGTGGCATGCGGTGATCTTCGGCCCCGAGGACACGCCGTGGGAAGGAGGTCAGCTCAAAGAAGGACTGCAGGCTATAGAGGATGTGGCCAAGGTGTCGGTGAAGAACATACGGATTTTATTCTCTTTCCCTTATCTCGGGTATTAAGGCGGCCTCTTTCGTGTTGTTTGCATTTATGTGGCTTAGGAACCTTTCAACTCGAACTGACTTTCAGCAACGATTACCCCAACAAACCACCGCACGTGCGCTTCTTATCCAAACTCTTCCATCCGAATGGTGCGAAAGCCGACTTTAAACGAGGAAACTAGGGACTGCCGCAAGCAGAGCACAGGAATTGCTGAGGCACAAACGGGCCAAAAGATTTAGGATTATGAAGAGAGTGAAGCCTGCCTGCCCTTTTTGTCCACATCTGTGCGTGTATGTATGTATGTATGTGCGTGGGTTTGCGTGTGTATATGTCTCTCTTCTGTCTGTCTATCTGTATTTGTCTTTGACCCGCAGTGTACAACGACGGTAACATCTGCCTGGACATCCTGCAGACACAGTGGAGTCCAATATACGATATTTCTGCCATCCTCACCTCTATACAGGTAAGAGATGTATTAGCCTCATGAGGTGGCCAGTAAGAACGCGGCCGTGCAGCCTGTCTGAGCTGGTGCCGAGGCATTTTTCGCTTTACTGTGGTGCTCATGTCTTTCTTGTGGCTGCTTCCTGCAGTCGCTGCTGAGTGATCCAAACCCCAGCAGTCCGGCAAACCAGGAGGCCGCCCGTCTGTACGCTGAGAACCGTCGAGAGTATAATCGACGGGTGCAGCAGTGTGCTGCAGAATCATGGAAGACAGCCGATTCACCCGACGCTGAGGCTCCGCGCTGTGCCTCCACTTCGGCTCCTGCGCCAACGGAAGCGGAGGGCAGCAACACGATTACCGCCCTTGAAGGAGGGGAGGCCAACAACAGCGAGGCATCAGTATTAGCCCCTGTGCCGGAGCACAACGGGAATGTGAGAGGCTCAGAAGGGGGAGCTGGACATGGCGATGCTGCGCACTAGCAACAAACAGGCCCTCTTCCGCATCGGCGGGCGACCCTTTGCGTGGGTGCCAGAAAGGGTTAATACGCCGCATATATATATATATATAGAACGGAGGCAGATGCAGAGACGGGGTCGCATGGACAGATCCACCGGCTGTGTTGTGTAGGGAGGGTAGCTGGAAGCAGGTGCTATTGTGCCGCACTGTACGCCCGTCAGTATAGATTTGCGCTGTGTCACTGTCTTATGGGTAGTGCCTCGCATACGGAGCCTAGGATTGCTTCCCTTTCTCTTTTATTGTGAGGAGGCGCGGTGTTCCTCGCGGAACAGAATTTAGATTTTTGCGTGTTGGCTCATAGTGGTCCAACAATAGACGTGAGCGCCTTTCACGGCATATATGCACTTCCTGGGGTACCATGTTAACGGACAGCAGCCCCAAAAGCAGAAGTTACAATAAACAGCCTCTCTTCCTGCTAAGCTCTGCTGTTAGCCGGTATGTCTAGTTTGGTTACTGCAGAGAGTCTAGTTCAGTTAACCTTGCAGTGAAAGCCGCCGCCTGTCTTCCTTGCTGCCCGAGTCGTGAATGGCGCACAGTAGGCGAGGCATGCCGAACTCTTGCCTGGCAGCTGGCCAGCAAAGGAAGCTTTACAGCTCTCCTTAATTGTTGGATTACAACCAACAGAGTGTACACACAAACGTGAAGGCCGCCGGTACAGAGAGAGCGGGCTCCATGCCAGAACCTCCCGGCTACTTGTTGCCCATGCGTAACACGAGCGTTTCTTTTCAAGAGGCTGAGTCTTTGCGCCATCCAGACGTCTCCCCCAAGACACTGCAGCCTCTGTCCTGGCTGCACTTGCTAAGGACTGATCACTGCAGCAGCGAGGACGCCGTACCCCCACAATTGCCACCACCCCACCACACAGGAAGCACATGCGTCATACCACCTCCGCGCGTCTGCACCAGAGCGACATCATCTGCCTCTTAGAGGCAGCGGCACTGCCTGTCACGCGACATGCGATGCACTCCTGCCAGCCTCCTTCCAGCAGGATTTGCCGCTCTTTTAGATGCTCATAAGTATTGCATTGAAGTTTCCTCCAGGAGACAGTACGGGCGGGGGCACCGCCTGATATGTTCCAGCACACTTACGCGACTGCTTTCTCCTGCGCCCTCCTGTGCGCCAGTCGAGCCTCTTTTACCGCAGCGTCCATCTCCTCGCTGAGGCCCCACACAGACACCGCAGCAGACGTTCACGCAGAGTAACATCTATGCAGAGCAAACGCACTGAAGCAACTCCTGATGCCGGCTTAGCAGGAGAGCCTCAACAGCGCGCAGCCAAAAAGCCGCCTTCCTTTTCTTCTCCTTCGCACGGCCACCCCTAACTTTCAGTCGGTAGGAGCCACCACCAGCTTGAGAGTCCACCGAGACACAGGTACATTTCCTTGGGGGAGCATCTTATAGTTGCGGCTCAATAACAGCGGCACGAACGCGACAAAAGCCAGGAGGCCCAGGTATGAGAGGCCTATACATGACATAGCTTCTCGCTCTCTCTTCCCTCGCGAAAACAACTTTATGCTGCTACACCTTACCGAATCTGCGCATTAGACTGGTCCAGACGGAGGGCCATCCAAAGCTCAGATATGTAATCTTCGGTGCACCCAGAGAGGCGATGCGCGCGCGCCAGCCGGTAGTGTGCTTTGCTCCACTCGGGACGGAGCTGTGTGGCCTGAAGAAGCGAAGATAGCAGCATCATTCAGGAGGCAGCGAGACACACGTCTGAACACCCCGTTCCCACTGAAAGTCGTCCTGCGCTAGCTGACAAAAAAGGGAAGACACAGGAGGCCTCATATTTCTCATATGTGTTCCCCCCTATACGCGGAGCACGGGGTGCGTGGAAGTATGGCGGAGGGTCTATATAAGCAGCCTGAAGGCGGCTGGGCTGCTAGGCCTGTCTTTCCGTCTCCTGAATCCTATGCCAGTAGGAAGGTTGAGGCAAGCCGAATAATATGGTTCGCCTGCCAGCATCCCTCACCGCTAGGGCATCGTGAAGGGCTCCCTGCGCATCTGACAGATGTTCATTTGCGAAGCTCCTGTTTGAAAAGAGAACCCCCAAGAGCTCCCTTGCCGCCTCCACCTTAGGGCACTCCTCGATCGCCTGCAAACAACGTTAGCAAAAACAATCAAATAAATTCTTTTTCACTAAAGACGTAGGTCACAAATACTGGGTATTAGCTGGTAGCCAAGGGTAAAGGAAGATGCGCAGTCCTTGGTTTGCCATGAAATCTCTCTGTCTCTCCCTCTGTCTCTGTCTCTCTCAATCGCTTCAATCAAAAGAGTGAGCCTCTAGCAACCCACGCTGACCTGCGAGTATTTTGCCTTCGCCTCCGAGAATCGTCCCTTCCTGAACGCCATGTTTCCATCATGCTTGAGCTTTTCAACTTTAGCCTGAGCCTCGCTACGTACAGAACCGTTAGGGTCTAAAACTATTGACATCGACACCGCCGCTGCAGATGCATCGCCTCCCTCTGCGGCATTTGCCTCTTTGTGCCCCTGAGAACCCTCCTGCAGACGGCGCATGCATAAGCTGGCTATTCGAAGTAGATGGATTGGAAGCTAGGCCGTGACATCGCGGTTCCCTACCAAAAAGTGCGCGCTAGGGATGCCCAAAAGATCGCATCTTCCTTTGCTTATTCAGTTCACGCATAAATTGCACACACCCCGAGAGAGGAAAGCGCTGCAAAGACCACGAGAGCTCAAAGGATCTGCGACTGCGTAAAAGATCTCGGAGACTGTGTAAATGATCTCCGAGAGAGCGTACAGCTAACAACGGTGAGTGGTGCAGCACCGAAAAAGGGCACCGCTCGCTCGCAGCCTGTGGCACGTATGCACGGAGCCTTGCGTCTCTCCAGAAGAGACGCAAAAAAGGCACTCAGCAATTGAAGGCTTCACGCCACAGAACCCTCGCTTACCTCGGATACTAAAGGCGGAGTGGGGGATGCCCTTCTTGGAAGGGGACAAGGGCCTAGCGCCTCCAGCAGCTTTACAACTGACATTGCTTTGTGCTGCCGGGCTAAATCCAGGGGGGTGGATCCATCCTAAGAGGATCGCACAAAAGCAAGCAACGAGACCACGTAAGCGCAAACGTGCAGGCTGCGTGTATGCGAGGGTACCCGCGAAAAAATATGCCATTAAGGGGGCTTTTCTTTTCTGCATCTCTAAGCAGGATTACGCTGATCTCTCGCAGGCCGCAGCATTCGCAGCATTTGAGACCTTTGCGTTTCCGCACGCTGTTGCTGGCTCCAAAGCCAAAGACATCGAATTGAACCACATCCCATCGTCCTCTTTTTCAGACCGCTATATTACCCAGCACCCTCCTCCTGCACTTCCACATTTCCGCAGCGCGCCGGAAGGCGTAACTGCAAGGCCAGGCCTTGCAGCTTTTCTACTGCGCTGGCTGAAGACATATCGCGTTTGTCCTTCTGACTCGCATCACACCCCCCTTACTCGAGCAGGCAGTCCCCAGTCTGCTCCGAAGTCAACAAGGATTTGAGCGCATCGTGTGCAGTCGTTCTCCGCTGCACAATGAAGTGCCCCAAAGCCTTCACTGTCCATGGCGTTCGGATCAGCCCCCTTTTCTAGGAGAAGGCGGACGATATCGCATTCCTTCTTCGAGGCAGCCAGGACCAAAGCGGGGGGAAAAAGGCTTGGGGTATTCGATGTGCCTGCGTCGCTGTTAGGGTTCGCTCCCGCCTGAAGCAGCAGTTCCAGAATGTTCTTGTGCATTGTAGCTGCTGCAACTTGGACTGGATACCCCAGAGAGGAAGCCTTATTGACCTGCGGGGAGGCAGTAGGCAGCCTCAAGAGAGAACGCAGCTGTGCATCCAGCCGAATCAAAAGGCACGCGGCAACATACAGCAGTAGCGGCAACAGCTACAGAAGAAACAACCGCTACAGAAGAAACAACCGCTACAGAAGAAACAACAGCTACAGAAGAAACAAGCGCTACAAAAGAAGCAACCGCCACAAAAGAAACAACCGCTACAAACCAAGCAGCTCGTGGCGTGCTCTGTGAACTCGCTGGATGCAAAGCGTGCAGCAAGGGCCGCGCCACTTTCTCAGGAATTTGTGGCTTACATCTGTCCCCTTGGCTAAGAGGAGCTTTTGCACTGCAGCCAGCTGACCAGCGTAGACCGCTTCATGAAGGGCTGTACAGCCTTCTTCGCTCTCTGCCTCCACCTTAGCGCCTCTCTGCAGCAGCAGTTCTATGGCTTCTGTGTGCCCTAACGAGGCTGCCGTAAACAAAGGGGTCTTTCCGCTGGAGTCTCGAGCATCAACCCCAGATGGGCACATGTCCAACACCAATTGCAACACCTCAAGTGACCCCCCTAAGGCAGCAAAGTGCACTACCGTCCTTCCATGCCCATCCTTGAACCCCAGCAGGAAGTCGCTCTCCGTGGCAGCTGCCCTCTCTGCGCCTGGTGCTCCTTTGGATCCCGCACTCGAATCGCCGCCACAGTGGCCTCCATTCTTCGTAAAACGGCTGCTGTATCGCTCCTCTATTGCCTGAATAGCCGTGCGCAGGCCCTCTCGCCTACCAGCAGCCGCTGCCTCCATGAGAGCTGTCAGGAGTTTGCGGTCGGCCTGCAAGGCCTCGTAATGCTGGCCAGAGGCAACAGGTGCCTCTGCCATCTTTGACGGCGGATAGAATACCTCTTTACACGGAGAGAGAGAGGGAGTAAGGGCTGCACCACATTTACCCTGCTCGGGATGCCGGGCTAGAGTCGCGGTCTTCTTCACGCAAGAGCCAGCACCTGAATACGCTCTAGACTTTTCAAGCTGCAACAAATGGACAAGTATGCCAAAAGTCGCCAGAAGGCTGTGAAGAACAGGTCCCTAGCCGCGCTGAAGACCTGTGGGGGGCCCCCCTCTGGGAGGGGGCCTCCCTCAGAGCGGGGCCTCCACGATACAGGGGGCCCCCAGCTAACAGCCTGGTCTTGGGGAGCAGGCGTGTTCCTGTGCCCCTTCACGGGTTTTTGCCCTTTCTGCAACTGGTATTTTCGGGTCTTCAATTTCATGGGCAGTTCTGAATCTAGCTCAAGACTCCCGAAAGAAGCAATCACGCAGGCGTACAGCTGAGAGGTCGCCGCACGGCGTGACGAACCCCTTCAAAGATCTCCCCAACGATCCCTTTGGGCTCTTTGCAGCCTTTTTAGGGACCGCTCAGTCTCGGCGAATTAAGGGGTGCTCCCGGGGGGGCCCTTGTTGGAGGCCCTAGGGGCCTCCGACACCCGTCCACAGAGCCGTGCAGTCCCGTGACATCTCTTTAGACTTGAGGGGCCCTTTGTAGGGCCCCGAGTGGCTTGTTTCTTGTTTTTGAGGCACGGATCAGGCTACGGCGATGTCGGTGCGAGCCTTTCGAGGGGCCCTGCAATTGTGGGCCCCTCGTGTCGATGTCCTCACCCGAGGAGGGGTTCCCTGCAGAGGTGCCCTAAGCATCGAAGCTGCACTCAAGTCGTGTTCTCTCCTCCCCACCAGAAGCCGTAGAGGAGAAGGGGCTGCCGTTGTGGGAAAGCCGTCCCTTGCGGGCACAAGTCCGCCTGCCTGGAATCCCGTTGCGAGGCCCCCTGGAGAGATTCCGTTCGAGGCCCCTTCAGAGGTTCCTGTCGCCGGATCTTGTCTTGGAGTCTCAGCGAGGCTTTTTGCTGCGGCTGCTCATGGGGCAGTTGGAGTGATTTCCGTGATCTCTCGAGGACCTGCTGCTGGTATATGGGAGCAGCGGCGGTTTGTAGCTCGCGTCAAAGTCCACCGATTCGCGGGGGTAGTGCCCTTGAAAATTCGGTCACCTAAGTCAGACTGGTATTTGCAAGCGGAGAAGGAGTTTCTCAGTGAGAGGGAGCAGGTACGGCTGCCCTAATGTGCTGTTTATTGCCCCCGTAGGACTTAGCGAGCAGGGGTGCAAGGGGAAGAAGCCTATCCTTTTTGGGGCTGTGAAAGGGGTGTTTGCTCGCGCGCTGGATACACTTAGAACGAATCAGAGGTCACATGCACATGACGTCTGCGTCAGCCCTCCGCAAAAAGCCTCTCAAAGCTCGTGTTTCAAAGGGACTTGCCTACGGGCACTTCACACAAACGAGCAGCGGCGGCAGGCAATATCAGGAGGAGGCCCCCCTCTCCGATGCAAATTTTTTCTCTGCCTTTGCGTGTGATGCCACAGGTCCCAGAGGGGTATATTGAGCGATGGCGAGAAGAGGACCTCTGCAAGTTGGATCCTCCCCTGCGGGCAGCCCTGTCTCTACGCTGCGCCTCCAATGCACAGCTGCACAAGTGGCGCAAACTGCAACTCTGTCGGCAGCTTCAACGCCGACCATTTGATACTGGCAGCAGCGCAGTCCAGAGTGCGTTGGGAAAATACCGTTTACACACACGCATACACAGTAGTACACACACACACTTACACACACACTTACACACTTACACACGCACACACACACACACACACACACACAGTAGCACATGCCTCATAGCTGCCGGCAGACGCAGAGAGACGCACAAGGACATGAGTAGAAACCGAATGTAGCAGAACCGCCTAGGCGCTGCCGTGCACCTATGTGGCCTGTGGGTAGCTGTATCTCGCGAAATTCGGAACGCCTTAAGCCGCCAAGGCAGGCTGGAAGGAAGGCTCCGCAAGAGAGCTCGAGAGACGACCGCTCTAAAGCAGAGGAGCGGCCTTTTCGGCATACACCGATACGCGGGGAAGGCTTTATTATTCTCCTCCTCTTTGTTGGGGCTTTTTTTTTCTGCAGCCTTCACTGCATTCAGACCATCCTGGATGCAAGTTCACACCCGCTCAGTGCGCTAAAAGCAGGTTGTGCGTCTTGGTGGATCTGTGCTGCAGTTGCTTGCCTGACAGAGAACATCCTGAACGCTCGTCAGCACCTCCTGAAGCACCGTCGAGACCACTCAAAGAAACGGATCTTGTCTATTTGGCTGGCAAGGCGCCACCGAGCTATGAAGTACCTATATCGAACGGACTATGACTTGTACAAGCTTACCTGTCAAATCCTGCGTGAGCCGAATAAACGCTTCCCGTGGGGAGGTGGGGAGGCGAAGGGTGCCTTGCTCTTCGCGGTGCATGCTGCGAGGCTTTTTCTGAAGCTTGCTTAAATACTGTCACTCCACACGGGGGAAGAAAAGGGGTGGCAGGGGAGGAAGGTTACGAGGGTTGCAGCGTTGTTGACCCTCCATCCAGCCGCACTGATTTTGGGTGTATCGAGAGAATTCCCCATCGAAAGGGCAGTTGGCTCTTGTGCTGTCACATAACCCCCCACAACGGATCCTCCTTTTCAAAGTCTTTCGCCTCGACATGGGCTTCCTTTGTAGGCCTTGCAGTGCCGTTACGTCCGAAGGAAGCGGCTCATGCGCCTCAAGACACTGTTTGCTTCCGATTTATGTGTGTGTTTGCGGCCTTCTACAGGCATTAAATGCGTTCACTTTGCGATTCCTGACTCCAGGGACAGGCAGCGGGTACTTTAGCAACCTTTACTCAACTAAGCAGCTCCCCAATACGGCAGGAGATGATCGAATCAGAAACGCGGTTGAATTACACAGAAGCGAGGCCTAAGGGGCCTCTCTCGCATCTCCTCCACTTGCCTACCAGGCCGGCTGCCAGGGTGCTGCCGTTGCAGCTGTGCGCCTAGAGTGCTCCTAAATAGGCCTTTTTAGGTGTCTTTCTTGCTGCGTTGCTTGCAGGCCATAAGTCCAGTTGCCGTGGACGGAGATCGGTGCAAGTTCCTCATTCGGCAACGCCTCTGGAAAGGTGGGTGCCTACAGGCTTTGGGGTGTCTTCGCGCGGACAGCAGCCGCTCTGCGACGCAGGAAATAGCCTTTCTGTGCTGCCTCTCCAGATCACATCCTTGCGGCGCTGTTTCCTCGTGCCAATCGAGCGCTCACGACGGACTGCCACTGTCTGCAACCTGTAGCTCCTCTGAGCATGTGCCGCCCGTGCATCCTTCATCCTGCCCTAGCTTGTTCCCCCGCGGAGTGACTCAAGAGATCCGCAAAACGGCCTCCAGAAACAAGAGGTACTCTGCATTGGGGGCTTAGTCGGAGCGGGAGCCTTGGCTTGTATGTTCTCTCTACAGGACGATACCGGCCTCGGCCTGTGAAGCAAGGAGATGGGAAGACCGTGCGCTACACGCGCCACGTCATGGAGCAACCGCCTCCGGGATGGAATTGTAAGGCTTTTCGCAATCTGCATGTGGGGTTTGAGACAAAACAGTGTCAGGATATCCTCATTGGCCTTTGTGCACGGGAGAAGAGACGGATTAGCGGGGGGGGGTCTCTCCCCAACGCGTGTAAAATGTGCGCTATCAGGTTCAGGGGTGCTCTTCTTTAGCTCCGGTGTTGTCGCTTGCTGCAGTGCCCCACGAAACAAAGCCGCGCGTTAGCCGAGCGTGGCCTTACGGAGTCAGAGAGGAGCGTCTCAAGGGCGAGTATATTATCCCGAACCCCACAGCAGCGGGCATTGGCTACTGCCCAGTACCCCTCTTCTTCTGATTCACGTAGCCTGGGCTCCCGATGTCAACCAACGCAGCGACGGAGAAGGTGCATGTGTTTAGAAAGGCACAATGGGCGGCACATGCAGCTGCAGCAGCCCTGGGGGCAGGAGCTAGCTAGTTCTGCCCGTAGTCCTCCGTATTGCAATGGACGGCCTGCCTCTTGCCGAGCACGTGCTCGATAGCCGCAGAGCGCAGTGCGCTGCTGCTTTCTTGCTCGCGGTCTCTCCCTCGCAAGACGCCTCATAGTAGAATTGCGCTCTACTAAATTCTTAAGATAAGCAGAGCATCGTAGAGTTTGCGCGTTTGTTGGGACCTCCGCTGTCCGCAACTAGGATCAATGTAGCTGACAACCGGGGAGGATTGGGGTGTTGCTACAATCGTGAGGCTCGCATACCTATTTTGATAGACATGGAAAGGCGATTCTGCACGCATGACCAAGCAAGCTCTGCCCGTGTACACTCGCACACAACAAGCACTGAAAGTTGGCCATGCGCACTTCCGCGTACTGGCAAAGTCCCCAGGCTGATTTGTTTAGGACACAAGGCGCATCTAAAGGCATTCGGGCCTTATAATGTTGGCGCCCCTACTCTCAGGAGCGTCTTGAGATAGCGCACACGCACAAGCGACCGACGCAGAAACATACTGTCCCTGCATCAACCACGTCGTTAAATGGAGCTTGGCTTGGCGGGTGGGAAACTAAACAGTGTCGCCTATTTTTCTAGGGTACACACATATTCGGCGGAAGGCAGAACTTGGAGTGCTTGGAGCGTCCAGCTAGACGCACCTAGGTGTCCCTGTTCCCTCGCGTTAGGAAATCTGAGGGGTGGTGCGCTCATAAAAGGTGCAAGCTTTTGTGTAAAACGCTCAGTAACTTTTGATATCGTGTGTTTTGAGTGTCTCCTCACAGAGATCCTAGATGGAGCGTTACAGCTACCACATCATGTTGGTCATATGTAACTGTCCACCTCAAGAGGCTTCTGGAGTTTCTGTGCGCCGGGGCAGGCTACGCTTTTCGTGTGCATCTTGAAGGTGGCGCACATAATGCCGAGATGGAATACTTTCGCTCCATGCGCAAGACGACCCGGTCGTTTTCAACACAAAGGCCTTTCCCCGCCGCCTTCGCGCCTCCGCCTTGGCTGAGGCACTGGGAACATGTCTCACGGCCTCACCCTCCCTACGTTTGCCGTAGCCTGGCAGTCCGCCTTGTGGAGTGCCACCAATTTTCTCGTGCTACAATTGCGACCAGGGTGCAGTCTGTAGACAGGCATGCTGCAGGAGATCCCCTATTGAGATGGCATGCTTTTTAAGACTCCGCACAGCTTTGATGCATGCACGCGCACCTGACTGTATATACGTGCGTGTTCGGCACAGCCTCTACAGAACTAGTCGAGGCGTTTCTAAGTGTTTTGCTGTCTACACCGCATGCGCAGAAGGGTGAGTTGTGATTTCGAAAACTTCGTCCTCAGCAGGCCTGCTTTAGACTGAAGCAGTGTCTACATCGGAGATCTTCTGCAAGGGGGCCTAGCAGAGACCACAGCCTTCCGCCGTGCCAGCAGCCTCTCCTTAGCTTGGCCTCCAGTCAAGACACAGAGCAATAATGAAGGGTCCACCTATCCCTTCATTTCTACCTTCTTCAACGAGGCCCTCGCGTCATACGATTTCGAAGAGTAACAACCTTCAAAGATGCTTTGGGGGGTGCTGCACTCCAGCGGCACAGAAAACAGGCGCTACTGTGCAGCCGACAGCTGCAAGCACAGCACAGCCAGCACGGGGCCCCAAAGTCTGAACTCTGGGTATTTTCATTGAAAAACCATTTAAGACCAAGAAAGGCATCAAGACAACACTAAGCGTGTTCCTTTCTGCAGCCGTCGCTCCAAGCCGCACCTTCCTGTGGCGCCATCAACTACGCCGGACTCTCGTCGACCCCTCTGTATTACGCAGGCCCCCGTCCTCGCCTTCTCGCCGAGGCTCGCGCATGCGTCTCGAGATACCTTCGTTCACGGTGAGCCTCTTCACAGCACGACCCCTAGTGCTACTGCCTATGAGCAGAGGCCCCTTACCAGGGCTCTCGAGGGCCTCCACTGGAGTGCGCAGGAGATGGGGACAACTCCCTGGCACCTTCAGGAGGCTGAAAATCCTGCTGAAAGCTCAAGGCCAGCCTCTTCTATCGCAAGGGCAGCACCAGCATCACCGCCGTCGGAAGAAGCGGATCCCCAGGGAGAGCTGCACAGGCAGCCCGCACGCATCACCCCTTCCCTCCTCAGCGGGAGAACCTTTACGGCACAGCAACAACGGCTTCAAGCGCAACTTTGCGAGCGACTCTTGCTAACCCTGAAGACAAGCCCGCATGAAGGCCAACACCAGCAGCAGTCCCACCAACCCCAGAGGCTCCATGTTTCGCTCTGGTCGCTTTCGCAACGGGCGACATCTTCAGCAAATGCCGGAGATGCCAGGACCGCCACGTCTGCAGTTGTCTCGTTTCTCAAGGATTTCGGAGATTTCGCAAGCGGCCTTACCACCCCCCGGCTAGCTCAAGAGGCCCCCCCCGCAGAGGAGGAGGCCACAGGCCCCCGTGCTGCCCTTGCAGCTTTATCTGAATACTGCCGCAGCACAACAACGGCAAACTGCGCAGAGCTCTTGGTGCAGCGTCAGGTGGTCAGCGTGGTATCTGCTTGCTTCCGGCAGTATCCGCAGCTGGGGGCCTCACGGGGGGGAGCTATCAGGGAGGCCCTCGCTATTGCTGCTGCTGCAACCGTCACCTTACACCGCTTCCTTGGATCCGAACCCAGGCCTAAAACGGAGAGAGGGCTTCAACGCCATCTGAGACAGCAGCAGCAGCACCAGCAGCACCAGCAGCACCAGCAGCAAGTTCTTGCCCGAAGCCTGGCAGCCACGCAGCCAAAGCATGTCACACTCATCAGATCCCTCCTCCTCTCAATTCACACCCTTTTGAGCGATCTCTCCAGAGCACGCATCGCCGCGGATGCGTCTAACAGGCAACTGCCCGCCTCCTCCACGCTCCATCCGGAAACAGTAGGAGAACTCAGCATCGATCTGCTGCTGCTGCTGCTTCCCCTGACCCTCGCACAGCCGCATGCTGCTGAAGGACAGCAGCAGACCCCGCAGCAGACGCGGATTCCACTGACAGCAGCCGGCTGGATACCTTCTGGAGAGCTGACAACGGACTTTGCTTCGACGCAGGAAAGCGAGGTGGATGCAAATTGGAGGCAGTCCTCGTCCCCAAGCGGCCTTAGACCCTCTGCAGCGCTCAGCTGGCGGAGCAGATCTCAGGAAAACGCTCCTCCCTTCCCGCTACCAGGCCCCGCCTCGCCAGCTGCTGGTCGTGCAGGGGCAGCGGCAGCACCAGTGGCGCAGGATCGAAGGCATCCTGTTCGAGCCGAATGCCTCCGATGTGTAGAGGCGCTACTGCGGCTATGCGGGAGAGAGCTTTTCCCTTACTGGAGCTTGCTCCTGCAGTTGAGAGAGCTCCGCTACCCCCAGCTGAGGCCTCTGCCGCAAGACTGCGCTTGCCTCTTGGGGGTTTCAAGCACAGGCCCTCAAGCCTCAGTCACCGCTAGAAGCTCCGAAAGATGCTTGCCCCCTTCCGCACCATCGCAGACAGCTCTCGCGGAGCCGTGGCTGTGGGCTCTGCTAGGCACTCAGCAGCAGGAGCAGCAGGAGCTGCCATGGGCCTTTCTTGCAACCGCCTACGAAAGCCCTAAGGTGAGTCTTCTCCTCCTCCTGCCGTGGGTGCCACACAAGGCAACTTCACGCGTCTGCCCCCCACACGAAGAAGAACAACCGAGGCTTGAGTTGGTGGGGCTTTTTCTTGCAACCTCCTTGCGCTGCCGCCTCCCCTGGTGGCCGTCTCCCCAAAGATTTTGCAATCTACGCTTTCGCCTCAGAACTGCGGCTGTGCTCTCAGGTCTGCAAGGCAGTCCTCGGCTGTTTGTGTGCCTTACTGGAGGCCCCTCCCCTACGGCAGTGGCCGGCAGCAGTTCCCACAACATGCATGCGCTGCGAGCCGAAGGCTTTGGTGATGCCTTCATCGACTTGGGAACGCCTTGTGGGGCCTTTAGGCTTCCGAAAAACCTCCCTCCACGACTGCAACACGCCGGAAGGAGGGCTCCCGCACAGCGCGAGATGCCCTTCATTGACCACTCGACAACGTTTGGGGGCAACTGGGGCATACACTTCCTTTTCCAGGACCGTCTCGCAAGTATCTCGCTGTGCAGTGACAGCTCTTTTCTCGATTATTTGCTGCTATCTTTCGGGGGGCGAAGCCGCCGCCCTCAGGCGGCCTCCCGCTGTAGCTGGACAGGAAAATAGAAGTGCTCCTTTCCTTCGACACGCAGGCAGCACTTTTTCTCCAGCTCCGCCTGCAGCAGCAGCAGCAGCAGGAGGATCAGTAGGAGCAGCAGTAGGAGCCTCAGACATCTTTGGAGATGCGGCGGCAGCACAGCTTTCAAGTATGAGACCCCGCTGTCTTGGCCAGCACGGCCCTCAGCCAGCCGTGGAGAAGGAGAGTGCGGGTACTCTGGCAGCGATGTCTCTCAGAATCCTTGCCGAAGCCCTACCTGCGCTACCAGCCGGAATTTTACAGCCGGGAGTTGTTGCTGCTGCGATCCGCGTTGTTCATCCTGTGCTGTTGGTATTGGTCCAGGCCCTCGAACTGCTGCTGCAACCCCTACCGGAGCGGCAGAAAGAGGCCCTCTGCTGCTTCTGTGGTGGCGAAGGCAAGGCGGATAGCTCGGCACACGACTGGTCCTGCCTCGCTGCAGCTGCGACATCTGTTAGTGCGCGACAGCACGAGAGACAAGCAGCAGCCTCAGCAGCAGCAGCAGCTGCGCAGGGCTGGGGTATCCGAACGCAGGCTTTGTGCGAGTCCAACACGATTGGGCGAGCCGTGTCACGGCAGGAAAAGCCTAGTTGCCCGCAACGCGGCCCTTATAAAACTGGAAACTATGAGGCGTTTGCTGCCCACGTGGTAGCAAGAGGCCCCAGTGCTTTGAGGTTGGCAGGACCTTCCCTATCCATGCTCGCGGCGGTGATTGGGGGCAAGCAGCGGCAGCCGCAAATAGCGGAGGCTCTACTCCTTCCTGTCAGCGGAGAAGCGTCTTTGATTGGCGATTCTTCCTGCCTTGCGGCCCTTCTATGCCAGGCTCTGCAGGCCCTTACCACGCATTGGGGAACTCCCTTGGGTGGTTCTGCCGATGGCGAGAAACTGCCTGAGACTCCGCCTCCTAGAAGGTCTCCTCGCGCCACCCTTAGAGTTCCTGGCAGCAGAGACACGGACTCCCAGGGGGTATCTACAGCCCGCGAAAGCGAGGCCTCATGCGGAGGATGCACAGCACCAGGGAATAGAGGAGGGCAGGGCAGGGAACGGGGCGAAGGCCTCAAGAAAATCTGCAGCGCTTGTGAGCGTCACGGCCTCCTTCTCATAGACGGGTTCTTCTCTGTGCTGCAGGCTGTGGCTAAGCGATACCCCCAATTGCTGCTGCTGCTTGTGCTGCCGCACTGCGGCCTGCCCGCATACGCAGACACTGGGGGCAGTGAAACCCACCAAGGGCTCCATCGCAAGGAATACTCTCAGAAACAGGGAGGTGCTTTCCTCGAAATGATCCGATCCGTTCCCCAGTCCCCCAATCAAAATGCCCGGTGCAAGGGATTAGCCATTGCAGTAGAGATTTTGGCACCGTCGAGGGCCTCTGCATCTGGCAAATTCCAGGAGGAAGGGCGTAGGGGATCGAGGCCCCCTCAGGCTTGCGGCTTGTCTGCCGCTGCTGCCACAAAGGAACCTCCAGGACCTCTTTCCGATGACGCTATGCTTCATGCTCCTCGTGCGTGCCTCGTTCACCTGCTGCATTCGCTGCTTATTGTCCCTTTGCTGGAGGGAGGCTCGCACGCGGCTTGCTCTGTTGCTGCTCCAGCCGCCGTGCAGACGGGGGAGCAGCAGCAACCCCCTGGAGAGCTTCGCAGCGAGAGTCCCCCTCCAGAGGAACTGAGTAGCGCCTGTTTGTTTCTGAGCCAGCTTACTCATGAGGAGTGGAAACGGCATTGCTTAGACACTCAGCCTCTTTTAAAGGCCCTCGGGAAGCTTGCACTGCCCCCGAACCACCGCAGTGTGCGGCTGGCAGCTGCCAGCGCTCTTGGGGCCTTCTCTGTGCATGCCCTGCAGAGGGAGCAGCAACAGAAGCAAAGAGCTTCGGGAGCAGCAGCAGCATCTTATGGGGACCTCACTACGGCCCAGTCCCCAGAGGCCTTGCAGGGAGGCTCGGCTCTCAGGGTTGCTGTTTCGTTGCTGTTGTTGCAGCTGAGAGACCCCCTACCTGACGTGCGCACGGCAGCTCTCTCTGCACTTTGCGAAGCGGCAGGCTCACAGCAGCAGCAGGAAGCAGCCTCTTTTTACTTGGTAGCTGCCCATACAGACAGCCTGTGGGTAGAAGCCCTTGAGGCAATCAACGACTTGCTGCATGCAGAGGACAAGTCCGCCGTAGCTGCTGTGGGGTTAAGGGCGGTGGGTGCAGTGGCACCTTTGCTGCTGCAGTCCACCAGCCTTTCTATGTCCTCCTCCTCCACCCCCCGTGCGGCTCGAATGCAGGTGGAGGCTTCACAGCATCCATGTGGGTTCAAAGCAGAGCGAGACACCGCAGAAGGTGAAGTACCGTCATCAGAAGCAGAGGACTCGGTGCAAAGGCAGGGGGCCGAGGCAGAACTCCTTGCGTGCTGCCCGTTGCAAGAGGTTTGCCGCTCCTTGGGTTTGCTGGAAAGCGTACTGCGGTCTTCTGGGGGGCTAGGAGAGGACAGGCCAGAGAAAGAAGCTGGCAGGGGAGACTTACATACCTCAGCAGAGACGCCTGCAGGACTCAAGCAGCTAAAGTTGCACTGGAACGCCTGCCACAGCATTCGCTTGATCTTCTCCTCTGCGGGAGCTTCGTGTCTCTTGTATGACAAGGCCTCCTACAAGTGAGTCCAGAATTCGGAGGTGGAAAAGTCGAGGGGCACTGTTTTGAGGGCCTTCAAGCAGAAGTTACACCGCATAGGTTATCTCCCCCTAGGGCCTGATGCTACCCAGTACAAAGCGGCTCTGCTCTCAGGGTTACACCCTGCACGGGCCGGTATACAGCTGTTTTTCTGTGTCGGCGTTAAAGCATGTGGCCTTGTGTAAGGGTTCTTCGGGCTGCTGATTGTGACGCTGCAGGTTGCTGCGCGCCTTGTGGATGGGGACCTGTGGCTGTCTAAGGGCCTCCCAGCTGACAAAAGTCCGCTGCCATGCAGCGGCGGCATTGACGGCAATCGTGAAGCTCATGAAGTGGCAATCCTCAAAAGGGGCCTCTGCTCAGGGCTTCCGCCCGCCGGGGTCCCCCATACAGCAGCTGCAATGCGCAGTGTGCACCGCACCGCTGCTCACTGAGGCGTGGGACGCAATCGCAGCAGCTAATGCAAAGGCAGCAGGCCTTTCTGCCTCCAGCGAACATGGTAAGCTACGCATTTCCTATGAGAGGCTCTGGGGTATGCTTTTAGTAATGGAGCATGCGAGCTGTCTCATGGGTGAGCATCTACCAATTTTTGCTTCCCTTGCGTCCTGCAACGTAAAGGAAGATTATGGTACCCCACGAAGGTCAAAGTCGTCGAGACAATCAGAACTGCTACGATCTATCAAGCATAACAGATTCTTCCACGTTACGCGGCCATTTCACTGCTCTCAATCATCGGAGGCATCTCCCGGTGTCCCTGCGGTCTGTGGTTGTCTTAGGAGAGGAACACCCGGGGGCGCGCGCAGCTTTGAATCGTTATAAGGAATCTTTGCGCTGCAACCTAGAGTGTTTAATTGGCTGTGGCCTTCTGCTGCACTCCCAAGAGCTTCTGAATGCCGCGCAGGGCTCTTGGAAGTATCTACAGGAACCTCTACAGGCCGAACCACTAAGGTTGGTGGCTGGAAAAGAGCCAGCGGGCGTTAGTAACCCGAAAATTCCACTGTGGGCTCTGCACTGCGATAAATGTGCAAGGGATAGGATCTTCTGTCCAGAAGCTGTTTTTAAGGCCCTGAAGCAGGCCATGGAAGTAGCGCTGAAAACCTGCACTTTTGTGGAGGCAACTCAGCCCCCAGGCATAACTGGCTGCAGCTAATAGTATCTTGTGGAGCTATTTCTTCGATTAGTGACTCTTAGGGTTACGGCTTTAGCGGTTTGAATCGCCATGCGGCATGGCTCCTGGGGATTCATGGTCTAGCGGGTGTAGTGTAACCTCCCACAAAGGCGCAGGTAGTACAACGCTCGTGCGTCAAGTTGTTGTTAACAGGCTGTCCAGCCGTATTTTTTTGCCTCTGGCTGATGTGCACGGGGAAGCTTAGCAGCATTGGTTCTCTTCGAAGCGGTTTATGACCCTCGGCCGCATGAAATATCTGCTTCGCAAACGATGAATGCAAGCATAATTTAAAAAAATAGCAGGGGAAAGCAAAATTGCCTTTTAAATGTGACAAATTGTAATCTTTTATCAAAAACAAACAAAAAAGGGAAAAGATGTCCGAACCAGGAATCGAACCTGGGTTTACACGGCCACAACGTGTTGTCCTAACCTCTAGACGATTCGGACCGAAAGATCGCCCAGTCTTCTAGCTGTCTAGTCAATTCGAAAGCAGTCAAGTGAAAAGCCTTGATCCGCATCATGGGATCGCATAGTTTTTTTGTAGTGCCTTAACACTAGTTGTAAGTACTGGCGGCTTTTTTTCACGAGTTCGACTGCCGGGATTGCAAATTTGTACTTGCATATATGTGTAGACCGCTGGTATCTTTTGGGAGCTGAACGGTTTGACCAGTTTCGAAGCAGCCAACAAATGTGGCCAGCAAAACCCGTTCAATGTCATCTTTCGCTGAATGAAGAACCATGTGAACAAGACCACCCCAAGGCCTACATCAGGCCGGGTAGGGGGGACGAGGGGTAGTGGTAGAGCGAGAGAAACAAGAGCTGGGATCAAATTAGTCGAGTGGACGGGCAGCGATGTGCTATAACGCAGAACCTGGGGGCAAACGAACAAGGGAGTATCCCTAAAAGTCGGGGACTGGAAGCTACATCATGCTGGAGCACCCCGTAATCAATCTGTGCCTTGTACAGGCGCGGGGGCCCGTGTTATAGCGCTACTTGTTCATATATGTTGCATCCTGACGTGCCTTTTTGTACCACCAATGGAAGTTGCGCATCCCTATCTATTCTTAGCCTTCTGTGTTCGTACTCGCTACCGCACTAGAAACCGTTGGCTCACAAATATGGGTTTAGACACAGCCCTGCCTGCTACTGTACGGGCAGCTGCTTAAGCGCAGAGGCCTTAGCTCCGCTAAGGTGCAGTACACCAACCAGCAAGTCACTGGAAAGGCCTAGAGACACGAACTCCGAGCCTCGAAACAAGAGAGCAGCTGAGGCTCGCTCTGCGCTCTAGCCTTTCTGTTGAGGCCCCTAGAGGAATATGCGTTGATAGGGTCTGCTTCCCTTGACGGCAACGCGACAAACGGGACACTGTCTTCTCGTTCTTAGAGCCACAAGAATACAGCCCTTGCAGAAAACATGGCCGCACTTGAGCGCTACCACATGATCTCGCTCAGAAGCAGCGGGATGGGGAGGCGGAGGAGGAGGGGCTGTCGGCAGGGGCACGGGGGGGAGAGAATCCCCGCGATCTCTGTCCCGATTCCAGCTGTCCGTACCGCCGTTCGTCTGCGGGCTAGCGCCTACTGCTCCTCCTGCTCGCTGCTCCTGCTGAGAGTCTTGCGTGTCTGCATTGCTCTCAAGCCGCGAAGCAGCGTCTTCCTCCTGCTGCTGCTGCCTGTACCTCTTCAGGCAGATGGGGCAGCGAGGGAGAGCAGGGTTGCTGCTGGCGTCATCTTCGTCGTCTCGCCCCCCTAGGGCCTCCTCGAGGAGGCGCTGTCTCTGCTGGGTGTGTACAACCAGTCCTCTGATGCCGGCGGGAGCCAACATCATGGAAGGCCTTAACATGTAGGTGTGTTGCTGAAACACTGAAAAGGGTGCGCCCTGACGACAGCGCAACTCCACAACATCGTCATCATCAGAATCGAGCACCACCGCTGCATCAGCTGCTGCTCCTGCGGCGGAGGCTTCCGCAGGGGCCTCGCCCTGAGCAAGCTCACCGGGAAAAACCCCACTGCCGGTGTGAGGGTTAGAGTCCAAGCAGATTGCCTCGGCTTCCAAATCAACAACAGGCACGGAACGCACCCCATCGTCTGAGTCCTGTGCCTCAGCGCCGCTTAAATCAATGACCTCCTTCACCTCAGTTAGGGAGTCGTCCTCCGTCAAAAGCACTGCGTTTCTGCCGCTGACGCCACTGTTGCTACTGCTGCTGCTGATGCCACCGTTGCTACTGCTGCTCGCGCCGTTGCTAGTGGGGTCCATAGGACTCCCAGCAACCCTCTCCGGTACGACTGAATCGGAGACAGAGGCGTTCTCAATGACGAAACGTGCAGCAACCGCTGCAGTAGTGGCGGCTGCAGGCCCCCCCCCGCTGTCTCCCAGGGCTTCACTAGGCCCCCCAATAGGAGCAGCCACTGAATTCAGAACAAGTGAAGAATCGGAACTCGCATCAAGCCTCTCCACTTCCCTCCAGTCTGCATCCCCTTTTGCCTCTGGTGCTGCTGCTGCCGCTTCCCTTGTTGCCGCAGGTGTCGAGACGCCATTCTCCGCGAAGTCTGCGCAGCAGGAGCTAATCTCTGCCCCTGGTGCTGCAGTTTCTGGGAAAGGACAAAGTGCTTTTTGCGCTTTTTCTTCTGCAGACTCCAGTGGCTCCGCTTCTGCCGTCGCGTTTTCTGCGCAGTCACCATGCGACGGCAACTCCGTACGCGTTGCAGCTGCCGCAGCCGCCATCTCTGGCTTCGAAGAGGCCGCCCCGAGGCCGCTCTCTGGGATTCCCTGAGCCATTGAGTTTGTAAGCACCGACTCCAAATCAAGATCTCCCTCAGCTTCAGCCCGGAAGAAAATGCTCATGCTGATGCCCCCAGAAGGAGCATTCAACTGTAACGGGGGAATAGCACCCGCTGATGTGTCACTCGAGGAAGCAGGAGCGGCGTTTGAAGGGTGGCCATGAGGCCGTCCAGAGAACCTTCCCCCATTTTCCTCATCCTTTTCAGTTGAGGCCTTGCAAGGAAGCCCCAAAACTTGCTGTTGATTCTGCAGTTGCGCTTCCGGCTCTCGTTGCTGTTCGTGGTGGTGCCCCTCGTACGACGGGGAACCTTTGGCGAGTGAGTTGGGAGTTGATGAGTCCAAAGAAAAGCCCCCCGAGAAATCCTCATTCACTGGGTCAGCACATGCAGGCCGAGGAGTTTCCCCCCCCTCCCATTGAGTGTCACGCAGCCGTTTCAGTGGGGGCGCCATCCGCCACCCTCTACTGCACACCACTGGTGCGTCTACTTCTGCCGCTGACGGCAATGCTGGCGATGCTGCTGGTGCCACTCAGTGAAGCAGCACCAGCAGCTGCAGAAAGTCCTGATACCCCTTCTGAAGCGTACAGAATGCTGTAGAACTCCAGGAAGGCACTCTTCAGCAAGCCATCGGTGAGAGTGTCGCTTCTAGCCCAGTCTGCACGAGTCGGCTAGAGCTCCTCCTGTGCTTCTCTATGATTGTGTGTAGCGTGATTCAAAGCCAGAGACCGAGCCCGATGAAGCAAGTGATTCGCCTCATGGATACAAAAGAATAAAGGGGGGAGGGGGCCAGCCACAGCGGAGGCTTTCGGATAAGCACGAACGATTGGGGGCTTTGTGAGTACTCCTCCACATGCACAAGCCAACGCAACGCCTTAAATAAGCGAAATACGATGAAGAACAATTAGAATGGGCAGCGACGGTGGGCACTTTCGCGGATGCAGCTTTAGAGCCCAACTCACTACGGACGAGGAGGCAGCATTAGCTCTTGCCGGTGCTTTCCATCACCACTTAGCGTATAAAGGCACCAGATTTTCAACTCTTGTGCTAAACAATTGCCGGGGCCTTGGGAAAACCATGCGATATGAGGTGAGCACTGCAATGCATTGGTGGCTGCTGCGACCGCATGCCACACGTCTGCGGTGGACATCGCAGTAGCGGCGTTGTTGCTTCACCAACCCCCACCCATTTGGTTTGGAAGATTAACAGCTAGCCAATATACTTCAAGCACCACTCTTCGGGCTGTGTCTTAGTGGTGGGATGGGGGGAGCCTTTGTAGCTGGAGAGTGGTCTACAAAGAGCAGTAGGGACAGAACCCTTGGAGACCCTCCCGACTACGTTTTCCCCAATGACAGTCCCCTCAATTCCCTGATATAAACTGTACAGGGCTGATCTGGGATGCGTTCCCACAATGTTCGATCCGGCCGTAAGCCTGCGAATGTTGACGTAGTTGCCGCTTCTGCTGCTCGCTGGGGGAACGCTGCGTGCTCGCTATGTGGGGTCCTTCATACAAGCTGACTGCACATGCGAGCACGTATGAATGGAGGCAAGGGCTTCCTTGTACAGCTTTGCTTTACCATATGGGGCGACCTGGCCTCCCCGCTTCGGGTACACCTCGGGGGATATCGAGGATGGAGCTTCGTTTAGTGGGATTGATTCTATCCAAACAAAATACAATTTAGAAGGGACTTTGCGGTTAGCTGGTGACACTTCGTAGTTGATGCGGAGCAGGATCAACGCCCCCACTACAAGATTATTCGTTGTTTCGAGGGCGTTAGGTTGCCTCTGGCGGGCGCGCACAGGATGCACTTACTGGCACCCAGGCTGCGCCTCCTTGCCTCCTTGTCGGCACTGTGTGGGGTGAGGGCAAGGAAGAGCAAGAATCCTACCCACGAAGAATGGGGCCTTCCTCCTGAATTGGACGGCGTCCCGTCGGACCTTGTGAAGCTCCTAGGAGGAACGCTTGAAGGAAGCTCAGCAGCACGGGATCTCATACGGCGCAGTGTAGCGGCTAAGCTTCACTTTGGCACGTTTTACTACTCTTATCATATTGAACAGCAGTTTGCTAAAGAATCGACTAGTTGCTCTGGCTGCACGTATGACATTTAGTGAAGAGTAGCCCTACCTTAATGCAGAAAGGCGGATGTTGTCTGCATATGCGGGTGTGAAGCACCGTCTAGCTTCTGTCATCGGGGTAAAGGGGCATTATAAGGGTTTTTAAATGAAGCATTGCGAATAGCCGGTTGATTTATGCAGCTCGTCAACTGCTTCGCCAAGGATGCGCCGGAAACTCCTGCTACAGGGTAATTGTCGGGTCCAATACAGATGTCAAGAAGCGTGATGTAGTGCCCTATTCCGGTCTGAAGTGGTACTGAATTGTCGCGCCCTTGCCAAATACATTCTGCCGTCCCCAAGCAAATCTGAGCCTTAGGGACTGCGCTAACAAGTGAACAAGCAAATTGCATTTCTCCCTCGTCCTCTCAGACGCCACAACCACTTGAGATCCAGCATCAAATATAGCTAACAATTTGGGGCCCTTGATGTGAACTTGGATCACCGCAGAATTGAATTGTCGTGGGTCCGCATCTGCGCCTCTATCCACTGTAACCTCCTTCACTGCATGCGCAGACTGCGTGAGAAGTTTTTCGTCTTCCTGATGCGCCTGCTTTGCACGCAGTGCATCCTGCTTTCGCTGAGCTCAGTCCCGCTGTGCAAGCTTCTAGGCGTTTTTTGCTTGCGCTTGCCGTTACCGATTATATGACCCACTCTCTGAATGGAGAGCACGTGCGTTGTTGGGGGCCCTCTTGAGCTGCTTAGGAGCACGGGTTCCCTCTGAAACTTTTTTCGGTACCCTATGACGGAATCGTGGTGCCACTTGACGCATCTCCATCCGTGGGCTCTAAGTTCTGATTTGGCTCTGCATTTTACGCCGAATGGTAGAGAAACGCGCTGCTTTGGAAGCCTAAAGTAATCCTTCATGTGCGGAAGCCCCTCGTATCATTTGCTAAATCGTTGTATTTCTGCCCATCCTGCAACCACCTGGCGTGACACTTTAATGAGACCCGCTTAAACCCCTGAAGAAGCAGCGAGGTACCAATTTATGGGTACACAAGCCCGTTATAGTTTCCTCGATCCTCAAAGGTTGCTGTAAGCCTATTTCGGCGTGAACCGATGGTACATGACATGTATGATGCTTGAATTGTAGCTCCTAGCGACAGAAACCCTATCCTGCATGAATATGGTCACCATTAAGGCGCGTTCCTTTTCAGTAAAAGTGCCGCAAGGAGCAGTCGCTTCTTTCAGTCTCAAGGGTAGTACATCACCGATGGGCTGAAAAAATCCCCAGCTAGTTACCCAACCTTACGGCTATCACACTCTTCTGTTTGTATCAGCTCCGGAGACACGTCCGTAAACATTTTATCGGCTGATAAACCACGCCTGTGTAACAGCTGTTTAGCTCTTGCACTAGCTTGACTGCGGGGGCCAACAGGGGTTGTCCCATCTCCCAATTTCATCGCACGAGATCACAGCCAAAGAAAATTATACTGCTGAATGGCACACACTCGGGCAACCCCAGACAAACGTTGTACGGAGGAACGATTTCCCACTGTATCAGCAGCCAGGGGATGCGGAAGAGAAGAGGTCCATCGCATCATGCGGTGCTTCCAAGTGTAGCGCCCCATCTAGTGTTTCCATGAGGAGACGCTTAGCTGCAGACTCGACACAGATTTAGGAACTTTGTCAAGTGCTCTTCCAACGGACCTCCTGTCTTCCTCTGCCCCCTCTCCTAACGGTCTTGACATCAGGGAAGAAGGACAGACGGGGCAAGCGTAGCTACACCCTCCACGTACTGCGTGCATTCCCAGTTAGCTGCCCATAGAATGTCGAGCACGCATATAAACCAGTCCGTCTTCATATTTATTTGAAAGAAGTGTTGGTTCAAGACATCTATGCAAGATGTATAAGCAGCCTGACCCAATATTGGGTTCTAATCCAACCATCAGCTGAATGTAAGCAGTGCATTAGAAAGTGCCTGCGTGTGAGCTGGCACACTACACATAGGCCACACTGGTCTGATCTCGGGGACCTGCAGAAACACTAGAGCGTACTGCCCCCTGCGGTCCGCCTTCTATGCATGCGTTCGCCAGAAACAAGCCTATGGTAAGGGGCGTGTAAATGGTGTCCTCTGTCCTAAGCGCACGTGAATAGTGTCAAGTTCACAGGGTAGAAATTAACCTCTGAGCGTAATCTTAGAAAGCAGCGTGGTCGAGATTTTCTGATCTCTCCTGATCTTCCCTGGTTCTGGCGTAGGATCGAGAGCTGCGCAGCCAGCCAGATACAGGGTCTACGGACCGTTGCCTGTCAAGGGACAGGGGACTGCTCTATATATCCTAAAACTCGGCGAGAAGTAACCGCTCCTCTTGTTATTGGTGCCTTTTCAGCCACACACCGCACGAGGTTGCGCTGCTCCCCGCGGCTAAGGTAGGGGTCCTGGAAGAAAACCCCACCTTCGAAAGCAGAGAGTGCACGGCTCCCCAAAGCTAGTCGGTGCGGTTTCTTGTGTGCCCTTGTAAATATAGCATGGCCTTTTGCCTCTAAGTTAGGGGCAGCGAAAGCATAGATTCGGGACTGGCGGCGCAGATTGTGTAGGCATCATAAAACTAATAAAACAAGGGGGTCACGCAGCAAAGCATATGAAAAAGAATCTGCCAAGTGCCAATTGGCTGTACAGGCAGAGAGTGCGCGGAGCCTCCACCTACAGGAAGTGGGGTAGGCGACGAATCCTCTAGCGAGGTTGAAGCCGAAGCCTCCCTTGCCCCTGCTGGCGGGGGCTCGAGGGCTTAAGAGCCACACAGCGCGCCTGCATACTGCTCTATCCAGAATTCGCATGCAACGTCCTTTGCTGCCTCTTCGTCTGCTGCCTGGGCCTTGGCCTGTAGCTGCCGGAGGCGTACAACTGCAGTGTATATACAGCTGACCCCTGCAATGGCTGCATGACTCCCCGCGAGCTGTCTAGACACCAAACGGAATTTGCATCCCAGGGCCTCTAGAAGCTGTCGCGGCTTTAGCCCCAGTCGCCTCAGCAGCACCACCGAAAGGGGAAGAGATTCTATGAGTGCAGAGGCCTCCATGCCTTCATCTCTTTCGGCTGGTTCAGCGGCAACACTCCGTCCTGCTGCTGGCCGCTTCTGTCTCCCTCCTTCTTGAGAAAGATCCGGCGGGAGCTGCCCAGTTTCGTCGCCCGAATCAGCAAGGCATCCCTGCGGCACCCGCAGTGTCAGCTGCCCTACTTGAATTGTTTCGTAAGACGCTTCCGCTGCAGCAGCTCCTCCTGCAGGGCCTGCAGAACTGCCACCCTTACGGCGAGTCATACCACTGCCTGATCGGCTTGCACGGCCAGAGGGCTGTGCCCCCGTGTCTCCTGTCCCCGCTGCCGAGACATCCGACGCTGCCGCAATGGAGCCAACAGGACGGCCTCCTGCGCTGCTTGCAGCAGCTGTACGTGCGAACGGAGGTGGTTTGCTCTTGCGGTGCAGAGAGACAGCCTGGTTGCGAATAAAGACACGGGGGCTCAGCGGGCGGCGCTGACTGTCTAGGGGAGCTACTACAAGCCAGAACAAACGCGCGAATCGCTTCCACGCTGCAAGAGACTCTGCCACTGCGGCGGACTCCCTGCAAGATGCCTCCGCTGTAGGTGCCTGCCTACTTACAGCTGCCGCGGGGGAAGCAGGCAACCCAGGATGGTGCAGCCCTCGAAGCGTAGGCAGCAAGAAGGAGAAGAGGACGCTGCATGGATGCTTGAAGTCCACAAAAGGAACGACGCGAGAACCACTGCAATCGCTGCTGCCCCCCTTTTTCCATGTTTGACCTTCTGCAGCCAGACTAGGAGCCGATCCACTTGATACTGCAGCAGTCGCATCGTCGGTAAGGCCCCTACGAAAAACGCTGCCCTCCAGGGCCTCTCCAGCTGAAGCCACATCCCTGTTTGCTTCGCCTCCAGCCAGCGGTAGGCCGCATGCATCGCTCTCCTCGCTGCTGCTGCTCTCGCTGCTACTCTCGCTGCCGCTGCTGCTTCGCATGTTGCACCGGTGCCTAGCCCAGGGCATCCGTCTCCGTAAACGATGCGCGCGTTTGAGGCCCCATTCCTTCGCTGCAGCGTCCAACACGGCGTTGCAACTTTTCAGCTGCGCCTCAAAGGCGCAGCGGTGCACCGATTCGAGCAGCTGTTGCTGCTGGTGCTGGCGCTGCAGTCCTTTCTGCAGCTGTCGCAGCTCTTCGGGAGCGAAGATTAAGCTGGCAGCTCTTTGAAGCATCGCGATTTCCGCAGGGTCAGCTCCGCACGGTCTACAGCAGCAGAGCGCTCTTGCCTCCGTTGCACTCTTCTCAGTGCGCCTGTTACAGCAGCAGTGCCCAGTAGCCTCTCTGCCCTCTTCTAGGGTTTCAGGACTGCCAGAAAACTCCCCACATGCATGCGACGTGTGTTGCAGCGAAGCCCCTCGTCGCTCCCCTGCAGGCGGCGTGAGAGCCGGATCTTCGCACTCTTCTAGCATGCCGCCATCTGCAGACATGCCAGAATCAGCATCATGAGACCCCTTCCCGAGGGCCTCCTCAACCTTCCGCTTGCGAGGGTTGTGCTGGGCAGAAGAGAGTGGCTGCTGTCGGCTTGGAAGCGCAAGGATGCGTTCCTCCAGGACGTCCACGAGTGTGCGCGGTCTGAGGGTGTTGAGTTGAGGGTCAGCTAGCAGCTGCTGGGGAAGCAGGAGCAGTGGGTAGACGTCATAGGTGAGAGGCGGCGCTGTGGAGAGGGGCAGAAGGCAGCAAGGGAGGAAGGGAGGCTCTACGAGAGGCGGGGGATGGCGGAAAGAAGGACCGAAGTTGACGGAGCAACTGGCGCCTCCCATGAGGGAAATTGCAGGAAAGTATTCGTCTGCCAGGAGACACCCCGCAGGATCTTCCGAAAAGCGGCAGCAGCCCAAGGGCCTCCCATTGACGGTAAACTGCACGAGAGACCCCTCAGCTGCTGCCCCCACTGGCTGGGAGTTGCTGCTGCTGCTGCTGCTGCCCTCAGCGAGGCCTGCAGCACTCCGTAAGAATCCCTGAGCCAGACGATCAACGTCCATGAGGCACGACACAGAATATGCATCTCCTGCGATTCCTGACACCGTCGTGTCGGTCCCGGCTGGTGCTGCAGCAGGGGCCCCTCTTTTAGCTGGAGAAGCAACTCCCCTCGTCGGAGAGACTGCTGCACAGTCAGCCTGCCGAGGCTGCTGCTCTTGCTGCGGCTGCACCAAACGGATGCAGCACCCGACAACGTCCCCCTCCACAAGAGGCGGAAAGCAGTACGGCAGCTCAACCCCTGCCCATGCGGCCATACCTCTAAGAGTTAGCGCCACAGAGTCTCTCGTGGCTCCCAAAGGGGCCGAAGGCGGATGCCTGCGCGTGCTCCAGCCTACGCGCAAGTCGCACTGAGAGGAAGTTGCGATTCGCTGCTGCTGCAGGTGCTGCTGCTGCGTAGGCGACAGCCCCTGTTTCGGCTGCTGCAGCAGCAACTGCTGCTGCTGCTGCTGCGGGGGTAAAGGCCCCACCAGAACCTCAAAATAATAAGGCCCCGCAGAGGCCGCATGCGTGGCCAGAGCAACGCCACACCCCAAACCTACTGACGCCTTTTGCCAGAATCCCCCCCCTGCGTTGATCCTTCCACTGCTGCTTGCTCTACTGGTCCCGATTCGCACACTGGGATGCTTGTACTTGGCGGAAAGTCTTACACGTCGCATGGCTGCCTGCATAAGGGGCAGTGTAGATGATCTGGGAGCCCCCAAGCCCTCTCTCCTCTGCTGCTGCTGGTGCTTGTGCTGCTGCTCGTGCTGGTGCTCGTGCTCCGCATCCACGAGCTGTTGCTGCTGCTGCCGCTGCATCTGTTGGTGGCGCTGCTGCTGCTGCGCCTGCTGTCTCCGTAGCCACAACCCATCGGGATCGAAGGGAATGTCGCCAAGGGCCAGGCCTACAAGCCTGGTTTTAACTGCAGCGAAGTCGGCAAGAATCCTGTTGCTGCTGGTACTACTGTCGCCGCTCCTGCTAAGGCCCCCTCTGTTTCGATCAAAGCAGCGCAACGCTTTCCGCAGGAGTCGTGGATCCAGCTGCTGAAATTTCCCTTGCAAGGAGCAGGCGTTTCTCCGCCGTGCCGACGGAGATCGTCCCGCTGCAACTGCAGGGTCACCTCCAGCAGCAGCAGCTGATGCTGCTGATCTGGCTCCGTGGAGTTCTAAGCAACCGGAAATGAGTGCCGCCAGCATCGGCAGTGGCTGCCGCTGCAGCTGCTGCTGCTGCTGCTGCTGCTGTGGCAAGGATAGCCGCAGACTCGGGGCCGTGCGCGCACGGGAAAGGGCAAAAGCCGCCATTCGTTCGAGGAAAGTGCGTGGCCTATGGGGGGCCTTAGCGTTCAGCAGCCATTCCTGATTGGCAGCTTTCTCGGCAATGGTGGCGTTGTTTCCGAGGCTTCGAGATCTGGAAAAGAGGTCAAGCAGCCCAGCAGCTGTCGGAGAGTTGGCGAGAGGCGCAAGATGGGCAATAGGGGCAGCAGAAGCAGCAGCCGCAGCAGCAAAGACATCGAGTGCCTCGATGCCTTGAGGAGGGTCCTGGAGTCGCATAAGCCAGTCGCCTTCGACCCCAAGAGTCTGAAGACTCCGCTGTCTCCCAGCGAGCCGCAGGTAAGCATCTGGTAGCAGCTCCTCCTCCGCAATCTCGCTGCCGCTGCTCGCGCTGCTGTCATCGGACGCGTGCTCCCGCGGCTGCCGCTGCTGCCCAGACACTTGCAGTCCTCGACTCAAAATGTGCCTTCTACTTGAGGCACGCAACGGCAAAGGCCCTCTCGGAGCCGCCTCCAGATCCACGGGAAGGCTGAATGTCAGCCTCAGGCCCTTACACCTGCTGCAAGTTGCGCTGCTGCTGCTGCTGCTAGTGTCTGCCAGGTGCTGCTTTTGCTGCTCCCCCGAAGGACGCGATGCATTCTGCTGCTCCGGAAATACAGGCTTTAAATCGACGGAGACAGCGCCACGTTCTGTCAAAAGCCGCTTCACAGGAACCCCCCTAAGGCCCCTAGGGAAACCTGCAGCGTCGTATGGACTCAAGAAAAGCTCCCGTTGAGCTTCTGCTGTCCACCAAGCCGCTCTCGCAGCGCCTGTGCTGCTGCTGATTTCACTGCAGGTGCTCGTGGTCTGTATGGTGCAATGCGAGATAAGAGCTTGTGGGTGCTGTGCGAGATCACGTCGCAGGTAGGGGGAGTCTGGGGGAGGCCGCAGCAGATCCTCCTCGCTTCGAGCAGGGGCAGATAACACCTTTGGTGGATGGAAGTAGCGACCTCTGCATGAATCGCATGAAGCGCTGCTGCTCTTGGTGGGGGGCATGCAAGGGGTGATGGCAGCGATGCTGTCTGGTCGCTGAGCAAAGTGCCTCTCTGTGTTGCTCACTTCGCCCGCGCCTTTTGCTGCTTGCCAACCGAGAACGGGCTTCTGCTCGCCGTCTTTTCGCTGCTGTAGCTGCTGCTGGTGGGCGTGGGAGCTTGGCAGAATTCTGCTGCCTCCTGTGTCACGCTCACTGGGTTGCTGCAGCTTTCCGCAAGGCCCAAGAGGAGGGCAGCAGACAAGGGAGACAACGTCCTGCTGGATTCCTCTCTCCTGCTGCTCATGCTGCTCTTCGCTAAGTGGTGCTGGTGCCTGTGCAGCCCCTCCTTCACCTTTTGTACCGCCACACGCGCTGGAAACTGATACATCCAGCATTCCGTTCAGCTACTTGTTCCACTGAGGCGTATGCTCGTGGTACAGCTCCCGGCTATACGGATGCTTTGGCAGAAGACGGCAATGTGATACTGGGGATGCTTGTTGCAATACCTCGGCATACGCGTGGACTATACCGACTGCCTGCCGAACAAGGCGCAGCAGCAGCGACAGCCGCACCCAAAGGCGGGCAGGAGCGAGTGCGCTGCTTGCTCTGGAGACAAAGAGCTCCTTTAAAGTGTTGTACAGTGCTTGGCAAGTCTGTTCAGCTGCAGTTTCCAGCATGCAGTACCGCCATCTCCTGAGTGCCCCCGGGGGGTGCTTTGCTAGAGAAACATGGTGCTTCCTAGCGGCCTAACCTAAATTTCGGTGCTTGACTTGGGCCTTTCTTTGGTGACAACTTCTGCCAGTCCCCTCTTTTGTCACCTCTTTAGCGTCTGCCTCTCGAAGGGTCCCCTAAAAGTGGGTGGTCCATACAGTCCCCGCATGCGCACAGCCGCCTATGTTCGCAGCCAAGTGACGCGGCCGATGCGAAGCCCCCCTTTGCATCCTTCCTTCTCCTTCCTTCTCGTTATCTCGCTGTTTAAAACTCGTATCCGACTGCTTGCCTTTTCTCGGTATTCTTGTGGCTAGAAGAGGCAGCCCATGCTGCAACTGGGGGGTCGCATTTCTGTCGGGCCAGGGGGTGGTGAGGTGGTTCAGGAGCGCAATAGCTCTACACCAGAAATGCCCTTTATAACGCGTCAAAAAAGACGCGTAGACCTTTGAATGACATTTCCTCTATTACTACCGCAATATAGCAGCATCATCACCGACAGCATCGGCGGCTCGCAACCACTCGCAAGTGCCATACATGTATGGGCATAGCTTGGGGGCCCTCATAGACCCCTGGAAGGTCTCTGTGTCTCCCAGGCCCACCGGTTACGTGTCGAAAACTCTCCTTCCTTAAAAGGGGAAGCAGCCACGCGGCGCCTGCACATCCCGCAGCCGCCATGGCATCTGCTGGTCGTGCGCTTTCCCGCTGCCTCTTCTCAGGGGTGGCAGAGGAGGAAAACGAGGTGCCCCCCCTCGCCAACGTCTCTCGAGAATCCGAATATCTACCCAGCCCAAAGGACGTCATGCCACAGTGTAGAGCCTCCCCTCCAGGCCTCCCTCCCTCCGCTGAAGGGTCTCATCAGTCCCCCTCGCTACAGGCAGCGGCAACTTCTCCGTCTTGCCTGGCGTTGAGGCCCTTCCGCCGCCAGTGGCTAACACCTGTGGCTTCCCACCCGCTGCCACTGCCTCTAGAGTGTGCGATGGGAGGATCCCCGTCCAAGGCGTTCAAACTGCTCTCTGAGGCTCCCCAGGCGGTTAGAGACCTGTGGAAGGTATCCTTCGAGGCAAAGACTCTCCGCAAACGGTAAGGAACGTCGACTGATCCGGAGAACAGTCTCTTGCACTCCCTCTCCGGTGCAGAGGCCGCAACTCCCTGCATCGGAGAGACTTAGCTGGGTGCAAATATGCGTAGTGCTGCTCTCACTGTATATGTACATATATATATATGTATATATATGCACCGCACTCCCCTTTGATTTCCTGCATCATCCCTCTCGCAGTATTTCCTGTGGCCTTTATAATAATATCGTGGTATTGCAAAGGGTTCTAAGGGTCCCTCAGGCCTGCCGCGTGCATGAGGGATGCCTGTATCGGAACAAGTGGCATCCTGTGTGGTAATTTACCTTATTACCTTCTATTGGCCACTAACCCCGCCTTCAGGGGACCGTCAAGTGCCACCTTGTGCTGTAAATTTTCTTCGCCTCCGCCTCCCCACCCCCACCCCCCCTGTCCCCTGCCGAGGGTGCCTTAAACAAAACTCCCATGCGACCCTGCCTAACTTTTTTTGCCATGCTGCTGTGTCTGTCTGCCAACGTAGGCACGTTCTCCTGCATGCCGATTTGCAATCAGTTTGCAGCTGGATCTCCTTGCAGCTAGAGAGCGAGCTCTTGCCTCTGGATGACACTCTTGCCGGCGAGAAGGCCTTCGCGGCTGCCTCTGCGGTGTATGCCCAGCTCCTCCCACAGCTCCTTTGGGCTACTGCTGTTGTGGCACTCCGCCTTACAACAGTGACTCTGCAGGTGAGCGGGGGCCTGACTGTAGCTGAAGAAGCGGGAAGGAGAGAGCAGTAACGGGGGGCAGATAGGGAAGAGAAGAGACGGGGATTTTGGACCGCCTGCTGGCTCGATTCATAGGGCAGTGGCAGAGGTTTCGAGAGGGGAGCTCCCGCCCCACGTACTGCAGCTAACTCTGTGGCAAAATCTTTCTTCAGGAGACAACAGCGCTCTGGGCAAGGCTGCAGCTTCTGGCCCTCGACGCAACGACGAGTAACGCCGCTGCAGAAATGATAGCAGACAGGGGCGGCAGCGTCACTAAAAGCCTTCGACCACGAGACTCTGCCTCCCTGCTGTATGGTCCCTCTCGCGTCTTTGGTCGTCGCAAACGCCGCAAGCCTCAGCAAAAGCAGCAACAGCGGGAAGAGAGTCAGAGTGATCATGACTTTGGCGAAGACACGCCACTGGGGGCATTGGAAGCGGTGGCAAACGACACCGCTGATCCCGAGGCGCTGCTTCAACAGATTGATCGCTTTCGCAGTGGTCCAAAGAAAAGCTGCGAGTCTGATAGCTTGATGAACTCCGCAACGATCCTCTCCAGGCAAGGCTGCACTGCGGCGCTCTCCTTCCGGGTAGTAGCTTTTTCTGCCTGTTGCTTTCGTGCTCCTACATGACTGCTGCTTTCGTGCTCTTTCCCCGGGATAGGAGGGGGTGTGGATGGAGTCAAGCCCTTGGTTATCCGCCACAGCAGCAGATCTGTTGGAGGCTTTTTACTTTTAGAAAATATGACGCCTCCTCCGAAGAAGCTGCGGCAAAGGACCACCCTGCGTATGCACGCGAAAGAGAAATAGCGACCACGACGCTGCATGCCCTTCATTGTCTCTCCTTTTTGGTCATCTCAGGTTCCTTGGAGGCCTTCCAAAGCAACCAGAGATCGCACCCGTGATGAGCTCCTCCCCTGTCACCTCCCCATTCGCTGCATTGCGACGCGATCTGCTGCAGCTAGGCGCACTGAGATCTCCAGGGGACGGGCTAAGGCCCCCCCCCGGCGATGGCTCCTCTGTGGGCAGCAGTACGACGAGTCTCCCCGTGATTTCGTATTCGAATGCTGCAACTGCAGTGTCTGCTGCTGTCAACGCGGGCACGCCTTCCAACAGCAGCAGCCCCCCTGTAGGCACCAGCGCGGCAGAAGACCGCTGGACGCTGATGCCGTGGCAGTCAGCAGCGGCGGCTGCTGCTGCTGCGATGAAGCATGGCCTTTCTCGTCGCAGCTCGTTCAGCTCAGTAGCGAGCGACTTGATGCCTCTGCCTCACCAGCGGCAGCTCCACCAGGAGCCGCTGATGCAGGGGCCCCTAGGATTTGAGGTTCCCGTAGGCGCAGCGGTGGATCCAATGGTTGCTTCCCCCTTTAGAATGCAGCAGCAGCACCCACGGCCTTTGCTAGCCTCAGAGCCCTCCTCTGTTGGCAGCGGCTCGAGCAAACGAACAGGCGCCTCGGGTATGGGGGGCACTCCTGACGGCCGATGGTTGCCTGACTTGCAGCAGCAGCAAGATGTGGGAGTAGGGGAGTGGCAACTCCCTGAGGAAGACTCCGGCTGGCATCAGGGAGCTGCAGAAGATGCGCATGCAGCACACGCGGCGGGCAGCGAAGAGAATAGGGCGCTGGCACTTGCGATCCCAGAGACGCTTCAGCAGAATATGTGGCGCAGCCAGAGCAAGCGGAAGCCGAAGCGGCTTCACAAGCTGCAAATCGACACTGCTCTGACGCGCTCTGCATGCGCAGCAACAACAGCAAGGGAGGCGGGGGGGGGGATGCACAAGGCTCAAGAGGAAGTCGCAGAGGCCCTCCGGGTGCTACAGGCCGGTGCCGAGGACGGGGAGGCATTAAGGAGGAGCTTCCGACGATTTCCTGAGATGCTAGAGAGGCACTTGCGTCTTCAAGGCCTCTTCGGCGTTTATCCGCAGCCAGAGCAGCACTTGATGCAGTGTGTTCCCCGCAAGAAGCCGAACTTTGGAGTCGCGGCTCTCACCCAAGTGTCGCTGGCATGTACGCTCGTCGTCAGATTGTGCCGACTGCAGCTGCTGCTGCTGCTGCTGATATTCTGGCGCCTTGCTTTGCTCTGCAAATCACTCCTCTTCGGGCAAGAGGAGACTTTCGAGAGGGAGTCCTTTCTTACCTGTGCTGTTATTGCTTGAAGCCTATCGTGATCTGGCACTGGAGCGACTCCTGCTTATAACTTGTTGGCGCGTCCCTGCAATAGCCAGCGGCAAATGCAGGCATAACATGAGACTGCACACTGTTGCAGAGACACGTGCTAGCCGCGTTCTCCAGTGTTATGGCCGTGCTGTCTGGGGCCCTGCTGCTGCTGCGGCTGCTTGCGATTTCTCTGCATGCAGGGCAGCTAGCTGGCGCGTATTCGCCGATGTCGCTTCCCTCCGCCTCTAGTTTCGCGGTAGAAGTACTCCGTGAGAGCACTCTTTGGAGCGCAACGTCGCAGAAGGCCTTTCAGCCGCTTCAGCAGCGACCTGCTCCTGCTGCAGGTGAGGGTGCTGCAGTATCTCCAGACCAGCCGGCTTTCCCCTTTTTAGCGGGCAGAACAAGTGCCTCCCCCGTGAGGCTTGGTAGGGGAGGTGCCAGCAGCGCCTTAGAGACGGCAGGTGCAGCTGCGGGGGCAACAGCAGCTGCAGCTGGTGCTAGACGGCGCAGATCCTCTTGGCTCGAGAAGGAGAATGTTTTAAAGGGCTTCGACAGCCCGCTGCTCCCCTCCGCCGAGGCCAGTGACGGGGGCGATGGAATCGACAGGTGGGCAGACGCCTACCAGGAAGTTCCTGAGGAGTATTTCCAGCAGCAAGGGGCCCCCCCTCCGCCTCCAGGGGCCCCCAGCGACGGCATGCCACCTGTGCCGCAGCGGCGCTTCCCCCCCCCTGATGCCCTTCCCGCCCACGACGCAGTAGAGACACCTGAAAGCCTCCCTCAAGGCCTCTACAGAAAGAAGGACGGCGCTATTGTCACCTTGTGGCCCTCTGCCGCTTCAGTAAGTCGAACGCAGTTCCCCTCGTGCCCCTTCTGCGCGTGTCTCTCCCGCCTTCTCGCCAAGGAAGGAGCAGCATCCGGGGATCATCGCTCCTTCCTTGTAATTTGCGCCAGTGAAGGGCCTCCCCGCTGTGCCTGCTGCCCAGCGTGCTTGTCGACGCTAGCTACAACTGCGTGCTCTGGTGCAGCTCTACGAGCTTGTGGAGAAGCATTACATGCCGGGAGCCGCCGGCTATGCATCGCATCCCTACAACACGCCTCCTCCCCCTCTCTCTGCGCCTCCTCCAGTGCAGCTTTCGGAGCTTCTCAACGGCCACAGCCGTCGCACTGCAGCAAGGGCGTTCCGCGATGCTCTTGCCCTCCACTCCCACGGACTCTGCACCCTCAGGCAGGAGATGCCAGCGATCTCGGGGGGCCCCACTACCCCACAGAGGACGCCAGACGGCAATCGCACGGAGCTCTATCCTCCCCTCCTCATAATTTCACAGGTGCGTCCTAAAGGCGAATAGGCTTCCAAAGAAATGAGGCGCCAACTGCGTTTGCACCACGCCTCTACGTGACGAGGGTCTCGCTGAAGGCTCTCTCAGCCCTTTTTTCCACGAGCGCTGCTTATACTTATGCGTATACTTATACTTATGCGTATGCTTATGCTTATGCGTATGCTTATGCTACTGCTGCTTATGCTTATACTTCTGCTACTGCTTATACTTCTACTGCTACTGCTTATACTTCTACTGCTGCTGCTTATACTTCTACTGCTACTGCTTATACTTCTACTGCTGCTGCTTATACTTTTACTGCTATTGCTTATACTTCTGCTGTCACAGGACGCCGAAGAGGAACAAGTCTGGGGAACGCCCTTAAGACCTACCACTGCAGCACCAACAACACCCCCCGATGCACACGCGACCGAAGCAACAGCAGCAGCAGAAGCCGCGTCGTGGAGTGAGGCCCCACCGGAGGTGCCTATTTCGGATTCAGAGAGCAATAGGACCCCTCCAAGAAGCTTCCCTGGCGCGTCTGCGCGTGATGCACAAACGGCAGTAGACGCGCAGACAGCAGCGGGAGTGCGTGAACACGCCGCTGCAGTGGCTACTGCTGCCACTGACACGGCGTTGGCAGAAGCAGCAAAACGGGGAGAGGCCCCCATAAGTGACGACCAGCTGGAGCAGGCCGTCCAGTGGCTGGTGACAGGACTGTTGGATCGGTTGCAGGAGGAGTCTCGAGTGCATGCTCACGCATTGGTGTACTGGTCAGCTTTGGCAGAGGCAGTCGCAGCCACATAACGCAGGATTGTACTACACTGCCTTGCAGGGCTTGGGATTCTCCACGAGCTCAGAGGAGTGGAGCCTCAAGACGCATGTCGCGCCGTGTGCCTGCTCGCCAGTGTTTGCAGTCCACTGGAAAATGTACGTATAGCCTGGGTTGCGGATGTGACTTGGGGTGTCTTTGCAGGTTTGTTCGAGAGATCTTGCCGTCCAGCGCCTTGGCAGGTGTCGCATCTGCTACGGCTTGGGAGGCGAAGGCTGTTTATGCCATATGTACCCTCATAGACGAGGGTGTCTTTTTGGCCACTCGTGCTGCCCGCACAGAGGCTCCTGTGGATCTCGAGGTTTTGAATACAGCGACGCGAGAGAGGGGAGAGGCCCTCTGTTGCCCCTTCTGGTTAGAGGGGGTCGCTGAGGTTGAGTAGGCGGCTCAATCCGAATTCGGTCGAGACTGCGATTAAATGATGCCGTTGGGATGCGCGAAGAGCGCGATGCGGGCTGCTTCTCTGAGGCATTCTTCCCTTGTGGTCTTTGCCTCAGGAGGCCGGCCACCTGCATTTTCTTCACCTGCAGGGAGGGCACGTGGCTGGCCTTGTGCTCAAGTGGCTCGTTGCTTTTTGCTTCTTTGGTGCGCTGCGCTCCCATACGGCCTACTCTCAAGAGCCCCTTTTTTCGTGTGAAAAGCCGGGAAGTTCCCTCACTTTATTAAAAGACTGGCTCCCTTTGTGGGACGCCTCCGTCTGCTGAAGAGCCGATGGAGGGGTGCAGTGATCCACCTGCCCTAGGGTGGCTGGTGATTTTCCTAAGAGTATCTTGAGATTACCAAGCCCGCGTCAAAATACGATTTTAGTCTAGTAGGAACACAGTCGGGCCGAAAAAAATCGGGTTGAGTAGGGTCGGGGGACTAAGAGGGGCGAAAGCATGGATTTCAGAGGTAATGGGAGCTTTACCTTTGTGAGCTCGCTCTTTAGGGACTTGGCCTTGCACGATCTCTTTCCATGTCATTTCCTGAGCTTCCACACAAGAGTCGGTGCTGAAGAATATGGGTTGAAAGATTGCATCTGCGGACCTTGGTTTTAGGTGGTTCCTGGACTGCGGCTTTCTTGAGGGCCTACCCATGAGGTCTGTGCGCGGCCGCTTCCTACAAGTCCCTGGCCGTCTTACACTTGGTATACACGCAAACACACGCAGACACACACACGTCGAAAGGGATTAGCCATTCGACCTGTGGAGGCTACCGGTGGCAGTGGCAAGCAGGATAATTCGGGTTTAGTCCATTCGCAGCGCGGGTCCTCCATGCTCAAGTGCGTACGAAGGCCTCCATGTGGTCGGGTAATAAGCAGGAGTAAAAATGGGATTTTTCATTAGTACTCAGAAAGAAAGGCAGGGGACTCAATGTAGCAGGTTTTGCGTATTCTGGGCAAAGCATGGTGAAACCGCACAATGGTTAGGCCTTTCAACCATTGCGCTTCGCGCGAGCATGACGCGCATGGTGGTGGGATAGCAGCCCAGAAAATACATATTGGTTCGGCTAGATCTTATTATGGTGCCATCCTCCAATGAAAATTCGAATATCTACGCTTTGGCTTCTCCTTCGTGCATGGGTCTCCTATTGAAAAAACATCTAGAAACTAGAGTGGTAAAAATTTCGCTTCTAACTGGGAAAACGTGGGACAGCAGCGGACGTGGAGGGAGAGTGTGAAGAAGCCACGCATTGCTGTGAGTAATAATTGCCATCTATAGCTACCCGGCTACCACCAAAAACTCAGGCCTCCCAGGAAGGCATAGGCGCCGGGCAGGTGCAACCCTTCCGCCGCGTGAGAAAAGAAGGCTTGCAATGGTTGAGGTTTGCAATGGCACTTGCAATCGCTGAGCGTTCGCCATCCACACTAAAAAGTAGGCAGTGCGAAACCTCCTGAGCTGCTGTGCGGCGCACAGCCGGGAAGCACATAGCGAGGTAATTCTAAAAAACAAGTTGTCTAGATGTCAAAGCCCTCTAAAGCTGTGTTCACATGTTCTGCCTTCACCGCGTTGTCCGGATGCGTAACCCTACGGTCTGCACAGTCTCATTGCCCTACTGAGACTGCCCTTGAAGGGCGATTAACACCATTAGCTTACTAACCAAATGGCGCTTGGAGGTCGTTGTATCTTTCGAGCGCTTGATGGTCTGACACCGGCACCCCCAGTTTTCGGTCTGGCGTCACCCCAACCTGTAGATAGGCCTTCAGGGTTTCACAGATGCTTGTGGGAGGGATATTTGCACTGTTGTCTTCTGGGGTCTATGTTAATGCGGAGCGGTGGCGAGGGGCCTTTCGCGGTGAAGTATGAACCAGGGATGGTGACAGTGTGGTGGCCCGCCAGGGAGTTGCAAGTGTCTGCTGGGAGTTTCGTAGGGCCCCTGCCAAAATGGAATAGCAAAAAAGGCTGGCGGCGTCTGGCAGCTACAGAAACGACGAGGAGGCATTCCTTAAGGGGCCTCACCAACATCAACCGCTATAGCAGAGCATAGAGGCATTTCCCGCGAAAGCCTGAGCTGGCCTACTTTCGGCCAGAGGGCAACCAGCACGGAATATGTAGTACGCAGACGTATTAGGGGCTGCTCCCTCATATCATAGTGAGAATATCTAGGCCACTCCAGCATTGGCATGGCATCTGAAACGCTTACGTGGCGAAGTTTTCTGACCAGCAGGGTTAGAGTAGTCCCTAATTTTTGCAATCGGATGAAGATAGTACCCGTTTTCCGCATTCCGAGTCCCCAGAGTGTGCAGTAATATACGGCGGGTTAAATGCCCATGCAGTGCACCCACCCAAACAGCTACCAACTGGAAGGCCACCACCTTTCACCCAGAAAGAACGGGCCTCTCACTTGCTACAGGTGTAAGGTGAACGTATACGGGGAGAAAATACAGTGCGTCTGCCGGGAATCGAACCCGGGTCACCTCGATGGCAACGAGGTATTCTACCACTAGACCACAAACGCTCACCAGGAGTCTCCGTAGTACTTGATCAAAAAAAAACCAGCTGACCCGAATTGCCAGCGGCCAGTAGCATACAAAGAGATAGAAGTGTTGGATTACATGACAGGCGAATTAACATGCATTTAGAGAGAGTAAACGCCCAGGTCACTTCAATGCTCTTTTTTGAAGCGTGTTGAGCATTATGCCGCGCACACCATCTATTCTGTGAGCAACACGTCCAAATGCTTAATGGTGGCTGTTGTTGAGCTGTCCCGTTTTTCTTTTGCCTGGTGACGTGAGAATATAGAGCTTCCATGAGTGTGCGCAATGGGCCAAAAGGGTGGTATGCGGCGGAGACAACTTGCCCTTGCTGCTTCACGTGTAGCTATCCTACACCCCACCATCTCCGCATGCCCAACTCCCAACTATTACTGCTGGGAAGGCTTAAACACGGCCTGAAATCCCCTGAATCCTATGTGGTAACTACGTGACTTCGGCATTCCTTGTGCTTGCACGAGCGTCTCCTCGTTCATGAGATCAATACCACTTTCCTCGCAAATTGGCAGGGCCCCCAAAATTTCAGCTATTTAATTGGATCACAAGGCTGCCTAGACTCCAGTGAAGCTCTCAGCGAGTAGTCCGTGGCCTTCTCTGCTCTAAATGTCTCGGGGTACTCCGCTGCTCATGATCTTTGCTGTTTTCGTTCTCTTCGAGAGCCTAACGTATTGCATCGTATTCGTGGACTGCTTACACATTCCAGCACTCCTCTGTAGCCTGGATCATCTTTCCTCTTGATCTTTAGGGGCACATACGATAACTTTTGTCTGGTTGCTGAGCTATGCAAAGACTGGGGAGACCGACCTTAGTTAAGCCAGTCACCTTGAAGTTCGCCGTGCAACATCCACTCACGACGGATGAAACCTTCTCCAATTCACTTTAGATTTTCTAATCTTTAGCATACTGGCAGTGTGATCACCCTGCAAGCAAACCCCGCAAAGCCTCCAATGACAGACCACCCATGCTTACCGCTGCGGCCTTCTGAATTAAGGTGGCTACTGTGCTGCACAAAAATGCAGAGCCTCTTGTCTCTACATCTTCTGTTGCACCCAACGAATGGAACATGAACAGATTGCCATGAGCCCTTCCCATGTTGCTCAGGGTATCGGCAGACCCTCAAGTGCAGATATGTTTAGTGCTTCCTTTTCCTTCAACTAGGTACAGTGAACATCTTTCCTGCTTTGTGCATTAAGATGTTCTATGGCCCCCGCTACTGTCTTCCGCAGTTGCAGTCAAAAATACTGCTTTGCAAATCCCCGGCACTACCGCGTTGGGCGGTTGAGAGCAACGAAAGCATCTCTCGACATGAGTTTCATCCTTGAGGGTATACTATGGTCGCCACACAGCCGTATCATAGCTTTCTATTTAAGATCTCGGCAGGAACGCGCATAGCCTTCCAAGCCAAATCACAAAAGTTGCTAAGAAGTTTTTGAGGATCTTTCTGAAAACTTTTCCTTCCCTCTCCTGCCTTCACCCCTCAGAGTTCTGCGTTGAGGGAAGATGGCAGCGGAACTAGGCTTAACGGAGATGTAGACCCTATGCACTTCAACCACTCACAGCGAATTGCACAAGGCATCTAGCGCCCTCGCACGCAGCACTGCATCGAGCTTCCACGCATGTGCAACATATAAGGTGTACGAACAGACAAAAAAAACTACTGAACCGTTCAATAGTTCTTAGCTAATACCAGTAAAGTGGTAGAAAGTGCCCTAGTACAGCTTAGCCCGCTGCAGGGGAGCACTGAAGTGCAGCTGCTGACCGGTCAGCAGCTGCACTTCAGGTGTGTGTGCGTGTGTGTGTGTGTGGGCAAAAATGAAGTGAACACCGATGTTGGCTCTGTCCGCTGCAGGAAAAAATAAGGCCGGACCCCAGACGGAGCAGTCAACCTGCATGGCATGCCAGCAGAAGCCAAACAGCCATCCTCTGTGTTTGTTTTCCGCCATTCTCTCATGTTCTTGAGAGGCTTGCATCGGCCATAGTCTCGAAGCACATTGCTGAAACAAAGGAGACTTGGTTTATTTGGAGCCATCTAGTGAAGCGGCTGTAGCTCCCTGTCGCTATGACGGAGAGCCACCCCGACCACCCGCCGCTGCAGCAGCTCCTGACGAAGGGGCCCCATCGCCCCTAGGGGGGCCCTTAGTCAACACCAACATAGAATTTGAGTCTTTATGGTCTTAGTACCTCGGTAGATTACGGCAGCGGCCACTCCTCGTCTCCTTGTACTGCGTTCCGCCGCGTGCCCCTGGTTTGCTCAGCGCTGTCTGAGTGCTGCAACAGCCCATCTGGCCTTTCCCATGTCTTTTCGTTTTTCAAATCTCCAAGCCAAGACAGCTGGGAACAAATTATTTATATGGAAGCAACTCAAACACTCAACAACAGCCCCATTTCCGCAGGGCCCCTGCGCAAGTAATTCCCGAGGCCTGACTCAGCGGTTTACTCGCCGACTACTTCAGCCGCTGCCTTGCACAGACTACAGCCTCTTTGACAGCACAAATGTAGGAACAGAAATATCTTTCTTTACATGTTGAGTTCCCAAAGCTTCGAGCCGTCCGTCGCAGGCCTGCCACTCTGATTTCTGCACAGGAAGCCTTCAGCCCGAAACAAGTGCCCCTGTTGCTTCTCGAGGTCGAAGGCTGGCATCGCATGAGAGTTTGTACGGCTGTTTAGCTCAGCAGGAGGAGCTTAAAGCGGAGGCAGCAGCGGTCCTTTCAACCCGCTTGCAATCCCCCAAGGGCCCCCTCTCTCACAGCCCGACTGGGTACGGTGCAGCGGTCTAGGCGGCGACAGGGGCCCCCTCCAGCAAAATGTCTCTCACTGGGGGCTCAGCGCCGCTGACGGATGAAGAAAGAGAGCAGCTGCGGCAGCGGCTGCTGCAGCGCCGGCAGGAGCTGCAACAGCAGCAGCAGATGCTGCGGCAGCTGCAAGGCAAGGCCTCTGATGCTGCTAAGGATAGTGTGTTTGCTCCTGGAGCCTCTGCTGGGGGCGCTCCTGCAGGAGAGGAGGCAGACGTGGGGAAGGTATGCAAATACCTGTGTGAAATCTTCACGGGAGCCTCCCCGAGAGACGCTGCAGGCGTGTCGTGGACCAGCGTCGCTTGTGCTACACACATTCGCGCAAGGGGTCTTCTTGTGCCGCTGCCACACCACCACGTGGCACCTAAAGTAGCAGTTTTTCCTTACAGATACCTTGCGCTCAGCTCTCCTTCCACGCCGCACATGCTTGCCTTTCGACTAGGCGGCCTTGCGGCTCTGTCTGGTGGGACGTTTTCCCAGATCTTATGAAGTTTTGACCACTTATTTTTTGCCTCCTGCTGTCTGACAGCCTGCCGCGAACCCCTGTGTTTGTTGGTGCAGAGCGTTGCATCCCTTGTGAGCGAAGTTATTTCCTCGGTGAACTCGATGCAAGCTGTGAGACCCCCCGATGCAACGACTACCGGGGGAAAGAAGGACAGCCAAGCACCCCCTGCTGCATCGGCACAAGTTCTCTCGCCGACCCCCTTTTCTCGGCTTGGAGCTGCTCAGGAGTAGGCTTCGCGTTGCTGGTGAATGCAGCTGCCGCTGCTAAAAGGCGTCCACGTATGCGGGTGGCTGCCACTCGGTGTCTGTGCTGCTGCTAGGCTGCACCTTAGGAGGGACCATAGGCGCAATTCGGAGGATAGGGAACGTGCGAGCTGCAGAGGGGCTGCAGCGATCCTTGCGCAAAGGGTTATACGAATGCCTATCTTTGGGGATTCACTGTTGCTGCTGGTTGTTTTCTACAGGCAGCGTGCTTTAGGCTTCAAAGTCGCGAAGGTGGACACCGCGGAAGCCTCAGTCCTGATTCAGCCGAAGGCAAGCAGTGCCCCTTACCGTAGTTTGTGCAGCGTCTACGACGGCTGTCTTGTTAGGCCACTGCTAGAGAGGCAACCTGACTAGGGGTCGGTGGTTTGCACGTTAAGCCCTCCCATCCTTGCGGATGCAGTTTACAATAATCTCGCCTTGCGGGGGAGAAAAATGCATTTGCCGATATACTTGCATGCATCGGGTAGGCGCGTGTGCGCGCTGCCGAGAGGGCCCTTCAAGGAGGTCAGAGTGAAGAGCGTTTCTACCTCCCTAGGATACATATGGTATTGTTGGCGTGCGGATGCCGTTTGAAGGCCGGTTTGAGAGATCTTGAGATATTTATTGTGAGGGTTCTTATGGATGCCATGGGCGGACTGAGTGGCCTTTCGCGGTGCCTGACGCCTGTTGCCGCGCATGCGTGCGTTGCAGTCCGTAGCTACTTTTGATCGCGGAGTGCAAGCCACCATCGACAGTCCAATCGAACCCTCTGGAGGGAGCTCAGACAGAGACGTGGAGGGCACCTTAGCTGTGCGTTGTCTCCTATTCCTCGCTTCGGCTGTGTGTTGGCGGTTGCTGCTAAAAATGGCAGTGTCTTGTCGAAGCGCACTCACGGTGCAACCTGCCACGTCCAGCTTTGAGTCCTTGTGCGGGTTGTCTCCGCCTCCTAAACTGAGGACTCCTACTTTGCAAGAAAGGTTCCTGGCTTGCGAGTGCTGCTGCCTCAGGCTGCAAATACACTGAAAAAGGCCTTATCGATCAAGACTACAAGCCCCTTGCTCCCCGCAACCGAAGTAGGAGGCACACCGAGGGCCGCGGAGGCGCGGGCAGAGTCGGCCCCCAAGACATTCCGTGAGTCTGCCTGTTGGCTTTGAGGGGGAACTTGCGGTGTACGTACATCTGCAACTTTGGATACAACCGGCCGTAGCGGCATCCGTCGGCATAAGAGCACGCCCCTAATGTAGTTGGTGCACCTTGGCAAAAGCTGCTTCTTCCTCCTTGTCGCCAAAAATTACGGCCTCCTGCTCCAACAGCGTCTTGTCGAAGCGGAGAGCAGCTTACACCCGGAAAAGCGACAGCGCATTATGCGAAGCCTCTCGGTGCTGCGGTGCCCTATCGCCTCCTCCTTAACTGCGCTACCACGCATAAGGGTGAACTTTTATGCCGCAGATCAAGTGCCGGAGGCCGAGAGAAAGCGCGTTATGGCTACTCCCGAGTTTAAGGATTTCTTTGTGTCTTCTACGAAGCTCGTGAGCCTCTTTTCCTCACTCTTGCGTCCTCCCGTCTTCGTGTTTAGTGTCTTCGCTGCAGCTGTCCCTCAAAAAACCGTCTTCGCTGCTCTCTCACCCCAGTGCAGCTAGAATTATGCTTCTACGGCTACAGCCATGCACGGCGCTGTTGGATCTGGTTGCCTCCCCTTCCCCTCCGATTATGCGGGCTATTCTGCCCTTGCTGCCCATCCTCGCTCGCTGCGTGAGGCGAGGCGTGGCATGTGGCCAAGGAACCTAGCGCAGGTGTTGCCTCAAAAAGGCCACGCAGGAGTGGCGTTTTAGACTGCTCCCAGACTTACATGGCATAGCCAGCGCGTTGTCTTCAAGCACACTGCCCGCTGTTGTTGTGCAGGTTGAGCGGCTGCTGGGGGAGGCAGAGGTATACAATGCCTTCGCGGATTATTCAGGGGCCGATTCGGGGCCTCAAGAAGGGTGCGATATTACTGGATGAATCGGAGTGTATTCTGGGGGGATTTTTGTCAGCACCTCATGCAGAGCAGCGTTAGCGACTAAGGCTCTGGGTGGCGTACTGAGCGCTTAGCCCCTCGCGCGGCCTCCCTCATGTGCACAGCTGCGTCGTGTGCCTTCAGGGGGGGAGGGGGAGTTTTCTGTGCCACAGTTCTTGATGCGAAGGACCAGCAGACAGCAAGTGCAGTTTCAAGTCGACCTTGAGTAATGAATGTGAGTAGAGTGTCTCCGATGTCTCTACCCCTGTCGGCTTAGGTCTGAGGAGCTCGTCACCTTCGTGGACGTGTACAAAGATACACGCTACGCTCCACATCGCCCAGTTACCGACGTGAGGGCCTCTCCAGCCTTCAACGAACTCTTCCTTGCAGCCTACGGACCTCCTAGTTCGAAATACGCAACTGCAGGGGATGTGGAGGGCTGTGTCCTCGTCTGGAGTCTGGCGCTCAAGCAGCGGCCAGAGTATGTCTTCACCTGTCAGGTGAGCCGGCGAGGGAGAAAGGGGAGCCTTCCCGCGTGCTTCAGTTTTCGCTCTGGATAGGTCGGTAGGGGGGGGCCTTTGTGGGCTCCTGCGCACGGTTCGAAAGCCTAGAAAAAAGTCTTTCATGCGCGTATGAAAGACCCTTTTGCCCCTCGCTGCTGCTGCTGTGCATTGCTATCCAGTCGGCCGTGTGCAGTGCCCTCTTCAACAAGTTTCAGCCGTACGTCATTGTGGGGGGAACATACGGCGGAAGCATCGTGATTTGGGATTCGCGAGTGCAGGTGAGCAGTCTGCGCGTCATTGAGGCCTCCTAGAAGCGTCTGGATAGAGTTGTCGCCATGTATGGGAGCTGTGCAGGCTTGAATGGTGGCTTGTGGTGCAGTCTAAACCCGTACAGAGGACGCCGCTCTCATCAAAGGGTCATTCTAGTCCAGTGAGTAGGAGGCCTTCCTCGACGCGAGACGAGAGCAGTGAAAGTGCTTTCGCTTCGTACGGGGGGCCTTGCGATCCAAGAGGCCAAATGGCTGGGGCTTTAGGGAGCTCTCTCGTGCATGCGTGCCGCTGGCTGGGGGAGATGGGGGAAGATGATCCGTGTTGTTGCATGTTCTTTTGGCTGCACCGCCATTGCTGCTGGAGCTGCAGCAACGCAGCGTAGTATTGGAGTTGCCCTTCTGCTGGCCTCAGATTTACGCATTGGAGATGGTCGGCACGAAGAACGCTCACAACTTGGTGTCTGTTGACACAGACGGCCGGCTGTGTCAGTGGTCTCTCGAGATGATGGGACAGCCCTCGGTGTGTCTTATTGCAAGTGTATCTGCACTTTTCCCTCCGTGACGAGTCCCCTGCACCCCTCTGGTGGGTGTTGTGGAATTTCCACTTTTGGCGGCCTTCTTTCAGGTTCCCAGGATGGGAAGGCGGCAAAAGCATGCATTTTGTGGGTGCCTTGCCTCTGCTGCAGGAGACTCTCGACTTGAAGCGTGGCAGCCGCGATGTCTGTGTGGAATGCGTAAGCTTCGCCGAAGCGGAAGTCAACGACCTCTGTCTCGGTTCGGAGGACGGCTGCATCATGACCGCTAATATCCACGGAAAGTGCGTGCTTTTGGCTGCTGCTACCACTGCGGTGATGGTACTGGTGGATCTCTACGGGGACACCTCTGGGCCTTGGTGTACGGGGTGCCATGCAGTTCGTATGTGTGCTTGATTGGAAGGTGAATGTATATTTGTCTGTCGGCGGCACGGGTTGTGCTGTGCTTACCTGGCACTTCGTGTGGATGGATGGATATATATATGTGTGTGTATGTATGCATGTATGAAGGTATGAATGCATGTATGTATGGATGGATGCATGCATGTACGTATGTATGCGTAGGAATGGATGTGTGTCTGTGTATGAAGGGATGTTCGTGTATGTATGCCTATGCGCATGCATGTATTCATGCGTGTATGTGTGTGCTGCTGCGACCTCCTGGCGACATCCTCATGGTTGCAGCAAGGCAGGAGTGATGGACGTATATGAAGCTCATGGTGGCGCACTCACTTCCCTTCACTTCCACCCGGGGCCGTCGGAAGGCTCTAGAGATTACTCACATTTGCTGCTCTCCTCTTCTGTTGACTGGTCGATAAAGCTGTGGAGCAGTAAAGTAAGTTGTTTTATTAGCTGCACAGTACAGCGCACCCTTCTCCTTTGTAGCCTCTTGGAACGAGGTCTATATGCTGTGGATCGAGCTTTGTTTACGCCTGATTCTTTGGCCTTTCTGGGAGACAGTGCCTGTATTTTTTTTGTCTGCCGATGCAGAATCTAAAAGAGTGCCTGTACCTAGTGTGTCTCTGCCGATGCAGAATCTAAAGGACCCCATTGCGACGTTTGAGGGGGCAGACGCCTACATATACGATGTCAAGTGGTACGTCGTTTGTAAGCGCTGCCCCTGGCCGTCCCTGAGCTCTGGAGTGGCGGCAACACCCCGATACGCTCACCCCCTGCGGCTTTCTCATGTTTCCTTGAGGAAGCCATGGAAAGCTGCGTTTGCTTCAGTCGGTCTGCTGCGGCGTTTTAGGCCGTCGCAGACTTTCCACGCTGCCCCTCTGTTGAGCTGCTGCCCCACTCCCCACAAGCAGCTCGGCGTGTCTGTGTCTGCCTCCATTTTTCTTTGCTTGTCAAGGCATCCAACAAGCCCTGCGATTTTTGCAAGTACCAGTGGGAACGGCACATTGGAGCTCTGGAATCTCGCGAACGACTGGGTGGTATGCATTTTTTCCCTCTTCCTCCTCCCCTGCTTCTGTCTCGCGATTTCACTCGCCCTCTCTGCTGGTTTCTTAGTGCAGTCTGTGCACCCTTCCCATCCATGTCCCACCTTGAAGGGTATTACAAGGAACTCCACAAAAGGTGGTTTTTGGTGGTGCTTGCGTGGCGTTTCTTGGGGCAGTTTTTTCCTCCGTGAGGACCTCTTGGAATGCCCTTTTTATGGCCGTTCGCCCCCTTGCCCTTTTGTTGCTGCTATGCGGCTGAGGCTTAGCGTGATGCAGCGGTCTAAGTTGTTTCCTCAGGTTCCAGTCTTCAGCAGCCCCAAGCCTGATGCCCCCGTGGGAGCACACTTGGCGAAAAGCAAGGTAGCCTGGTCTTCAGATGGCCGGCGTCTCACCACTGGTGACGCGATGGGCAACCTTGAAATCTGGAATGTTTCATCTCAGGTACCAGAGTATTGCACACCTACCCATTACTGCCTTCGATCCTGTATACGCAGGCGCTGGCTGCTGCTTCACGGGAGGGAGGGAGAAAGAGAGAGAGAGAGAGACAGAGAGAGAGAGAGAGAGAGACAGAGAGAGACAGAGAGAGAGGGAGAGCCTTCGGGGACTTGCACATGACCTCGACCTGTATATACGCCGAAGATGGATGGCAGTCCATGACGCTGGAGCCTCGCAGGCTTTCAGCGTGATGCCTTGCCGTTCTTATGTATCTGTGTATATGAATATTTATGTGTGTTGCGTGCAGATTTACCAGCCGCGAGCAGAGGACTCCGCAAAACTCGATAGGCACATAGAAGGGGCGAAACCGTAAACGTTCTTTTTTCATGCACTTCAAGGCATAGCCATTTTCTCTCGCGTCAATTCTTTGTGCTGCAACGCTCTCTAATGCTTCTGGGGCACTAGGATTTCTGCGTCTACTGGCCATGAAGTTTGCGGCTTTGACAGCCTTCATTTCCCCGTTGTGGTGTATTTGCTGCGCTGGCGCCTTGCAGGGTGTTGAAGGAAAGCGGCTCTGGAGAGAATAGCCAACTCGAGTTTGGCGGCGAATAGACCAATATTACATGTATACGTTCGTCTATGGGTGCACCTGCTGTATTTGCATGCCCTGCAACGCATGCGCCATCAGAAGCATTCTCCAGCCCTTTGTAACACAGGCTCTTTCGGTACCTTGTTTTGGCCGCTGGCAGTGCAGAACCTACGGGGCATGTTACAAATGCTAGTTTCCCTTTGGCGCCACAAAGCAAAATAGGCAGTGGCACCAGCTTCTCCCCGCTACTTCTTCCTTCTCCCTTTCCTCCCTCCATTTAGGAAAGCCTATTGGCGTTTGTTGCGGTGTTCCTGCTTTTCTGACACTTTACTGGCTAAAAAGCTCAACCGCCTGTTGTCAGCTCGGATAGAAGGGCCTATTGCGATGGCTTCCTACCAGACCAGCGGGTTGGCTCCGTTGTGGTGCCTCTTCCGGAGCTTTAGATCCTAGGAAACAGGGCGGCGGGGAGGGGAGGAATCAAAGAGGCCATTACTGCCGAGAAAGCTCATTGCTAGAGCCATAAACTAGCCTAGATGTGGACGGCAGCGTGAGAATCTGGAGGCATCACATAGCAGCTCGTCTCATTCGCGTAACCGGTTGCATTTGCAAGTGCATAGTCAGGCAGACGGGCACAGTCATCTGTCGTATAGCAGCATTTGAACACTAGTACGTTGCTCGACGTGCAGCGCCGTGGATGCATTTCACAATGGATTGGCTTCCTTTTGAGCCCAACGCCGGCTCCACCATCTTTGTACCATGTACACCATGCCAAACAGACTGTACAGCATCAGCAGTGACCAGCCAACAGTTCCACGCTGCTGGCTGGACTCATTTGTTACGTGTAAGCCGTAGACCCCTTGAGCTCGTTGCCTTTGTCGTGTGCTCTTAGATTATCCCCTTGCATGACGCCCTCTTGTTGCGTCATTAACACAATCCTATAAAGAGGCTTCAGCGAAAGTTTGGTGCAAGTGAATGCACCTGGCAACGGCCATTGTCAGCTCCAATTGGCCGACCGCGCCCTTGTGCGTCTTCCTTCGAAGCCCTTCAGGCAAGGGAAAACGCTCATTTACGCGCGTCGGAGCAGCTTGGTTGGATGCAGACCTCGTGACAGTGTAAGTGGCCTCACGAGCAAGCGCTGCGGCGGCCACGACACACTCCATGGGTAAAGCTGGAATTGATTTGCTCATACACCCTCACGCGTAGGTGCTGTGCAGATAAAATTATTTGCCCCGGTGAACTTGGTACACTGATGGGTCCTTTCGAAAGCTCCCAATCAGCGAGAAGTACGCCTTGTCGCATAGCTGTTAGTGCACAATTGACTCGGGAGAAAAGCAACGCTTGGCAGGGACTGAAACGCCTTCAGGTTCCGGGTTATTGCAGCCCTGTTTGGACAATACTGGCTTTTTCCAGCGCATATGGAGCCACATGCATGTGTGTGTGTGTGTGTGTAAGCATAGGCGCTACACCACGAGGAATCCGTATGTGTGCCCTACAGAGAAGGGTCGTCCGTGTGCTGGCTCTCTGTCTGCCTCATAGCTTACGGGCCAGCCACTTGATCACTTTTCCTTATTCTTCGAAAAAGTCACATTTGGCCACCACGAGAGCCCTCACGGATTACTGCGTGCACGAAAAGCTGCCTAACCAACTCGCGGAGACGCTGTACAGAATCTGCGCGCACATTCGTAGTCTTGTGTACTCAGAATTTAGGCAAACATCGTTGTAGTGTCCAGATTATCAGAGAGGCATAAAACAGTGCTGTCCTTTATGGGTGAGGTCTTCAAGCCTCCAAGGGAAAGACCACTAAAGGGAAATTACCGAAGGAACGGCAGTGGTAGGGACGCAGGTGGGGGCAGATAAAGGGCAAGCGAGTTTCTTCATGGCCAAGGCTTTGGGGCACTAACTGAATGAGATCCAACAAAAGCTCAGTCAGCTTTGAGGTCAATGGTGGGTAGTGGTACTGCTGGTGTACTTCTGCCACCTAACAAAAGAGAGCCTGAATCCTTTCGGCCTGCCAGAAGTACGATGTGGCCAGTACGGGAAAGGGCAGGAAGTCTCTGGCTTAGCGCATCCAGGCTGTAGATGCTGCTTCGCTTAGTTGCGGCATCAAAGCGTCAGTCTGGCTTCGGTCTGAAAAGGGAAGGAGCAAGAGATTCCCAAGTTCAACCGCGCTGTTCAGTGCTCTGTCCCCAATCGTTACCGCCCTCACGTTGCCGGAGCTGATAGGCAGGTTTACTGCCAAGTTTCACTCTTCTGCATAGCAGACAAGGCACGAGCATGCAGCAACCCATGCTGAGCGAATCAGAGCAAAAAGTGTTTGCGTCAAGTGCAATGCAAGACACGCTTGCACCCTGTTGAGAATGGAGAGCCATGTACCCCTGCTCATGTTCGATATGTGAGAGAAAACAACAAGCGGTTCTCTGTGCCTTCCCCACTTGCGCACTTTAGTGTATGTGTTGTCTGCACGCAAAGATCCACTAGCGTCGCGCTAAAGGATGAATGATTCAAAAGAAACTGATTTGTCCGGTGTTCAGGAAGCTTACAGGAACATAGTGCTTTTCGTGACTTGCGAACACTCCCTTTGCAAACTTGCATATCAGCATCCCGCATTATTCCATCCCTAATTTTAGCCGAGGAACCTCTCCCCCACCTTGGGGCCTGGATGTGGTGGTCCGCCATCAGCAGCACCAGTAGCAGTGGAGAGATTCACAGTCCATTTAGCTAGTGCGCGCACGAAAGGCTCAAAAGAGACAAGGACGTAATAAATCATGATAAAAGGCTTTCGGCTCTGTGTTTCGGGGCTTCAGATCTGGTCCTGAATCATCGACAATGTTAACGAGGCACACCAGAAGGTAACTAGAAAACGACGTTTGCTGCCAGGTGTCTAGGGCCGTTCGCCATCTTGTCATGAAATGATATGTCTCACTATGCTGATTTCCCTACAGGTTAGAGGTGTCAGAATTATCGGTTCTTACCTCAAGATGGAGTTTTAAGGCTCCCTAGATTATTCGCGCACTTTGCTGCGCGGGCAAGTACCTCGTAGAGAGGCGGAAGATCGGCACAAGGACATGGAAGTGCTAAATTTTATGGCTCTTGAGCTTCAGGGACACACACCACGATAGCTTCTAGTGAAGAAGGAAACCAAATTGCGCGGTGGTTGACAGAGAAGCAGTGCTGGGCTGTGTTGTCTGCGGGAGAATGTGCGACTATCCCTGGTTCACAACGCTAGTCGTCATGAACGGTGCTCCTTGCGTTGCTCACTAATTGCCCTACCTCAGCGCACGCTCTGCCAGCATTGAATTTCGCATTCTATTCGAGCTGCATCAAAAGTTTGTTGCCGCTGTCAAGGTGTTATCTAATCCAGATTCCTGCGGAGGCACTCTCAGGTATGTTATCCGTACATTTTTTCTAATGCCTATTTTGGGACATTAAAGCCTACTATATTACTTGTACCGGCTGTCCTGGGACCGAGGTATCGCTCTGTAAGACCCCGACGCACTGCTGAGCGGCAATGCCTATTAATTCGTTCTACCCATTTTACTTTTCTTGAGTTTTCTCGTGTCAGGAGATTTACACTTTTTAGGGGTTCAGGAATAGCAACCCAGCTCAGTGCTTTGCTCGCGTTGGTTTGGTCTTCATTCATTGTTGGCTAGTGTACGTGTTTTAATCCGTTAGATTTTGCTATGGAGGCTCTCATTTGCGCCGTTCTCGTGTTTCTGCGTGCTTGAGTCATGGCGATAGTTCGGACTTGCTTTCGCTGTCCTGCACGCAGTTGGTCTCGACGATCAGGTACCTAACACGAGAGATTGTTATTTAAAGTGGTAGGGGAGGATGTGCAGGGCTGATTGATCTAAAATCGTCTTCTACTACGTACGTTTCACTGAATAAGACTTTGTTTAAAAGTGACAAAACTATTTGTTTGCGTTTGGTTTGTCTTTCGTATATCTTAAATATCGCAAAATACTTTTAGTACAAAACAAGAAGGTGCAATGCAATCTGCGTGTGCTTCAAATAAATTGTGCAGCTAGCTGTGAATAGCGAGGGCGCTCTGACAATGCAGCTACCCCCAAATAGTCTAATTGTCACTTTCCTCGCGTGCCGGGAGTTTGATGGGTTGCCGGTGGGAATTCTTGAGGAGCACTCAATAGCTTTCAATCTTGTGCTGAGTTTGGAGCTAAATATCTGTACACGGAGGCTTCTTATAACTTGCTGCTTAGTTTATCTCTAGGTTTGAGGGGAAAAGTACTTCCCCATGGGGGAGTTGATTGGCAAGCTACAATACCTGACTGATAGTTCTGGCTGTTTGCATGGTATTTTTCACAGGGAGACTAACTGACCACTGCAAAAAGGAGCGCCCTATTCATGTTCACTAAGTTGCTATTTCCAAGAAGGTAGGGAAGACGAGCGTGCTTCGATGATGCAGGAACCGGCTTACTTGGGCTCCACTCTCATCCCTCAGAACAATGAGAGGGGATGAAGATGACCAAAGCAATCCCTTTGAAGGTAATGCTTAATAGCTTTCTACTAAATCTTTGTAGAATATATGAGAGTCTAAAAAAATCTCTACTGACGACTGCAGGGGAGTGCTCCGCTGCAGCTTTTATCGTTTGTACTCCGGAAGTCAACTCCATGTCTTATTGTCCCTCTGTCCTATGCCAAAGATAGTAGAGACTGCATCTTTGACAATGGCTTATGCTTTTCGCCACTTAACAAAAGGGAGGAAGGCTGGCGCATTGTGTGGTTGCTCCCGGCGAGGGTGCCAGCCCCACTGTGCTGCTGGCGTAGATGCATGTGCATGCACAGTGAGAGAGGGGATCCTCTGCGGGGAGATGTATACGCGCGCAGGAAAAACCAGAGGCACTGCGAAGCAGATAGTCCTCGCCGGAGTTGTCCTTGTTCTTCCTGCTCTCGAAAATGAAGACCGTCTTCTCTGAGCTGAGTGTCAAGGTCCCCGAAGGGGGTAAGGAGCACAGCAGCACCCTGTTTTGTGGAGGCGCATCTTATGCCTTGTGGGGTGTTCTTAGGGTCTTAGATGAGTGAATATTTCCTAGAGTTGTACCATAGATTGAGATGTCTCGCAAATTATGCCTCTTGCACTGGACCTGGCACTCGCGAAGGTTGCCTTCTCCCCCGCAGCGCCGTTCGGGCCTCGGTCGGCTCGTTCGACCTTAGAATATCAGCTAGCGCGTATTACTTCGCGTTGTTATCATGTATATATCATTTATGGCATCTGGAAGCTCTGTTTCTCACTGTTTTGCGTAAACTCGTATTCCACCTGTTGGTCCTTCCTGGTCCTCCCGCTGGTTATGTGGTTTTGTCGTCTGTGCCGCTTCTTCCTTTATGATGCAACACTGGGTGTATAACCCTACAATTAGAATTTCGGTGCCCCTCTGTGGTTGACTGATACCGGCATACGAATGCGTCTTTCACGTGCGTCTCGTGTGGTACTTTTCAGTGACTGTGGCTGTGAAGAGTCGGGAGGTCACGGTGAAGGGCCCTCGTGGCGAGCTGAAGCGGAACTTCCGCCACTTGCCATTGGTGCTGCGGATGACGAAGGATGCGAAGCGCGTCAAGGTTGCTACCTGGAACGGCAGGCAGTCCGACATCGCCTGCCTGCGCACAGTTTGCACGCATATCAACAACATGTTCACCGGTGTGACCAAGCAGTTCGAGTACAAGATGCGTTTTGTGTACTCCCACTTTCCGATCAACTTGAATATCGCCGAGGGCGGCAAAATTGTGGAAATCAGAAACTTCTTGGGTGAGAAGCGCGTCCGAACCGTGAAGCTTCTTCAAGGCGTCGTCTGCGAGAAGAGCACCAATGTGAAGGATGAGATCGCACTCAAGGGGAATGACCTCGAGCTCGTGTCTCGATCCGGTGAGTTGGCGATGCACGCCGAAAATCGCAGTGGATGGATTCATATGCAGTTCTTTGGCGCGTTTGTGTCGTGATCGTTTTGGGAGGGAGTCGTTGGGGCTGATCCAGTGTGATTATTAGTATAGGAGCGAGAGAAGAGGCGTGAAGAACAGCACTGGGTGCATCGATGTTCTGCAGGCAGGAATGGCCTGTTGTTTTAGCCTTGTCAAAGCACTTCTTGCACATCTGCAGTCCAGATGCACTGTTTGCTTGTTGGACCGTGGGTGTGCGTTGCTAGCACTTTATCTTGTATGCGAATTTCGTCCGTTATGTGCGTGCGCGGCTACCTCTCTTCAGCGGCCCTCATTCATCAGGCCACGCTGGTGCGTCGCAAGGATATTCGCAAGTTTTTGGACGGCATATACGTCTCTGAAAAGGGCACTGTCGAAAAGGCCGAATGAGCGGGTAACCCTGTGCTGGAAATTGGGGCTTGAAGCGCAGCTGCTGCTTCCTAGGGCAGGTAGTGATCGGCCAGCCTAAGGGATAGCGAAGGGGACCAACCAACGCCTCCTCAGGTGCTGTGACAACATACACGCCCACAAATATTCGTTGGGCGGCGTCTTCCTTCTCATTGCACTGCACCCTTGTGCAGAACGCCATGTTTTGGGTGGACCGGTCTCTACCTGTGGCAGTGAGTCGTCAAGGGTTGGTATCTGGGTAGATGCAAGGAAGAGGCCTTTTTGTGATACGATGCTTGGGTACGTACACAGCCCCACGTAGCGTTTCGTATAGCATAGTGACACGTAGAGAATCGCGTCTCTGTATGCTCTTAGGAACAAGAGAGCCCCTCGTGTATGTACTTGCTTTTGTACGGTTAGCAGTGAGTAGATGCAGGTTGCCATCTTTAGAGTGAGATTGGCCTAACAGGTAGATGTACAATGACTAAAGAAACGTGGGACTCGGGATGTTCTGCGCTTCCATGGACATGCTTCTGCCCGATCGTGCACCATACGGCTATTATTAAATTTGGGGCAGCGGGATTCGGATTCTGGGATGTGGCGTAGACACCGGCAGTTGACGTGCGGCAGATCGCACAAAGTCGCCTCTCGGCTTTTGACGGAAACTTCACTAGGAATACGGTGCTAGAGGTGTAGGTAGGAAGGAATTGGTAATGGACGGCACGACACTAAATTTCTACGTGTGCTAGGGGGTCTTTTAAAAAAATTTATGGGCGCCAATGCACGTTGCTTTGGCGGCCAAGCAGCCCTCGAGAGCCCATAGAACGAATACGGCCCTTATCCATCGCAGCAGCGGATGCCCAGTCCCGGTTCAATGTGACCTGTTGGACCGTCGCATTTGGCTAGGCTCATAACGCGGAATTGTGGCTGTTTGTAGTTAGCACGGTTATCTCCGCAAGGCGGGGGCTTAATTGCCTGTATGGCTTTCTGATGCTTGGTGTTCGCTGGTAGTTGCCGACATATAGCTTAGTGCCTTGGGCTCATGGTAGCACTGCCAGTGCCCCGCCGCAGCAGAGGCTCCTCCGCTGAGTTTTAGGCTGCGCAACGACGATCATTTGGCTTGTTTTGGCCTTCTGCCTCTCCTCTAGTTTATGAACGTACACTTGGGTCATGGCCATGAGTTCTTCTTCAAAATGCTTGCTGTCCTCCACCTGTTGCAGTGCAGTTTGGCTTAACTGTTTTGCTTCTTGGACAATTCGTTTAGAAGTCTTGAGGAACCCCCTAACTGCAGTTCTGAGCTCTGCAGGTGCTGGCCTTGGCTCCATATGCTCATTGGAATCGGGACAGTAGAAACGAGTCTCGTTCCTGTCGAAAGCAAATTTCACCCGCAGCTGCTCCGCTAGCCGTCGGACATGTGCATAATCCAGGTGCTGGCGGCTCTTAAGGATTGAAAGAGGTCGTCCGTCGGCCCCCACGAGAACTGTTGGCTTCCTTATGCCTGTAGACGCGCTGCCACTCGTCCCGTTTCGCTCTGCTGCACCTGAAGGCCGTGACTGAACGCTACCTCCGGTGTTGCAGCTCTTCCGCTGGTTGGTAGTTGCAGCGGCCACAGGGGATCCTGCACCGTCCCCGGGTAGGGGAAGACTAAAGCGGACAGGAGAGGCATTGGCACTGCTCCTTTTAGCGGTGGGTTCTTTAAGTGATTCAGGTGACCCCAGGAAGCCGAGGCCATCAAGCGACACTTCCGTCATTCCGCTCGCTACCCTTTTATCTGTACTTCACGCTATGCCAACGGAGTCTAAGGAAGAAAGTGTTATGCTTATATTATGACCGGACTAGGTCTAAAGGAGTGCTTGGATTATTCCTGCCTTGGCTAACTTCGTAACCGACGCTGAACGGACTACTGGAGAGACAGGGGATTGTAACAAAGAGATGCACCCCATTACCATAAACGAAAGCACCTATGAAGTAGTGCGATTGTAAAGCATGTAAAAAAATTTTTATCCCCTTCATGCAAGTTAGGAACTTGCGTATGACCGGGCGCTGTGTCGAGGAGGGTAGCTAGCCGCCATGCCTCTAGGTAAGCTGATTCGGCTGCGATTCTACTCAAGTAAAGCGTAGTATGTATAGCCAGAAACAGATAGCTACAGTACCGTATCATGCCATTCAGCCGTTTCCACTGGTTTCTGCGCAGCAGGTATTGCTTGTGCCACGCGAATGGTGGGCACAAAGGGGGCTGATGAGGATCACGAAGAAAGAGGAGCATACAGAACGTTCAAGAACTATGGTGCGAATGCCTTCGATGGGAAATTTCCAACAGGGAGGTGCCACGTGCATTAGAAGACAGATGCTGCGCACAACACCAGGCAGCCCCGTGAGCTGGTAACGCATGCGGATCCTCATGCTGTGACACTGTGACAGCTGTTGCCCGAGGAACGGGACTAAAAGCGCATCAAAGCTAGGGAAGGGCATTGGGTAATCTGCGCAAAGCCACTGAAAGCGGTTGCTGTGCCGAATATTTGCTCTTCAGGGCGCAAGGGCGGGGCTTACTACCGGTCATCGGTTACATGTGTTTCACTGGGAGTTCAGCACACAACAGAACCTTCGTCCTATGTGCCATAGCAGGACTGTTATAAACACTGCTGGTTCTGTGGTCAAAGCCCCCTGAGGGCTAATTCGCCCTACAGGTGAGGCTATCTCCACGAGGAAGAAACTCCCGAGAGCTTCACCTTGGCTTTCTGCATCCCAGGCGAGCTGTCCCGGGTACTTCGCAAACAACAACTCACATAGTAGTGCCAAGATTCCTTAAATCTTGGTTTTATCGCAAGTAAAACGTGTTTCTAGATAGGAGGCGGACCGTAATTCGTGTGTTCTGCCTTGTCACACACACGCCCAACTTGCACTGCGATCTACTCAAGGGGCCTGTATCAAGTTTTTCCTTGAAATTCGCGGTAAGAGCTCTTTGTCCAGTGGATTTTTCTCATAGTCCTTCTATTTGTGGGCAAGCGATTTTGGTGTCGTTGTCATCGACGATGGCGGCTCCTCATTTCCAAATGCGGATTCCTGCACATTACCTACCGGCGTACACGGACGTTCGCCGACTGAAGAAGAAGCTTGAGAATCTTGTGCAGCGGGCGCAGCACCAACGAGCAACTGTGCGAGTAAGCTGCTGCTCGCTACGGGGTTGCACTGCCTAGCGCTCCCTCCAGAACTTCGCTTGTTAGCTTGGTTGGGATTTTGATTACAGCATCTTCTAGCGCGTGCAGGATGCACTTTCAATGAATGCTCCAGCTATCAGCTAGTTCATTAACCTTATGCAGGGAAGCAGGGACAACGATGTTGCGCAGTCATCCCAGAGTAGAGGGCCAGTCAGCCGTGCAACTGTGGTTCGGTCGTCATGCATCGAATCCTAAGTGACATGAATCAAGATTCTTCGTCTTTCTTTTGCCTTCAGCGTCGCCTTGATATTCTCCAGAGGCCACGCATGCTACCACATGGTCGGCCACAGAGACATGCATCTGCGGCTGCCTGTGCTGCCGAGGATCAGGAGGCGGACTCTCCGTGTTCCTCAGCAACGCATGCAGCTGGACAGCCGGTGGGAGACAGTGAAATTCAGCTATCCCCGTCTTCTGCAGCAGCAGCACGTGCAGACGACGGCATGGCCGGCTCTAGCCTTAGGGCAGAGGCAGAAACTCTTTCTCTGCTTCCTGGTGAGCCAATAGATTCTACACTCATCCGATAGGGTAGAACATACCTTAAGCTGCATTTGCTGATAGTAGCCGGCGCAAAACAGATAGCGTTGATTAGCTACTCGTTTTTTAGGTGTGCTACCGCATAGTGACGCTTAAAAATCGGCTGCAGCATGTTGGTTTGTGGCTTGGACAATCTGCATCTTCGCCTTTTGAGGTTTACTCTTCTTTGGAATGTAGTTTGACGTTTTGCATCCGTAATCAACCCTCATAGATCCGCGTGCAAATGAAGAGGGCGCGCGGGATGCTGGGCCTGCGGTTCACAGGGCGCACGCTTGCACTTCATATGCGTGTCGATGCGCTGGTTCCTCAGAATCACAGTTTTGGATGCTTCTGCAGGAGCAGGTCGGGGAGTTAAATAAGTTCGCGACCACCAAGGAGAGGCAAATTCAGGCTGACCTTAGGCGGATTGCTGCACGCTTGGAACAGGCAGGTCTACGGTCCTTGTGCAGTAAACATAGTGCTAGGGGGAACCCTGTGGAAGGAGAATTTTTCCTGAATACTCCGTTGGAGTGCGTGGGCTGGTTAACGCTGCGCTCGCTTTTGTAAAATTTGAAGGGCAGCAGAGAGAGGGGCCTCTGGAAGAGCGAGGCATCATACCATCGGTGGCTCCAGTGTGCATCCTTCTCATGGCGCTCGACCGTGTTTGTGTGTGTGCAGCACTCCGAACTATTGGGGGATGAAGAGCCTCTGATCGAAGAACAGTCTGCCGGTATCCTGCTTCTTGCACCACTATCCAGTTGAAAAAGGCGTTACGGGAGAGCTTCTTCTTGGGCGGGAAGGAGGAGGGACGGGGGTGTATTGAAGCCACGAAGAGCTGCTACACTTGACTTTATGCGCAGCGAAACCCCTGTCTTTGCTTCCAAAAAACGCATATTTCTTGTAACAGCTTTTAAGTCACACTCATGGTTGCGTGTGCTGATGCAGAGATCGTCCATCTCGACTTGTACATTCGAACAAACCACAAGGCGCTCCTTTCCCTCTGCTCCCACTTTGACCGCCTACTCACCGGAGTGCGTTGTTTTCGAAGGACGTGCTGTGTTGTGCGCTGAGTCTGGCCCTTAGATGCGTTCAGTTTCCTGGGCACTGTTTCTTCTTCGCTCTTGATCCACGCGTCCTCCACAAGTTGTCTTTGCCGAGTTACACGCATGAGGGGGAGTCGTGCTAATGTGCAGCAAGCTGCAAGTTTCTTGTATTTGGCTTTCGGGAGCACTCGCATTTCGTCCGCTAGGCGCATTTTTGTTCTGGGATTGCAGGCAAAGACCGCGAGGTGGTTCTCAACTTCGCTGCTAAAAGAGGCGTACTGCAATGTAGATCTAGAGCGACTTGTGCTGATGTTATCGCTTCTCTGGGGAAAGTACAGATCCAAGCTCGTGAGTGTCGCAGCTCGCTTTTAAACGTAGCGTCTTCTACGCGAACCAGGCCAGGCAGTGTGTTGTGTATCGCGCTCCTAGCGCAAGCGGTTGCTGGCGTAGGGAGGGTTGATCTGGCAATCCTGCGACTTGCTTAAGCAAAGTCAGTGTGGTGGGGAGAGGAGTGCGCAACTACAGCACCATCGAAATCCTCATGACCGGTCAAACTTTGAAAACGACTCCCGTGGCACCCTCTGCAAGAGGCAGCTCGCCAGCAGCTGCCAGTTGCTAGCGGCGCCTCCTGACAGCTAACATGCCACGCATGCTGCACGCGGCATCTCTTTCTCGTTGTAGGGTTCGCCTATGTGGACTCGGAGGGCTGTTGTTGTGTCTTCAGGAGGGGAAGCACTTAGGATCGGAAGCCTGGAAACCTCCAGACTCTTTTGTGCGTCTGACCACCAAGTATTGGATCCGACCAGAGAACATTGTGAGCTCAGCGAGTCCTTATGCCACGAAACAGGCTCCTAGAGACTAGCTTTTTTCGCCATTATGCAGAAACACGACGGAGAAGGGGGTCTTGTTCTGCGTGTTTTCGGCAGTCATCCTTGGCACATTCGCTTTATGGCAGCCTCTGCGCTCCTCCACCCCGTTCTCATTCTGCATTGCATGAGGCCTCTACGCTTCTTAAGGGCGTATGGAAGTGCCTTTTCAACGCACAAGCCAGACACATTGGGCACCCTCCGATGGTCGCAGTACATTTTCGGGGGCCAATCTTCAGATGCACGGATATATCAGCCAGTTGCATCGCTACTTGCATATTTTCGCATGCATTTGTGTCTGTGTGTGTATGTATGTGCAGGTTCGCGCGCAATGCCTAATTGTTCGCCATTTACCGTTTTTGGTCTTCGGGGCTTCCGACAAGGACTTGGTGAGGGCCATGTGCATACTGCATACACTCCTAGCGCGACGTATATGCTATTGCGTTGGGAAACGCTTGCTCGCTAGATTCTAGAAGCCACCCGAGTCGAGACTCAAAGACAGTATTCGGCGCGTGTAGTCGTCCCCTTTTGAGAGCATCGTCAACCGTTTCAGTGCTCGTGGCTTGCGCGAGAGCGCATCTGCGGGGAGGCCGTCGGCTTCTTGGAATAATCGCCATTGTTTTAAGGGGCTGCATAAAGCAGCACTTTTTTGCTAGCACCCACGGCTGGACTGCATGCGGTGACGTGGTTTCCCCTTGTGTGCGCAGGAAGCGTCACTGCTCGGCACGGAGGCGTCTAAAGAAGGCCACCTGCTGCCTTCGTGCAAAACTGCACCAACGCAAATGGTGGCTTCTGTGTACTTTGATAGTGCTGGTCCGTCGGGAGGAAACTTGAGGGGTTTTATGAGTTTCACCAGTTACGGCTGTGTGTTCTATCCCTGCAAGCAAAAGCACGGATATAGGCACTAGAGTGTAGAAGAAATGAGCGGCCCTTCCAGCAACGGGCAGGCAGCTAGCGGCTCCAGAGGTCAAAGGTGGCTGTGCAGATTCCTTATGGCCTGTTGTCCGTTTGATCAATATACATACACGTACATGCACACAAATATGTATATGTCGATGGTTTTTCTTTGTGCACATGTATCTATCCAGTAATACACCAGCTTCCGCGTTGTAACGCGTCCCCCCCTGCGGAGGTCTTTGTATATTATCATGCGCACTGCCTGTTGACACCATGGAATCAGAATGCGCATGTGTATGTGTATGTGTATGTGTGCTGCTGCTACGGCTCAGATGCCTACTGCTATGAGCGCCGTATTCGCCGTTTCGAAGGCGCCCAACTGCTGCGATTTCGTTGGTACGGATCGAATAACAACGGCCCGGATGAGAACATCTTTATCGAGCGGTAAGGTGGCGCTAACGCGCCGTCTTGTATTCCCTTCATTTTCGCTGCTAATTTCATCCAGCACGACGTCGCAGCATCTGGCTAGAGGGCAGCCGGGAGGACGACAAGCACGCGCAAGCGCGCGCGCATGCATGCGCAGACGTGAGCGCAAAAGTGCCAGAGAGAGAAAGCGAGAGAGAGACAGAAAGCGAGACAGAGAGGCACGCCATATGTGTGCGCGGCTGCTACTATAATCGCAGGAAGACGCATCATGAGTCTTGGAGTGGGCTAAGTAGCACAAAGCAGCGCTTCGTCATACCCCAGCGCCTTGTTGCGCCCTACATGCTACTGAAACGCAACACCCGTGACCTCCTTCTTGAGGCCTCGAATTTTCAGGCAGTGTCTCAACACTCTGTCAAAGCTCATCAAAGGGCGTCAGAGGCCTCAAGTGGAGGATCCAGCACTCAGACGGAGGCGGTGATGGGGGGAGCCTGTCCAGCGGAGCAGGAGGCTGCAGCGTTCATTGCCAAGGATCCAAAGTTGAAGAAGGCAATCGCGCTCGGCAGCGAGATTCAGGATGAAATCGCCGAACACGAGCTGCAGCCCATGGTAGGTGCGGTGTTATGACGCGTCGCCACGCTTCCCTTCAGGCTGCAGGGACAGATCCAGGGATGAGGGGTGGATCCAGGGATGAGAGATGAGAGACAGATCCAGGGATGAGAGACGGATTTAGGGATGAGAGACAGATCCAGGGATGAGAGACGGATTTAGGGATGAGAGACAGCTCCAGGGATGAGAGACGGATTTAGGGAGGCCGGAGAAATGCGCTGTTCTTATGGGTACTCGAGGGGTCTAGGGGCTTTGGAAGCACCAGAGCAGCGTCTTTTATGGCTCTAGGGATAAACAAGCCTCTTCCGCCTGTGCGTTCTATGGTGCAAAGAAGAAACGATGGGAGGAGGAAGAGGGAATTGACCAAAGCAAAAGAAACAAGAGGGAGATTCTCATGTTTCTTTGGGTATTCTTCAAGCGCCGATTGCATGTGCGTGCAGCTGCGCACGAGCTACCTGCGTGCTGCCTTCCAGTTGGCGACCTCTAACGAGGTGAGTGAGCGAAGGCAGAGAAGTGTCATGCATGCGCCGAATAGGCAGATCGACGCCACTCAGCTGCCACTCTCCCTCCGCGGGCTTCTGGTATTCTCTCGTCAGCAGTTTTTCGCATGCGTGGGCGAACTTCGCCCCACTTCGCGTGCCAGGGGGGGAGTCCGACCCTCGAGCGCCTGTCAAGATATCCTTTGGCTTTGAGAGAGAGTCGACATCCAGGCCGTTTCTCCGTTCTTCAGATGCTCTGCACTCCAGCGTTGCGGAGAGCCGCTGGATGCAGCGCGGCGTGCCTCTCTCGGCGAAGCGTTTTGCAGCACGTGGAAAATTTGATCGCAGAAATTCTTTATCCCCTGCTTCTGTGCCTTTAGCGTTTTTCCCCGTGTGTGCTTATGTATGTCTGTCTGTATGCAATGCATGCAATGCGGTTTTTAGGTGCGAATTTCCCTGGATACGAACCTCTGCATGGTAAACGAGTTTAGGCCCCAACGGCAGGAGGAAAGCGGTTCTAATTGGTGCCGCTTGGCGGACGAGCTGCTGGGAAAGGTAAGGCGCTGTCTCCTGGGTGTTGTCTCCAACTCCTCTTTTACATGCTAGCGCTTGCATGGTGCCTGTTTCATGGATGTGGGGGGAACTGCTGATCGCAAGTGCAAGCTCTCGCGTGCACGTGACACCACATGGCCCATCCGGAGTGGTTCAACGGCCTTCTTGCGACCTGTGCCCCAGGACGAAGTTGTTCGATTCCCGTATGCCATCCTGGAAGTCAAGATTCAGCAAGAGCCTCCGCCCACCTGGGTACAGAGCATGCTGCTCCTCTCAGACGCAAGTGCGCCATCGCCGTTTCCTCCTAGAGCTTTTTAGAATCCAGCAGCAGCCAGAGAGAGACCCTACACCTGTAATGCGCAGCAGAAGAGGTTTTTTTCGGAGGCATGAGCTGCTTGAAGCAAGCGCATGCCTCTTCTGTTGGAATCCAGCTTTCTGCCATAACACCCTTGCTCTGCCTAGCCCCCAATCGAAGGCGTATTGCGGAAGCCTTTGTGTTGCATGGGCGCTTTGCTTTTGCCTTAGCCTTAGTCTACAAGTTTTCAAAGTTCCAGCACGGCATGGCCTTCCTGCATCGTGACAAGATCAGCAGCGGACTGCTGCCTCATTGGCTGCAGCCGCTAGCAGTTCCCAGCGAACAGCAGCAGCAACAACACCACCAGCAGCAACGCGGCGACACCCTGCGTGCGCCGGTCATAGGGGCCTCGCTGTTCGAGTCTGTCCGTAACAGCGCGGACAGCCTTCTCACGCCGCTTACCCGTAGTTTTGCCGAGCAGCACGCCCTTCAATCCGAGGCAGCGGGGATGAGCAGGTGGAAGCGTCGCTCGCTGTTGCCGATCGGTGCGTGGGTGCAATCTTGAAAGCGCTGGAGGCCAGTGCGTAACGGGGCTTCACACGCAAGCGCAACGAACACAGCTCCAAAGGAGGCAGAAATAGCCGCAGGCGCTTCGCTAGCCAGCCATGCGCCAGTGGGATAGCAAGGTTTCGCCGTCTCGTATTAAACGAACCTACCTGTATGCATGCATGCATGCATGCCGCATGGCGTCCTGTGTGCTGTAGGCGTCGGGGATTCGGCTGCTAGCGGTTTGGGAGACTGGGTAAGCTCTAAGCGTTAGCTCGGGGAAAAGCTGCGCATTGCAAGGACGATGCCCACGGCGTCGCGCAGTCTTCTCTCAAGCTGGACGTCTCCTCGAGGCGGTCCTGTACAGGAGCTCCATTGCCTAAAGCCTCGTTCTTCTGCGAGCTGCTATCCTCCAAACAGGCGCTTGTTTGCACGTGCGCGCAGGAAGATATATCGCAAGCGGCCGCGCACCGCACGTTGCAGTGGCTGCAGAAGGAACAGCAGTTGCAGCAGCAGCAGGCGCTTCGCGATATTCGCGACAGCACCTTCGTCGAGGGAGACGCTCATCATGATGGGTACCCCCCCGAAAAGGGTGACCTCCCAATCAGCAGCACAGATTCCCTACGGCGTCGGCTCTTCCGCCGTCACGTAAGGACAGTTCGCAAGATCGATCCCAAGATCGCATTTGCCGGGGAGCGTACTTTCCTACATTATGTTCAAAAGGGTCTCTACTTGGCAGGTGCCAGTCTCGCGTAAGCTCGCTGTACACTTGGCGGGCAGCGTAGGGGTCTCTTCTCTACCGTTCTGCTACTTCTGCGGGGCTCTCGTGTGTTTGGTGAAGCGGCGGCAGACGCACTTCGCACCCGGAACGCAAGAGCTGCTGTCTTGCACTTTTTTCTTGTAGCGTAGGATTTCCCGGTGTCTGGCCACTCTGGCAGGGTTCACTTGCATTGGGGCTTTGGTGAAGAGGAGCCGCCTCCAGCATCTGGCATTTATGGCATAATAATGAAAAGGGTTCAGAGGGAATTTCGTCTCTCTCCCTCGTCGCGCCACTCCCCGAAAGCTTACGGTTGCCCTCGTGCTGCACCTGAATAAGACGCCCTCTAAATTTGCTGCTGCCCCTACCGGAAAAGGAAGGGGGCATCATCCGCAGGTTGCGTCTGCTTCTGTGCGCAGATGCTTAGAAACGCTAACGGGGGCCTGGGACATAGGGATTGTACTTATCCTTGCTGGAGCCTGTGTGCTCATCTGCACTGGCGCTTACATCATCTACCGCAATCGCTGCCATCGCATATCCAGGTGAGACAATGCGGACGCAAACGCCGCTAAAATTCTTAAGGCTGGAATATTGCTTGGACTGCATTGAATTCGAGGCTGTTGCAGAACAGACATTCATAGTGGACTGTGCGTTCCTCTGTGACAGACGAACAGTGTCTCCCTCTCCCCACTCGCAAACCTTAATGCACTCCCATAAAATCGAGGCACAACGCTGCTTTCTTCATTTTTTGCAAGTCGCGGAGGCCTAGTGCCTGTATATGGGTCTGGTCGGGGAGTGAATTCTGGTGCCCCCCGTGGCATACAAGTTCATTTGCTTTCGCTGTTTGCTGCGCTTGCGTGCAGGCTGGTCGCTAAGGCTAGTGCAGCGAACATCCAGCAGCGGATCGATTCCAGGTGGGGGCCACTATTGGCATTTGTTGCTGCTGGGATTGCTACAGTCCTGGCGCTTCTGTTGCAGTCAGATATAGGTTTAAGGCACGTCCTCCACAGGCAGCAGGAAGAACGTGCCGCACACTTTGCGCCCACCCACCCCCCGCACTCTTCCGAGCAGCTGCCTCCCCGGACAAGGGACCTATAATAGATTCTATCGGCAAGACCCGTGCCAGAATTATGGAGAAAAGAGAGAAAGAGAGGTGCTTCAGGGAGAAGAGCTTCAAGGACTATAGGGGGAGGGGCACGGGAGGGGGGAGGCCCCTTGTATATATACAGGCAGCTGGGGCTACCGCCACGTTGGTGGCTGGCACATGCAGTCAGCTGGCAGCATATGCTCGTTTTCTGGGCTAAGCAGTCCGCGGTTCTTTCCCTTCTTCAGCCAGTGCAGATGCTACTGCCGCAAAAGGACATGTTCGCAAGTGGGCAATTTGGGTAGCACAGAACACGGAAATATGAGCGCGCCACCATGGCGTGAAGAGACGCTCTACTCCCGTCATCCATCTAACGGGGTTCCAAAAATAAAAGAAAGGCAAAAACAAGGGGTGGCCGTCGAGCACACTTTAACAGAGGGGCTCACCTCTCAAGCCGTGTGAAGGAGCAGCACGCCGCTGTAGCTATAGCCTCTGGCTCGGCTGCACACACGGCCTTATATATCTACACCCCAGAAAAACCTCACGAAGTTCCCTAAATGGACACGTGTGTGGCTGCCGTTAAGCGTAACTAATTGCTTCTGTACGCACGACTATGTAGGGATTAATATAGATCGATGCCTACGGCCTCAGCCCTCGCCATCGCAGCGAGCGGTGGCCTTGTTCGCACCAGCAATGCTAAACGCGCCCCCCTCATGAACGTAGAATCCACATGGGGCCATGTAAAGGCAGGTTGATGCCTGTGCGCCTACTGCAAATAGAACAACCCTCTCAGCAAAAGGCTCATTTGCAACTTAGTGCCCCTGTGTTCAATAGGCGTGCACCCACCTGTTTAAGCATGAAGCCCCCACAGGAATAATACTGCTTGCAAAATTAAATACCTTCCTTGTGAAAGGGCTAAAAGCATTCACGGCATGCGCGCGAAGTTCGCAGCACTAGAGCACGGCTCTGGCACCCGTTAGAGCAGCATCGTACTACAACGAACTCGGGCATCACTGCCCGAAAGAGGCAATTTCCTGATCTTTGATTTTTCCTGGCTTACAGTTTAGACTAATGGTGCCTGAAATATGCGTGGCTACACTGTGTGAGCGCCAAAGAAGCTTAACATCCTGGATTTTAATCCCTTGCGCCCCGACATGAATTCAGGCTGATTGTCTACACCATGCACCGGTGTAAGAGCAACTGCAAATTCAGAATTATCAGCATGACATAGTCGGAGGCGTGTACCTTTCTAAAGCACAAAGCAGCTTTGCGCCTGTGAGCAGCGGTAGCTGCGTATGCCTCGCCTCACCTGAGGTCTTCGTGTGCTGCTCTCTGCTCCATAGGCTGACTGCTATATTGAGCTCACGCTGAACCGCTTCATAAAATCTGGCTACGAGACGCAAAGTGCATTGTAGCAGCCTCCCCTGCATGCGTCGGAATGCGTACAGAGCTTCCTCCGAGGGGGATTCCGCTGTGGCCCAGTTGAAGGCTCTTTGGCCAGCCCTCCACGGTGCACCAAGTCAAGCTGGTCTCTCCCCTGAGCCGAAGTGAGATGCCCTTTTGCCTCGGTAGAGACCAAAAGTGCCTTTGCGGCATCCTCTGCAGGCCGTCTAGCCAGAAACTACTCTTGGGGGCGTTGGAAAAAGTCGGACGGCCTGTCCCACGACCTCGTTTAGGGCTGCCAGCACCGTGAGCATGCAAGCTTGATCTGTACAGGCCTGCTGCTCGTGGACAGAAAGCCAGCTGACCTGCTTTCTGCGCCAGTGCCTGGCATTGGCATGAATTGCCTATTTTCTGCGTCTAAGCTAAAAGGCAGAGGGCGTCTAGTGGGTAATAGTTCACTTCATTACCTTCTACTTGGCTATACTAATGTATTTATAGGTAAAGAGTGACTAATTAGCTTGATTTAGAGAAGGCGCAATATTGTGTGAGTGTGCGCAGGGTGCCATGTGCGACTGGTTGCTACTATGCTCATCTCAGTGGTTCCTTTGCCCCATATCAGGAGCTCTGAAGCGCACGAGCAGAAAAAGACAAGAATTCTCTGAGCAAGCTGTTGACCAATTTCTACCAAAAGTGTGTAGAATTTGAGGTAAAGTGCCTTCCTACGGAGACCTTTGATGCAGCGTTACAGTTACCACCCCAGTTGCAGCTTCTTCACCCACATCCATGGGTGCTGAATGCAGTCAAATGTAAGGTTTCTGTATGACAAAAGTGTAGTACTTCGATGTTCTATGGCAACAGAGTGGGAAAAGAAACCTCTGGCTATGATAGTTGAATTTGAAGCAGCGCAATTTGAGCCGGCAGAGGTCGGCCTGCGGGCATATTTCAACGCAGCTTGGCAGCTCGTATGAAGGCATGATCCTATGGCCGCTGAACCATATGTGTACGCGTTGAAGAGGCTTTGCCAATAAGAAAAGTAAGACGCTCGTCAGTCGGGCTAATCAATCCACCATTTCATCGGGCCTTCGGAGACGTATGTCTCCTCATTCCCTTGATGGACAGAAACATGTGCAGCTTGCTGTGTATTCACTGAGGGATTAAGCATCTCAATGGTGGCTTGATTAGTGTAGAGGAAGCAATCTGAGTGCAGAGATTTCTACAAATCGAGCCTTCATATACCCCAGACGAGCTTAACAGCAAGAGGTGAGATAATTGAAAAGGATGCAGCGGGGGATATATCAAAAGATTGATGTATCGAGGAGTGTGAAGCTTAGACTTGCAAAAGCGATAACCTAGGGGATTAGCTGCATCATGCTGGGTTATCTACGGCCTACTTATGATCACGCGATGGCACCATGGGCACCTACCCAGCAACTAAACAACCCACCAGCGAGGCTGTCGCAAAAAATGAAGTATTCGATGTCTGATTAACAAAAACGCGTCAGCCCTGAGAATCTCAAGGTTTTGTTCACCAACCCCTGGCCTACAGTCTGGATGATTGAGAAAAGAAAGTCAGGGGGGAATAGTGCTCCTAGGCAGTGCAGGCAGCCTCAAAGCCTCGCATCTAAATTTATAATGAGACTGCGTAAAATAATCTGGAACTCCAAGCCAGTCAAGAAAGACAAAGAACTTGAACGACGCAATTTGCCGTAGTGGAAGCAAGCTGCTTGGCAAGCAAGATAGGTGCATCCGAGAAACAGCAAGCCACCTACGCAGGCTGCTGCGCAGGTAAGTGAGCTACAAAGGGTATTGCGGCACTTAAGGACTTAGCAAGGGTCAACTCTGCGTTAGTACAAGCTTACATGAATAGTTTATAACTGATGGCGTTACTTGCACTAAACGCGAAGGACCTTTGCTATCCGAGGAGAGGGTGCAGAAGTTTAATCTGCCTGTTCTTTCTAACGCAGTTTATAAGACTCAGGCTTGCTGAATGAGGCCAGAATTATCATTAGCAAGGCTGCGCCAGTTAAGCGCCACTTTGAATCGGGTTTGGCTACCATCAGGATGGTTCCTAATGGCTGGGTTGAACCAGCGCACCGTGACAAAATCGTAGGTATGCCATGGGTGACCTAATAAAAGGCACTGCACTGTGGAAATTAGTGTGCAGGAACGAGCGAAGAAATCATTTATTTCTCTCTGCATAAATTCACTCCCCTGTAGAGTAAGCGGGGTGAAGTCCGTGCCTCCAAACGGTGAGGCACTGGTTTTGCGCTGAAGGTTGAGAAACGGAGTAATAGAAGACGCTCTTCAGCATGCATGTCCACCTTACTAGCATTGCAATTAGCCATTCAGCAGTGAATATGACTGAACATTGAGTCGGGGAACAGTGGTAATGGGCAAATGTACATATTTAGAGCACCAGCCACGTGCACACGTGACACCCCAGCGATCCACTATTGTGCACTTCACCATCCTTGTCGGTATTTTACCTGGCTTTTATTGAACCTGAGTAAGTACTAGGTTTTTGACACCCATGCATCCACTGAAATTGCCATATTACAGAAAACGAAGAGGGTGAAGTACTACCATGTTCACCGTAACCTGCTGCGATTCGAAACAAAGCAGGGATCCCGTCGCTTGTACATTCCGACTTAACTTTTTAGTGCCGATCTGCGCAAAGCACGTGATCATGTTCTTTCGTGCCATGGCGGGATTCAAAATGTAGCGGAAAAGAGCATAGGGTTCTTTGAGTGGCCTGAGATCTGTCCTACGGCACAGGGGCCTTCCTTGTCATGCCCAAATTATCAGCGGCTGAAGTCGCGCGGTGCGACGCTTGCCTCAGTCTGGTCTTCGTTCTTTGTTGGTTAATGTATGTCTCTTTCTTCCCTTTGATCTCACTAGAGCAATTGACGCACGCAATTGCTTTTCTCATTTGCACTGCATTTATGTACCTACTTGCCTGGATGATAGAGATAGTGAGGGAAGTCTTCCACTGTCCTGCACTCAGTTGGCCACGACAATTTGGTACGTAACACGAGGCTTTTAATTTGAAGTAGTGGGGGAAGACTTAGGGGGCCAAGTTACTCTGATATCGCCCTCTATCACATTCGTTGTATCTAAAAATGAATGAGTCAAAATTAACTACACGCTTTGTCGGCATTTCGTTAGTCTTCTTCTTATTAACTTAGTAGAAAGTGCTCACGTGCATCTCAGCCTACTACAAAGGACATCTACGAAACGATCCTGGGAACACAATGAGGAACGCAACCAAAGACAAAGTCCACATCTCAGGGCTCATAGGAAGTAAATTTGCTCAAATATAATCTACACGATTCGTAGTTGGTGAAGCAAGTGCTCTGACCCAGCACTACTATCTAATACATCTACAAGGACATCTTTTTTCGCTTGCCACCTCATTGGCAGGATCCGGACAAGGGGCGTTAGGAGCGTCGACATCACAGAAGCGTCAAAGCACAAACAGTGGCAGCAAGACTGGTAGCAATAGTAGATAGTCGTAGAGCTGGTCGAGCAGCGTTGACATGTGAACTGCAGCAAGTGGCGGCAGTGGGCGGCGTGGAATTACTGATCAAGGAACTAAACAGCAGGAAAGGCGGCAAGTGATGCACAAGTGCTAAGACCTAGATTTTAATTCACTGAAGATATTGAAAAGTACACTACCGAGAGGCTACCGCGGTTGTTCACCTGAATCCCACACGGGGTTGCATACCCCTGGCTGGGGAATGGCTTCATACGACCGTATCTTTCGTTATAATTTCTGCTGTTTTCTTCCTAACATGACGCGTTTCCCTTTGTTTTAGGCTTCATTAGTTACTAATTAGCGAATTCTTCTGCTCCCTGAACCCTTTTCGGGCACAAACAGTAGCACATAGTTGCTTGGCGTGCTGCTACCGTTGCTGCTGCTGCGCGCCGCCGCCGCGGACTGCGCAGTTCTGCTGCCAGCAGCGGCAGTGGCCAGCCGCCCTCCCCCTTGCGGTAAGTCTTTTAAAACTGTGCCTGAGTTTCGCTCTCTTTGAAAGCGGCAGCCCGGATTCCACTCGGGCGTTTGGTGGTTTCCCTCTTTCCGTCTCGAGCAGCAGCCGCTGCTTCTTCGGCTTGCTGCTGTCTTTCTGCGTGGCCATTTGTGTAAGCGGAGGAATATCCTGCATTTACGCGCCTGGCAATACGGTACTGGGAATAGCAACTTCCACTGGCTTGTGGTGTACGCGCAACTTCCCACGGCGGCACGGTTCTCCACCCTCCCACGGTAGCCGCCAACCCTGGCGCCGCAGACACACTACGAGCATCTGTAGCAGTTATCGCAGCACCCACAAGAAACCACGCGTGAATTGCACCTTCCAAGCTCGCACGATGGCAGGGGATACTCCAAGCAGTGGTTCAGCGGCGGCAGCATCCGGCCCCCAGACTTCAGGCAACGCCAAGAAACATGAAGGGTGTGCACAGCAGCAGCCGGAGAAGAAGCGGTCGCCCAATCGCTTGGTTGTGGAAGAGGCGATAACCGACGACAATTCCGTCGTGGCCATGAATCCCGCCAGGATGGATCAGCTGCAGATTTTCAGGGGTGACACAGTGCTGCTTCGGGGGAAGATGCGACACGACACGGTTTGTGTGGTACTGACGGACCAGGACCTGGATGAAGGCAAGATTAGACTTAACAAGGTGGTCCGAAAGAACCTCCGCGTGAGGGTAGGAGGTGAGCTGGACTATAGAGTTCCGCTTCTGGCGTGTCCTGTGTACGAGTAGTGCGCATTATTAGGCCCTTCAAAGGAGGCGCAGCAAAAAGCCTAGGCCAGTGGCGGGCTAGGCGGATGGCTTATCGGCTCATTCGAGAGAGGAAAACTCATACATATAGCTAGACACACACACTTTTATCCGTATACCGAACGAGAGAATGGAGAAGCGCACAACTGCCCGCATCGTGTGCCTTTGCAGACATTGTCCACGTGAGCGCGTGCACGGACTGCCCGTACGGCAAGCGGATTCACGTGCTTCCTTTGGACGATACCATCGATGGATTAGTGGGTGGGTCTCGTTTCCATTTTACAGGACAAATCAAAAAAATGATTGACGAACTACAGCACGCGTGCGCACAACACGTGGTGCCATCGTTTTTGTAGCGAGCGGTTTGCATTTTGAATGAACGTTTCTCATGGATGTAGTTTTTGTTATGCTTGTGTGGCGATTTGAACGTTGAGTCAGCCTGTGTACTTTTGTACCTTCCATCAAGACCTTGCGCACATTTGCGCATGTGCCTAGATATGTATGTGTATGCCGTGCAGCAGACCAAACATGTGTTTCAAATCCGAGGGCTTTTTTGTATCACTGCATACGAATATTAATGTCGGGTGCCCCGATTATGCGTTACGTGTTTCCTGTTTTTGTCGTTTTGCATTTAAGGGAACCTTTTTGAAACATACCTGAAGCCATACTTCGTGGAGGCCTACCGCCCCGTGAGGAAAAATGACCTTTTCCTTGTCCGAGGTGGATTCAGGCCCGTCGAATTCAAGGTACACGCCATGACGAGCAAAACAAGCGCAGCGTTGCTAGGTTGTGGGAGTCGTTGCTCGATTGTGCGCGTCGCTTTCTTTTGCATCGCTGAGGATGGATGAGCGGCGCGAAACGGAAAGATGGAAGCAGGAGAATGACGAGCGGAGTTGTGGTGGCTTGCGTGGTGCGTTTTTAGGTCGTGGGTGTAGATCCGGGGGAGTTCTGCATTGTGGCACCAGACACGGTGATCCACTGCGAAGGGGACCCCGTGAAGCGGGAAGAAGAAGAGCGACTCGATGAGGTCGGATACGAAGATATTGGTAAGACAAACGAACGAGGCGGTGGCTTTCTTCTGCCTTCCTTGTGCCCTCACAGGAGGCTTTCCTGTATGGCTGTAACAAGAGGGCTAGAGTTCCCGTGGACGGGCGCAACGCGGTGTGTATGTGTGCCACACTGCCAAGGCAAGGGACTTCTACTCTAGCTTTGTGTTTGCCGCTTCGCGCGAAGTGCCTGTACCTGCACGGTCCTTCTCAGTGTCTCATAGACTGTTTCTTGCATGACGCTTTGTGCGGCGTGCTTGGATGAGCTGTGGCCGCATCAGCCGGTCTCACATGGGTGCATCTTGTATGTATGGATGCGCACGAGGAGTGCATGCATGCGCGGCTTGTTGCATATCGTGCATTTCCAGAGGGAATTCGAAGCTAGTAGAGAGCTCTTGGTGTGGCTTGCTTTCTGTCCTCAGGGGGATGCAGAAAGCAGATGGCGCAGATTCGGGAGATGATTGAACTGCCCTTGAGGCACCCTACCCTCTTCAAAACGCTTGGCGTGAAACCGCCCCGCGGTGTTCTTCTTTACGGCCCTCCTGGTGGGATAGTGCATGCTGTGTAGCGCAGCAGGCTGAGGGGCAAGTTGAATGCTTCCCCTGCTTCTGCCGAGTTTCTTCGCCGTGGTACAGCCTCTACAGGAAGAAGCGTCTTTTGTGATAGGCACTTGTTTTCGCGTGGTGCATCATCGTGTCGCCATAGATCTCGCAATCTTTAATGAAGGGGAAAGCCTGCCAATCTTTTTTGTCTGGTTGCATCTTCATGGAGCGCCGCGCTTTTGTGGGGTTTACGCAAATAAGCAGAACATGCTTCTCATGAGCCGCGGGAGCAGGTGAACGTGCATGTCCGTGAGGACTGCATGCTCGTGGTTGATTGTGCTTGCCGAAACTTTGAATAAGCTGCTATCTGTGGTTCCACTGTCAGGAAGCGGCAAGACGCTGATTGCCAAGGCGGTGGCAAACGAAACTGGCGCCTTCTTCTTCCTCATCAACGGCCCCGAGGTCATGAGCAAAATGGCTGGTGCGCCTTCATTCCTCAAGAAGCTTTCATATTCGCCTCCTTGCCTTTTGCGTGCATGTAGCTCTGTTATCAAAAGGCGGAATCGATTGTATATTTCAGCGCGTGCGAGATATGAGGCACTTTAAATGGTTGACGGAGTAGTGCTGCTGTTCATGCGTAGGAAGGTTTTTTGTTGGGGCGGCCCCCGCTTAGCCATAAGAGTGACAGGATTTCTGTGCTTACTACGGCGTACATCCGCTTAGGCTTTACACCTCGTGATGCGTGGTTTTCTCCATGAAAATGCCCACTGTCACCTGCTTCCTGCTGGTTTCAGGTGAGGCCGAGGCAAATTTGCGTAGGGCCTTTGAAGAAGCTGAAAAGAACGCCCCCGCCATTATTTTTATCGATGAAATCGATTCAATTGCTCCGAAACGCGAGAAAACAAACGGCGAAGTTGAACGGAGAGTTGTGTCCCAACTGTTGACGCTTATGGACGGGCTGAAGGGGAGGGGCCAGGTTGTTGTTATAGGTGAGAGGCCAGGCGAACGAAGACATCTAATAGTATACATGAAATGCGTTCTAAGGCGCATGCGCATTGCTTTAGTGCACAGTGGACGTGGTTCAAATGTGCGAAAGGTTTGTACCGAGTGCTGCGCTTCCCGTGTTTTGTAGCCTCTTTATTTGAGGGCTGTTTGTTGCATTTTTGAATGTCCAACAGTTTTTTACACACAAACTTCTTCATTTCTCGGGCGCTTCAGGTGCAACAAATCGCCAAAACTCGATTGACCCGGCCCTACGTCGTTTTGGCCGGTTCGACCGCGAGATTGACATTGGGGTACCTGACGACAACGGTCGCCTGGAGATTCTGCGAATTCACACGAGAAATATGAAACTTGCGTGTGATGTGCGGCTGGAGGAACTCGCGTCGAGCACGCACGGCTTCGTGGTACGCTTGCGTTAGGATTTTGCTTGTGACTTTGCTTTTGTGTGTCTGCGACTCGATGTTCGGATCTTCTTCTAGGTATGTGTCGATTTCGGTAGCGGTGGATCTGAAATGATATCTGTATGGCGCACTGCGCTGCTTTGTAGAGTGCGTACTTTCTCGGTGTTGCAGTGCAATAGTGTATGCACGTCCGCATGTTTGTTTCTTATTATGGAATTACCCGGTGTCTGCTGGTTGCTTGCCCGTGTGCAGGGTGCCGATTTGGCGCAGCTCTGCACCGAGGCAGCCCTTTCCTGCATCCGCGAGAAGATGGATCTCATCGACCTTGAAGACGACACCATCGATGCCCAGGTGACATGCTGGGGATGAGTGCGGGAAAGGCCTCTCGTATTGATGGGGCTCTGTGGACTCCTATGTGCTGCGTTTCGGGTGTATCCTGTGTCTTTACATATATATATATATATATGTATATATGCTTGTCTGTATGGGCAGCACAAATGCAGATACGCACCCATGCATGCTACATACATATTGGGTCGGCATGTGATCTGTGCATTTTTTATCAAGTGAAAGGAATATCCCGGTGTATTGCTTCTGTTCATGAGAAAGAGAGGGCGAGACACGGGGGTCCTCTGCTTTGTAGCTTGCCTTTCAGCAACGTGCCTGCAAGTCAGTTCTGTTGTTGGTACATGTTAAGGTGTGTAGTATAATTGCCTGGATCACTGGAATTTGTAAAGAATGCATGCATGTACAATACATTTGCGTTGTTGCATGCTTCCAACGCCTTAACGTCGTGCTGTGTTAAGGCACTGTCATGTGTTTTTAATACGCCACCAGGAAAAAGTACATGATCGCGTGCCTGCCTTATTGTTCTCCCGTGCAGGTTCTGAACTCGATGGCCGTAACCCAGGAGCACTTCTCGTCGGCTTTGCAGAGTTGCAATCCATCTTCTTTGAGAGAGACGGTTGTCGAGGTTCCTAACGTGAAGTGGGATGATATTGGTGAGGAACAGAGATGGTTTTCGGATGTATGGATCGTGCAAAGGGAAGCGTTGTGTGGCGAATTCCTGGTTGCACATGTTCGTAGAAAGAGTCTTTTATGCACCCTAGGGCGACAAAGCATTCCCCACATCGCGCGCTCTATGAAAATTTTGCCGGCAGATACGTATGTTGTGTGTGTCCATACATACATCAAGGAGATGCATACTGCATACGCAGTGGCTCACGTCTCCGTGATCTTCTTTGCGTGTATACATGCATGGGTGTGTCGTTTTATCGTGTCAAGTAGTTGGAATTCTCCGTCCAATTTTTTGCAGTCCCTTATGTCAAATGTAAAAGGGTAATTGCTGCTTTCACACCTGGTGGTCAAAGTTGTGCGGGTTTCGTCTACGGTTGCGTGGGCGCTTTTCGGATGCGCCGCCTTCGTGGCTTTAATTTCTATGCTAGGAGATACACTTTTGTTGAGTGCTGTAGCAGCGCGTCCTCGACATGCAGGAAAGTGTGTGTGTATTCATCTTTTGTTCCCATGCCGGCTGAACGAACTCCTGGCTCTCTTTGTCCATGCACAACTTGTCCTGACAGGTGGGTTGGAGGAAGTGAAGAGGAATTTGCAGGAGATGATCCTTTACCCAATTGACCACCCAGAGAAGTTTGAGAAGTTTGGCATGAGCCCGAGCCGCGGCGTCCTGTTCTACGGCCCTCCAGGCAAGCCTCTTTTCAGGAAAGGGCCGTTCGTAACTTGTCTGTCTTCCTCTTTTCTGCTTTCTTGCTGCCTTTTCGGAAGCAAAGGAGTACAATGGATGCTATCCTGTGTTCCGTATGCCTATTTAGTGCAGAAAGTCGGAGTACTGCAGCCTGCAGTCACTGCTGCCCCTTCCTTTAGCTACTTAGTTAGGTCTTTCGAGACTCGGACTTGCCCCTTCGGTATGCCCTCTAGGATGGGTGGTTGTATTTGTGCGGCTTCAGGGTGCGGTAAAACTTTGCTGGCCAAGGCAGTAGCATCCGAGTGCTCTGCAAATTTCATTTCTATTAAAGGACCCGAGCTATTGACCATGTGGTTTGGCGAATCCGAGGCCAACGTCCGAGAGGTGTTCGACAAGGCAAGTGCTACGCGCTGCTGCTTTTTCATTTCTTTCGAACCCCCCTCTTGCTTGTGCTGTCCTCCCCGCCCCTCGAAGCACATCCTGATGATCGCCTTCGTGTCTGTTTTTCGCTTTTTTTGTGCGGGTTGGCCGGCTTCGCGCTGTCGTTTTTCGCATTTTTGGCGTTTTCTGATCCTCTGTGGAGCCCACTGGCTGTTCGCTTGCAACGTTTTTTAAGTGGATGGTGAAGAGAAGTTGCACAGATTGATTGATACCCCTTCCCTGAGGAGTATGTATGTACTGCAGGCGAGGGCTGCAAGTCCGTGTGTCCTATTCTTTGACGAACTGGATTCGATTGGAACGCAAAGAGGAAACAACTTGGGCGACGCCGGTGGCGCTGGTGAGCATAACACGGTGTCGAATGGTTTCTTTCCGAAATTCTCGCTGCAGATGTTTGCAGAGAGCGCAACTGCTCTTCCGTGATTCGCAGTCATATTGTGCGCTGGTATGGTGACCATCCTTGCCAGATGGGAAAATAAGTTAACCCTAGAGCCTCATGCTTCTGCCGCCGCTGCTTTTGACAAAAAAAGGACAGAAGCGGTCGAGATGCAACTATGTATATTTATTTTAAATCTATATTTAACCATATTTTATGTGTTCATGGAGTTCACATTTCGCAAAAACGTTCGTTTTTATGCCTCCCAGGCGACCGCGTGATGAATCAGCTGCTGACGGAAATTGACGGTGTCGGCCCTATGAAGAATCTGTTTTTCGTTGGCGCTACCAATAGGCCGGAGCTACTCGACGAGGCTTTGCTCAGGCCGGGGAGGCTCGATCAGCTGATTTACATCCCGCTGCCCGATCTTCCGGCCAGAGTCAGCATTTTGCAGGTATGTGTTCTGTTTGCCTGCGTTCAGCGCGCTGAGAATTGCCGTTCTTTTGCATTGGGGGCAGTCAGGCAGAAGGGCGCGCAGTCTCTTGCCACACGGAGCTATGTTTCGCGTCTCCGCGCGGGCTGCGGTGTCGGGAGCGAGAGTAAATTCGAGTCCAGCTGCCTCGCGCGCAGCTCCATCCTTGCTTTGTCCTCTCTGCATGCTGTGACGTGTGCCCCCAGGCAACCCTCAGGAAAGCCCCCGTAGCGGCGAACGTCCCGATTCCTTTCCTTGCGCACAAGACCGCCGGCTTTTCTGGAGCTGATATCGCGGAGATGTGCCAGAGAGCTGCCAAGGCTGCCATTCGTGACGTGAGTGTTGGCAGCTGTGCAGTGTCTGCGCCTCTTGCTTCTCAGCTATACCCACACGTTCCCGCACTGCCTTCGACGATTCAAATTCGCAAAACAAAGAGCTCAGCGTCTTATGTGGGGATTTTCCTGGTACGACGCAGGCCATCGCCGCCGAGGAACTGGCGCGCGCCGCGGGCAGTGAAGGGATGGAGGAGGACGAGGCAAACATCAAGTATGAAATTACCAGAAAGCACTTCGAGGAGGGACTTGCCGGTACGTTGCAAGCGGATAGGTCTTCATGAGAAGCGCTGCAGGGCCCCCGAAAAAGAGTCTGGACTTAGCGTAGCTGCGGCACAGGAGCGACTTCGTTTGCAGATCCTGTTTCGAAAAATGATGCAATTTTTGACGAAAACCGCTCCTCTAGGAGCGTCATATACACTTCTGCTGCCGACCTACACTTCTGCTGCTAACGGATACACTGTGCTCGACATTTTTTTTCGGCTGTCGGTGTGCGTTCGCTTTTAGCGCACGGCGCTCTTTTGCCTGATGCAAGACGTCTCGATGCGCTTTTTTGTTCGACTGGCTGATGACGAAATGATGAACCGTCAAAAAGTTGCCTACCTGAATCGATGCGATGCCTTTCTATGTGTTCTTTCCTTCCGCTTTATGCACAATGGCTTGAACTGGGTATTTCTTTAGGTCCCTTATATTGTCGGTTTTGGACATCCGTTGCCTACCGATATCTTCGTTGGGCTGCTTTCCGCATTCCTGTTGCCTTCGTGCAGGAGCTCGCCGCAGTGTCTCGCAGACGGATCTCTCCAAATATGATTCTTTCAGAATGAAATTCGACCCGATATACAAGAGTCAGGCAGCGGGAGGCGATGGTTCCATCATCGTCGACTGGCCCAACACCGACGGGGCCGCTGCAGATCTCGTGAGACCGCATCACGCTGTACTTCCCGACAAGTGCTCGCCGCTCGCTTTAGCCGCTGTCCTTAAGGCGGCGTTATGCTTTCTGCGCTGCTTGATTTAGTTGCCGCCCTTTCTCTCGCACGCCTTACGGCTGAGTGTGCACACTTCTTGTTCGTTCTCTTGGAGATGCATCGGTGTATCCCTGTCCGTGAATGCCGCATGCATCAACAACGAGTCCTGTGAAAAACGATTTCGGCATCGGCCACGGAAGCAGTGGCTGCTGTAGGCGGATCTCTTGAATCCTTATGACCCTTTTTCTTGAATGCGCTTCATTCTTGCTTTCTTCCGTGTATTTGTAAGTTTTTTTTCTTTCCGCATGCAGCACCTGTAAAATCCTTCATGCCACGTGTGCGTGCCTCTTTCCACATCAGACCCGCGTTGACGAAGGCGAGGATGACGACCTCTACTCTTGAATGCAATTCGCGTGTCTACACCCGGCCCTCTTTCGCATCTTCTCCTTTTCTCAGCCTGTCAGGTGTCCGTTGGTCAGTCAGCCGGGTGAGCTGCCGGGATTTCGCGTCTCTGTCGGCACGGAGTGAGGGGCCGTCGGAGTGGCGACAGCTGTGGTCGTTGTTCGTTTCAACCGTCGCACGCAACCGACGCCTTCATTCATGCCTACTGTAGTTTGGAAAGAGGCGGCAGCACGTGCACCCTTAAGCAGGTAGATGGCCACTAGTACACAAGACAGCTACAGTGGAACGGTGTATACAGAATTGGAAAGCCAACTGGGAGGCAACCGAGCTGGCTCGAGATGGTGAGGATTGGTTACGGGATGACCGGGGTTGTTGGCGCGTTGCTGCTCGTGCTTTTTTTTCGCGCGGCAACGACAAACGTGGTCTTTGACGTCGTTTGCACACCCGATGCGTTGTTGCATCATTGCATCGGTGACGGTGAAGCAGCAGCAGGATCGGAACGCAAAGAAGCCGTCACGCTGCCTGCTTCCTAGCGATTCCTCTCTTATCTTCCTTTCTTGCCTCTGTGTGGTAGCTCGCCTCCACCTCACACTTAGCCAGTAAAAGTGGTGGGTGCACATGCGCACAAGCAGAAGCAGGAACAGCTGCCCTGTGTTGTGGGGAGCTGAGAAGGAGAAGCTGCTCTCGCGCTCCGACTGTGCTTATCAGAAAAAGACTAGGGGCATGGTCCGATTTTGTTTGGGACGGCCAGCATTTCTTGCCTTGGGGTGTGCTCGGCGTATGCGGCAGTGAACACATTCAAGTCTTCCTGATGTCTCGTGGCTCTACAACGTTTCCAGAGCAGCTTGGCTTGCAATTTCGCCGCGCACGAGCCGCATTGCCCCTCTTTAAGGGGCCCTCACATGATGGCGTCCCCAGTGGCCGCCCGGTGCGTGTTGCAGTTTGTATGCGTGCCTTCCCGTGACTTCTAAGCAGGGAAATAAATAGTAAAGGCCTAGCCTAATTAGGGCAATAAAAAATACGTGCACTGTACAGCCCCCTTTGGGGGGCGTTGTCGGTCGTGGGTAGAGAGAATGTGTTGGGAAGGCGGAATTCAACCGCCGCTTTCTTGCTACCCACCATGTGGCGGGTAGCACCTGCTGCTTCGGGGTGGGTGCGGAGAAGGGCACCTAGAGGGCTTAAGCAGTGGCTAGGCTGCGTCTCCAGATAGCCGCGCGGAGAGCATTTACGCAGCAGCATTTGTCAGATGCCAGTCTTCGACCACGGATGTCCGACGGGGGGCCCACGGTGGCTTCCAGTAAGGGCCTAACCAGAACCACCGGCCCGACCGACCCCGCATCTGCGGCAGCACGCTCCATTAAAACGAGAGCTCATGAGGCCAAGAACGAAGCAAACAAAGCGCTAAAAGAAGCACTGAACACATGAGCCGTGTGGAAACTCGTGCTGACGATACACCCGGAAAAGGCCGCAAACGTCCATTCCGTTCGGGTGTGCGGTACAGCTTATGCGAGAAAAGTCCTTGTAACGCTGTCGACGGTGTGTGTGCACACGTTGCGTCATGTTCATGAATGTATTATGTATACATGTATACACATATATATATATATATATATATATATATATATATGGATCCGGAGGATATGCGGATGCTTACCATCCTGGGTTTGCCTCCTCTGCGCGCCTTTGTATGGCTAAATTTTGCTTCATGGAATTCATGTGCCTTCACCTGAGAAGAGGGTTACGTGGCAGTGAAGGGCAAAAGCAAGCATGCGAATGGGCAGGTAGGCAGACAGGCAGGTAGACAGGTAGACGCACAGCGGCATGCAAGACAAACGAGACCTCCGGCGCTGCTTGGCGGCGCTGCCGAGAGAGGGAGGCCCGCAAGCTATCCATGGGGTATACAGCCTTTTTGATGTACACCCCCTGTAGCAGGGTATGGCGAGGACGCATCCAGCTACCTTTTGCGCTGAGTTTAAGCGAAGGCTCCCAGTTGCTTACCATCACATCAAACTCCGCAGCAGTGTGCAGCACGCGCAAGTCATCGGGCCCTGTGCGAAGGGGCAGTAGGCACAAAACCACAGGCAGGCAAGCGTCATGTGCATGCTCCGACAAGGCCTCCGAGCCAACCTAAAACATGCTCGAGGCGCCAAGCGTGGGGGCAGCAGGGTGTTGAGTGTGTCAGCCACGCACGGAGACAGAAACATTTCGAAGACAGGTGTACACAAAGTGCTCTCGGCCGCGTTGCGACAAAAGTCCGTTTAATACAGAAACAAGCTAGCGGGTTCATCATGCATACGCCCCTTCAATTGTGTTCCTCTGAGTACCCGTTCCTGCACTTGTAGATCGGCCAGCGAGCCTCCCGTCTGCACCCTGATTTGCAGTGTCTCACTAGGAAGAAGCGTACCTAATGCAGTGTACATGGAGCTCAGCAGGGCTCTGCCAGGGTTGGGAGCTCTTGGTTCCATCCACAAGTTCAAGGGATGAGCTGTTTCTGCACCACTTCTCCTGCTCCCGTCCTCGTCTGGAAACGCCGACACGGGGGTCAGAGCAGAGGCAGCGAATTCGCCCCCAAGCTTGACCTCTATGCAGTTGTGCTGTGCGGCATCTCGCAAAAAAGCAGCATGCGAGGACGCGGCAAGCCGCAAGCCTTCGGATTCGGAGCCATCGAGAAACAGCCGGGCTGCCAGGCAGCGCCGCACACGCGCTAGCCACGCCGCTCGCTGCCAGCTGGGCGCAGCTAGCCATGCATTCGTGCTGGAAACAGCCCTTGACGCCATGAGGCCAAGAGCAGAAGGCTTCGGTGGATAGTGCGCTGCACCGCGAGCGCGCTGAAAGAGGCTTAGATTGAGAACTGCAAGCGCATATAAGCAGGAAGACGACGCATGCATGCATGCATGCATGCATGCAGTACCCCCGCAGGCCTCGGTCTGTCCAGTGTTCATCGATCAGGTGCAGTCGGTTGCAGTCTGAGCCAAGTTGCACCCTTGTATTCTGCTCTGCTGGTACAAAAAACAGCCTTTCTAAAGAGAGCCGCTTCTCCCCCTAATCCCTCTTGCTTGGCGGCAGAAAAGAGCCTCGCCAGCAGCCTGTCGCAAGGCAGGGAGAGTCTGTCTAGCGTGTCTTACCGAGCTGATTGTACAGTGCGGCAGAACGGATGTTCGGGCAGTCATCGACAGCCCACTGTGGCTCGTTCGTCTCAAGAAGCTTATCCAAGGCCGCTTGCAGCTTCGCCATCGTGGAGGAGGAGTCAGCCTCTGTGGCAGACGCAGAGGGGGGAGAAGGCATCCCTCCGCCTTTCTCCTTGCGCATGCCTGTTCGGTAGCAGATGCCAATTTCTCGCGCGAGAATGTCGCTTAACTGGTAGAGATCCTGAAATACAAAGAAGCAAAAGCGCATGCCGCCTCCAAGGTGACCAGGATGTTGACATGTGCGTTCTGAACCCGCACTCAGCGTCTGCCCCTCTCTGTGATGAAGGGCTGAATTCGACGCTTCCTCACCTCCGTCGCCACTCCCGCAGAGTCGAACAGAGCCACAGTCGCTCGCGCCGCGAGCCGAGCAGCTGCTGGATCGCTATCCAGCAGATAGTCGCCGTGGCAAAGGGCAGCGGGCATGATTTTTGACGTCGCACTCTGTGGCTGCCGCGTGGCTGCGGGGATGGGCGAAAGAGGCACTGAAGAAGAAGGTTTAGCAACAGCAGCAGCAGAAGAAGAAAACGACGAGGAAGAAGAAGAGGAAGCCGCGGGTAGCAGCACAGCCGACTTGAGTTGATGCAGCAGCACCTGAGGCACAACAGCAGTATACCACCAAGGGCACACCACAGACAGTCCAAGTTTGACAGCGACGATCCACGCACAACGGGGAAGCGGCGCGTTGGGAAAAATGGGGGAGGCAGCAGCAGCAACAAAAGGCTCTAGTGGGGAAAGGACCTCAATCTCCTGAGAATCTCGAGGATCTTTGCCAAGAGCAGAGGCCACTGCAGCAGCAGCCGACCAACGCAGCAGCACACCCACAAAATATTCCTCTCCTCCATCTAGGGGCATGTTCGCGCCATGGGTAAACGATGTATCGGCATGGAGGATACGCAAAAAGAAAATAGCACACATACATATATATATACACATACATACATATATATACACATACATACATATATACACATACATATATACACATACATATATATATACATATATACACACATACATATATACATATATATACACACACATATATACACACGTACATATATATATATATATACTCATATATATATATACATACATACATATATATGCACATACATATATACACACATACATGTATACACACACATATATACACACATACGTATATACACACGTACATATATATATATGCACTCATATATATATATATACATATGTACACAAGCGTGCTTGGGCACAGCAAGCAGGCAGCGTATTGGTGCCTAGGGATGTCAAAGCACGTGCGCGAGAGGACGGAAAGTAGGGAAGGGGTAGGTGCAATGCGACGTGCAGCAGAGTCGAGAGGAGGGCTGCCTGATCCCAGGTGGGATGGCTGCATGGCTCGCTCACACTGGCCGACAAGGGGGTGGGTGGATTTATCCTGAGAAGGAGCAAGCAAGACGTTCCACAGGGGCAGCGGCGAAAGCTAGACAGAGTACTCAGCTCAGCACGACGCGTGGACTCCCTTTGAAGGGAGAGCTCAACACATCGCGAGAAACTAGCGCCAGCCAGCACATGCAGGGAGAGACACAGAGCCTGGAAGACAGGCAGACACTCACTGGGTACAGGGGTTTCACGGCACTGGCAGAAGCGATCGCGGTAAATGCGGAAGCAAGAAAGGCCTGACGGCGTGCCATTGACGCGCATGCGGGGAGCTCTGACGAAAGAAAAAGCAAAAAGGAGACACCACAGATGCCGCTATGCACGGGGCATACCAGGAAAAGAACGTTAGGAGGGGGAGAGAAAGAAGTGGGGAAAAGAGAAAGGGGGGTGCTCTATGAACAGAAAAGGGGAAGAGAAAGGAATCGGGGTCTTTAATAAACAACACTTCAAGCGGCAGCAGAGGGGAGAAAATTCTTGCGGTAGCTCAGCACGCATCATCTATCGTTATTTTTAGATATACCTTCCCCTATCTTACCTTCAGACACGCGCCCTCTCTCGAGGAGGAGACAGTGTGGCACAGAGCTCACGCCAAATGCACGGAGCAAGCGAGATTCCCCGCTGTCTACAGCAAGCAGTTCTATGGCAAGGAAGCCACAGTTTGCTGCCCCCTCCTTCTCTGGCTCAGAGAGACGTCGCTGCAGGTGGGCAGACAGCCACTGCCGCATCTCCGCGGACGGGGCACTCCAACTGCAGCATCAGCGGCAGAAAAGCGAACAGCAGAAGAAAGGATCGCAGCATATCAACTGTCGAGGGAGAGGTGAAAGGCTTGCGCGCAGAAACTACCGCTGGAATCGCAGGGGGAGACGCTTTCTGACACGGGGTCGGAGAAGGTCCAAGGGAGGGGGGGCAGGGGGAAAGAAATCTCCCTGCGTACTCTGCTTGAAACAGCACGATAGCGACTGGGCTTATTCGATATCCTTCTTTTTCTTCCACCACTGCCGCGGCACGTTGATACAGAGACAAAGGATCTGCTGAATGCCAATTGCCTAGGGCTGCTTCCCGGATCCTTATGAACTCTCGACGCTGCTGCAGCGTGGCTGCAGCCAGACGCGACAGCCAGTGGTCGCTCCCCTCCTTCAGGAGCGTGAACGAAAAGGCACTTGAAGAGGTCGTGCTGCTGCTGCTACTGATGGATGCTGAAGAGTCTGCAGTAGCGGTGGAGAAGCACCGGGGTTGCGCCTTAGAACGAGGCATTGCCCAAGAGGCGGCCTCGTGGGAACCTTGAGGGCCTCTCGCATTCTTCATGCGACTCACGGGATACGTGCGAATTCCATTCCCGCTGCTGCAACACGCACGCCTCGTTCTGCATTCTGCGAAAGCAGCTCTGCCGCTTCTGCTTTCAACCGTAATACTCCAGAGAGCTCGAGGATGATACGGCAACCCCAAAAGGCGGGGAGCAGCAGCTGCTGCACACCGTACACATCGTGTCGGCATGGTCTCGCCAGTGCGCGAGGTGCCGCGGGGATGCAGGAGATGTCGCAGGAAAAGAGCATTCATGGAACCTAACGACGTAAAGACCCCATCAGGCCCGGTGGAGGGGGAAGGCTCTGCGCACTTCCACAGCCTTGTCTGATACTGGAAAATGCAATGACAACTCCTTATAGGAGCCGAAACCTGCTCTCCATATCTGCTATCGGCTGTTGGATGGGATGCGGCGGCTGCGGCTGAAGCCAGTGACAAATCGAACTCACAGACAAACAAACGCCAACACCGCCAGAACAGGAAAAAAATAATTATATACAGTTCTGCGCATGCCTTTCTCTCTCCACCAACCACAACTCCTCATTATGCTGCCCAGAAGACTCTATGGAGATGGGGGCTTTGCATGCAGGGTAAGCAGTCACATTCAGTGAAGAGAAACATACACTGCCCGTTTTGTGCCGTAGCTCCCAGCTAAGTCCGCTGCTTTTTGATTGATTAGTGGCCTCTAGTACATGAAGCATTCTAGCGCATGCACACGATTCCCTCATCATTAGGTAGTCATGCATGGCGCGTTGGTGACCCGCGCATACATCCGACTTGCCAATGCAGGAGAAAGATAAGGAAGTAAGAATTATAGGGCAAAACTTGCGTACGCATCTGGGCGTGTTGCAATCCCTCTTTCCATTCGTATGTGCGTCCTTAGCGCTCACATATGGGCAGGAACGGTAGTTGCCCTTACACACCTCGCTGCTGCTCAGGGCCTCAATTTCACCCGCAAATCAGTAAGAGCCGAATGAAACACGCACCCTATGTAGATGGAATCGGGATGTGCAATTGCGGCATGCATTGGGGATTTAGGCAGAGCACCGTGCAGGCATTAGAAGCATAGACGCCTTGTGCGTGACGGGTGTGGTTGCGAGCCGACGGGTCCATGGATGCTCGTCCCACCTGCTCTGCAGTCCTTTAGGGTGCTCCGTCGCACTCAAGAGACCTTCTTATATCCTATGTGCTCCTCCGGCGCAGCCATAAGCTGTTTTCACTCGCAGGAGAAAGCCGCATTGTGGGGGAAGGGGGGGAACGGAGTGCAAATACGCAACACCAGGGGTTTTCGCACGCATTACATAGTTACCGGCGTCGAGCTGTGTATTTGAAATGGTTCATTTATGCGGTCAGGAGAGAATGCTTGTGGCTGTTCCTTTCTGTGAGCCAACAGGCGACAAGAGGCGTGTAGCCTGAAGCATCGAGCGCCTACTCGCTCCGCTGCCGTCACCTCCTAGCAGATTAGTGCTGCTGATGTCACTGAGAAAAAAAAAAACGTTTAACTTTGGCAGCATGCGACGGCTCTGTGAAGCTAGCTACTAGGGAGCTCTGTATTCACCTGTCTAGTAGGCGAGCGGTGGGGGCGCACCGTTCACCACGGCAGACGACATATGGAGAAAAGCGGCCAGGAACTTCGAATCAATTTGAAGAAAAGTGCTTTGCCCTACACAGAAGGGCAGGAGGGGGAGGGGTCGGGGGTGAACTAAGGAAGCGCGACTGCGCCTTCACCACAAAGCAACACGCCTTCTGTCGGAAGATTCCTCAGAATTAGCTGCTGCACGAATCATCAATGTAAAGATCTCTTCCCAGACCTCTATCAGCACATCCAACTTGTAATTAACACTACCTATGTTTTTACACGGCCTGGAGGGTTTCGAACACGGGCCCTCAGCTTCTCTAAAGACACATATTGGACTTTTCTCCCAAAGTCCGACCCACTTCTAGCATATCAATGACCTCTTTACACTGTATAAACTCTATCGCTGGGGAGCGGTCCCGCGCGGCCGTATACTCTGCACTCGCTTATCGCTGCGGAGGCAAAACCGACGGATTTAAAGTTTTCACCTAGCCACTCCCTTTTACGGTGAAAGGCTACGTTAGTCCCCACTTTGATTGGTGTCGAAGCACCGGACTAACGAAGCGCGAAACTCCAAGCCACAGAGCACCCGTCCACATGGGCTGATGCAGTGCCTCGGAGCTCAGTGCTCCATCTGGAGGTGCACTATGTGTGCTAATTCTCAGCTTCTTGCGTTGACCATTATATTGCTTTTTGTCGTTCAGACTGCTTGCCAAGGCTGTAAATCATTTGCAAGTGGGTCCGTCTTCTTGATAGACCGTTAGGAGCACTAAGCACAATTGCTTCGTGCCTATGATGATTTGTTTCGAGGGGGCACTCCCGCCTCCCCTAGAGCGTATGCACATTTCCGTGCTCCTTTATTCACATTAGATCGCTTTTCGCTTTTGCTCATTTAATGCTTCTTGGGGCAAAACGCACCACTCCACACTCCGTGGGCCAAGTTGGACTTCGGGACGTTCCACTAGAATACATTCTTCTAAATAAGCAATCAAGAATTGACCGATTGGCTCGGCTGTCCGTACCCATATATTGCAAAGAGGGGGTATTACTTTACGGGGACCTTCCATGCTTTGTTCATGCGCACGAGATGCCGTGGACACCTAGCTGTAAATGCTCGGAATATTAGGAGGGTGAAGTAATGCCGACTCTATCAGTTTCCTTTCCCCTCATTTTGGAGCCCTGCCGGGTCAGGGCATTGAGAGACGACAGCTCTTTTGGAAGGAAGGCTAATAGCTTTCCACTGCTGTGCATCGGCCTTGAGGCTTAGAATCCCTTTACGGAGATCCTACGCAACAACGCACCAAGGAACTCTGTAAGGAGACGATTGAGTCCACATTAAGGCAAAAGTGACAGTTATTGTGTGATTTCCCAGAAAAGCTCTCCTTTCCTTACATGCGCCCCTTAGAGTTACCGACATGAGCAGGCCGAGACAGCTAGGGTGCACGGTGCTGCACCTTCCACGCACTCCGATCATTCACAGCTGGTTCTAAATGATTTTTAGCGCACAGGCACGCAACATTGTGTCTTGTTGTACCGAGAAAGCAGTACTCCGCAGTAAGACATACGAACAGCCCATCCAATAGTCAATCCTTTATTAATTATTTAATGTAATCCGTGCATTAGAGTATCAAGGGGCAGCATAGTTCGTTACATTTGTCCCCACTTTTCGTCCCTACCGAATGCACACTTTCTCGCAGTCAGTAGTTGTCCATCGAGAACCGAGGCGCTGAGGACAAGCCTTTGCGCGCTATCGTCACTCCCCATGAAAGTGGATCCGCAAAAAATAGTGAGAAGGAACTGGGCACAGTGGATATGAGCCCATAAAGAAAACTGGAAGGCAATAGAGTAACTAATATTACACAACAGCGAGGGACTAAATAATCTCGACCGCGGTGCCTCGCTAAAGGCAGAGATATGAAATTGTGAGCCTTCTGCTTCGTGACAACAGGAAAAATAACCTGTTTAATGGACTTGAAAATATATACTAGCCTAGGAGTGCCTCCACGCTGTATGTAGCAAGGTCTGCATGCCAGAGTAGCCAGTGCATGCTGCAAGGTCTATTGAAGCCACAAAATGGGTAAGCAAGAATGTAGAAACAGCATACCAGAGAGTGTTCATGCATAAATCTGGGTGTAGGGGACACCTAAAAGAGTAAAAATTGGAAACTTTTAAACCAAATCGCCACAGATGGGGAACATATTTCAGGGCAGATCGTGCCCGGGGAACAGGCAACTAGCGAGAACACAAGGAGTGTCCATGGCGGCCAAGGGCGTGAACCGAACAAAGCCGCAAATTCTCATGCCAGTATAAATGCCCCAAGGAGCACGCGTTCCATTTAAGCTGTGGGGTACCAACCCAAATACCTCTTCAGTTGGCTGATAAAATCTTCCGGGTCATAGTCCATCCTTTCGGCCGCCGTACTTCTCTGATTGCCATGAATATTTTGATACACTGACAAACATTTTGTCGTTTGGCAGCTCATGCCTATACCAGCTATAGATCTGCTACGCCGCATCTGCTTGCAGGCTGGCCTGTCTCGCCCCAACAGGAGTTGCGCCAGCGTTAAATTCTATCGGAAGAGGGTCTCTATCCTCCGAAACTGTAGACGTTCAAAGTGAAATTTTGAATTACCAAATAAATTGATCAATAGCTAGAATCTGTAGAAGAAGATTATGACACCCCACCGTATTCACTGCAGGTGGGTGAGTGGGTAACAGCTGCAACACAGCATGATATGCCACCAAATGTAAGCATTCCATATAAGATCTCCCTAGGTAGCCAGTTGGCTCCCTAGGAAATTATGATAAAAGTTATTAAGTGTTTGCTCAAAAGCGTCTCTCCTCCTTTTCCTCGCGCCCCTCAGGACTCCGATGTGGGGGGAAAGGGGCAGCTAAGGTGCGCAGAGGTTCACCCTCAACGCAGTCTAAGCATTCACAGCTAGCAGCATATAACGACTTGTGCAGACGAGCACATGGTGTCTTCATATACCAACCTCACCAGGCAAGAATCTACAGTAGCCAAGATACACGAACAGCCAAGCCAAACAATCAGTTCTTTACAAATTCAAGGGTAAGTGTAGCTTGTTCACTGGATAGCTTTACGGTGAACGTACAGAAATGCCTCTGCCGACTGATCTTTGGTTTGTTTTTTTTGCGGCTTTGGTTGTGGGTTGCAAACTTGGAAACGCGGAGCGTCGAGGAAAGAAGGGTACACCCTTGTATAAATGGCAGGCTGCGAGGAAGGAGGATGTGGTGGCTGGGGAGGATGTACGCCGCGCATCGGCCTACGCAGGAGGCAATAGAAAAGACAGAAAGCAGAGGGGAAGGCAGAAACGGGAAGGCTGATGAAGCGAAAGGAAATGTCCTCTTATGTGCAAGGCGTTCATCCAAGGGTTTTATGGGTGCAGCAGAAAAGAATCCACTTGAGTACTGCTTTGCGGCGCAGACACATATATACGTGCGGTGAGTTACGCCTTCCGAAAGGCGAATGATTCAGATTCCTCAACCTGTTCCTTCTGGACACATACAAGCCCTTTGCGCCGCTCTCATTCGAAGAAGCTTTTGGGGTGTCTTTACGGGCTGTCCTATTTTTTTTTTAAAAAAGCACCTCTTCCCTCTCGAATTCCTCGGAGCTGATGGAATTCCGCAAGGCATCATGAGATTACGCCTTACTCAACTCCTGCTTTTTGACTCCTTTACAGTCAAGGAGGGAGCAAGTTCCCTGGGCGAAACGTAAGCGCTCTAGGTAGTACAGGGAGCCGCGCAAAGCTGGGCGGCGTTCGAGGCATTTAATGCTGGAACTGCTCAGAGGAAGGACCCATGGCTGCGAATACATGATACTAAAGGGTTTTGTCTCGCAGAAACCATAAAGACCTACTCCTTTTATATCTTTCTAAACTTGTCTTGAACGACACACACGCCATACGGCAGGGCCCCGTCGTTCGCGGTATGTCAGCCCCACCCGCGCAGCGTAACGTGGCGAGCACTTTACGCCTTTTCTCCCTCTTCTTGCCATCATTGAAGATGAAATTCGATCGACTTCTTCTGCCGATTGCTGCTGGATTCATCTCGGCTACTCCTCCCCGCGGCCTCCATCTGCGGAACCGTTCATGCCACTTCGTCGCCGTGCAAACATCGCCTGCTGATCTCTTCGCCGGAAACAGGGAACGCAAAGGAAAAATCGCAACCAACGCAATAATGGCGCAAAACACCGTCGTCTACGATCCAGACAATGTCTTCGCCAAAATACTAGACGGCAGACTCCCTGGTCACAAGGCAAGCGAATAACACCAACTTTGCGCCACCTTGAGATTTTTTACCGGCGTCCCCGCCTACTACAAACGCAGTACAAAAGAGAAAACTGGAAGCGTTCAGGCAGCTGAAATTCAGCGGATCGAAGCTTAATAGCGCTTTTGAGGGCGGCTATGTGTCTGCCCTCCACACAGGCAGACGGCCTTTGAAATTATGCTCACAATGTGTATACGCTACCTTTCCTCCTTCCTGACCTCGTGCCTTCTCTGTGCCTCTTGCCGCCACCATTTACGGATGTGTTTATCACGCCTCTGTGTCTGTCGTCAGATCTTTGAAACGGAAAGCTGCATTGCGATCTTGGATGCATTTCCAGCAGTTCCTGGACATTCACTCTTAATTTCCAAGGCGCCAGCGGTAACTATTGCAGACCTGACCGAGCAGCAGGCGGCGGATGTGCTCAAAGAATTGCCGAGACTCTGCAGAGCAGTGCAGCAAGTGAGGCTTGATTGGGGTGCTATATATGGCGCAAAAGCATGCATCCGCTACAGAAAGCAGCCCCTAGAGAGGGGCTGCTAGCGAGGTCTCAGAAACTGTATCAAGATTGCGTGCTTGCTATTGGCGTTTGTTTCCTTATATTTTATAATCAGGAGTGCTACGCTAGCTGAACACTGGAAAGGATGCATGTTTCTCGATTCCTGTGTGTGTGCGTGTGGATACACTCATGTGTGTGGGTTCACATTTATTCTGGTATATTTATTGTGGCGTCATATCTCCGATACCGCCCGATCAACTTGACTAATTCAGTGTTTATGTATGTGTCTTGATATGCAGGCCACGGGCAGCGATGGCGTTAACGTGCTGCATAATGGAGGAGCCTCTGCAGGGCAGGTCGTCTTCCATTTGCACTTTCACGTAGTTCCCCGTTTTACGGGTGATGGTCTGTTCTCGCAGTTTGCCAGTGCAAAGTCCATGATTGAGCCGGAGGAGGCGAAGAAGATGATTGAAAAGATTCAAAGCAGGCTGTGATCAGTTCGTCCGTCCTGTTTGTGCGCTTTTTTGCGTGGTGTCTACATGGTGGCACGTGCAGCCGCGAGGTCAGAAAAGCACCCCCGGTGTATAGACACCGCGCAGATCGTCGCCGTATCAAAGGGCCCCAAGGGCGTCTCGGGGCAGGCGCGCTGCCCATTCGTGAATGCCGCATGCCGCTGCATCGGCAGCTGTGGCTGCGTACAACATCGGGGATTTTGGGGGCTAAAGCGGGCAGTCTCGTCGATCTCACACAACACCCCTCACCGAGGCTACGCCGTTAGTTCCTTCAAGAGAGGCCCCGGCGAGGGAAAGCGGCCGACAGGCTCAGGCATAACCACGGAGATAGGGGGGTCAAAAGGCAGTATTTATAGGCGAGCGAATGCATGCAATTCGCCTTCGCCCGGGAAAGGCTGAAGGAATTTGTTAGAATGCGCACTCTAGAAGAAGTCTAAACACGGCTAGAGGCACTGTTTGTGCTCCCCTACGTACATACACCGTGCATGCACACCTAAATGGGGTAGTTAATAAGAGACAGTCAAGCAAGGTAGAGATAGACGCGTAGTTCCGCGTGCCACAAGGGAAGAAATAGACTGCGAGAGCTTCCCTTGAAAGCGGCATTTCTGCAATTCGCGGCATGTAAGAAGGCTGATTGAAGGCGCTTTGGCAGGTCGGGCCATGGCGTTTTGTCGTGCGCGCCCCTCCTGAGGGCAGCCAAGAAAGTGGCAGTATCGAGCGAATAAGGGTTCAGATTGGAGGCACGTGCAGCATGCATGAAATAACCCGGCGTGGGCTGCTGTTGTTCAACTTGTTTCCAGGCTTGCTGGTGTTGTTGAAGAGGGTATCTTTTTCAGCGGCCCTCGTGAAAATAACACCCGGGCAAGTTGAAGGGAACCCCACAGCCATACATGTATTTACATCGATTGAGCCAAATAATGTATAGACAAAGAGGACAGAGTGGCGCCCTAGAGTCTGGTGATTGCAACAGCAAGAGGAAGGCTGCTCAGCGCCTTGAAAGCGAGGTCACCCCTGGCGTAGTCCTCTCCATCACTGCTCGTTTCACCGCATGCACATGGCGACGGCTGCTGGCGCAAAAGAGCTCCGTTGCTCGCTGTCCGTTCGTGGCTGCATTTCTTGGTGAAGGCGGCGAAAAACCACCTTCCAGAAAAGAATACGTAACGTTTATTCACCCCTACGCAAGCTCCCTTCACAGGAGTTTCATGAATTCTTCAAAGTTCCATAGGCCACTAGCCCTTGGCTGAATGGCCTTCAGCTCCCGTAAGACCTGGACATACAGCGGAGCTGTTGCCGCAGTCACTCCCTCTAGCTGAAGGACGTGCGAGGCCCCTAAAGGCACCTGAATGACTTGACCCTGTTCATCCCTTCCTGTTGTCAAGTCTGTCTCATCCAGCAGCGCTCCCGCAGGGGGTGTATGGACACCCGCAGCGGCTGCAGCGGCCTCGTACGCAGCCACCGCCGCATCAGCGCGCTGCCGTTGCAGAAACAAGACGCCCTCCAAGTCGGACCGGGGGTCAAAGTGCAGAATCGAGAGCAGATCGTTTGCAGAAACGAAGCCATCGACATTGCGATCCAGCAGACGGAAGGCTACGCTGCAGTCCCCCACACGCGCAGTGCAGGAAACAGTCCACTGGGCAACTTGGTCTCCGCAGGATAGAGCACATCAAAGCGGCCTCCCGCACGCCACTCAAAACCAGCAACACACACGGAGAGCGACAGGCGCTGCTTCTGCGGCTCAGGGGTCGATATATGAGGGGTTCTACGTGATAACGCTGGAAGAAAAGAGCGAGCGCACTGCCAGGCTGAATTTACAACTCCCGCGAGAATGCGAAATATAAAGAAAGTGAGAAAGGAAGAAAGGTGAGTAAGAAAGAAAGTTGAGTGAGAAGGAAGAAAGAAAGTGAGGAAGAAAGAAAGAAAGTGAGAAGGAAAAAAGAAAGGTGAGTAAGAAGAAAGAAAGAAAGGTGAGTAAGAAAGAAAGTTGAGTGAGAAGAAAGAAAGAGAGAAGGAAAGAAAGAAAGAAAGGTGAGTAAGAAGAAAGAAAGTGCGAAAGAAGGAGAGAGGAATGCCAGCGCGTAGGAAGCTATTCGAATTTCCCCATGAGATGTGCAGACTGCGGATGCCTAGTTTCCTTCTGACGAACCTGCACGTTGGTTCCATGGCTTTTAAGTCTGCCAAGGTGAGGGAGGCAGCAAGAAGTTCAGTGAACTCGACAGCACCACTTCCGTCTGTGTCAACACACACCAGCGCTTCGTCCATCTGGCACTCCGGTCTTCTCCCTTCTCCTCCTCCAGGAGCAGCCTGAGAGAAGCCTGAAGAGTCGCATCATCACAAACGTTGCAAGGGAGGGGAGCAGATGAGCGCGCTTGTGCTAGACACTCTTTCTTCAAAATCTACGTTTAGCACTCCGCTGCTTCGGTGTGAGCCAAAAAAACGCCAGCTGCTGCTGAAATACCTTCGAGAGACGCAGGACCAGGCTCGACCTCAAGAGCACGCTTTAAAACTTGGTAATAAGGATCAAGGACAGAAAGCGGGGGGAGTTCTCCAGGGGAAAGTCTAGCAAAGGCAAGCAACGACTGGAGAGGCGAAGCCGCGGCAGTGTCTGCTGCTGACACCCCAGCGCTGCATGAATCCGATAGTCCAGAAGACGTTGTCACCACGTCTTTCGATCTCGCTTCTGCAGCAGCATCCCCCGATGCAGTAGCAGCTCCCATCGCCATCACAGGCACTCGTGGAGATGCTGCATCTACAGACTCCTCCGGAGGCAGCAAGCAGCGGCCTTCTTCTTCGCCGCGCTGTTGCCTCAACGCGAATTCCAACGCAAAGAAATCACGGACTACTTGCAAGCTGGCTAGCAGGCAGCTCCCTGAAATACCCAACACCCACACGCAAGCAAGCGACACCACACATATGCACACACACAGAACCATGTATATATATACACACACATACACACAAAATCGCACCTCCACTCTGCTCGAAAAGGCAACATGACGCCGACCAGGATGGATAAAAACAAACACCATGCGAGTCCGTCAGTCTAGAACCTCTCAAGCACAAAGCTCCCAAAAAAGACACTGTCAAGAAAACTATAGGTGTATGTGTATGTGTGTACGTGTATATATATATGTACATATATATGTGTGTATATGTATATATATATATATATATATATATATATATATATATATATATATATATATATATATATATATATATATCTGTGTGTGTGTGTATATATATATATATCTGGGTATGTATGTATATGTATATCTCTCTGTGTATGTATGTATATCTGGGCATGTATGTATATGTATATCTGTGTGTGTATATATATCTGGATATGTATATGTATATCTCTGTGTGTGTATATATATATCTGGGTATGTATGTGTATATATATCTCTTTCTCTGTATATATATATATATCTGGGTATGTATGTATATATATCTCTCTCTGTGTGTGTATATATATCTGGGTATGTATGTATATGCATCTCTCTGTGTGTGTGTGTGTGTATGTATCTGTATCTGGGTATATATATATATATATCTGTGTGTATGTGTATTTGTTTGTCTGTACCCGTATGTATGTATGTTTGTATGTATTTATGTATTTGTGTGTGTCTGTCTCTCTCTTTGCGTCCTGTGGTGCCTTACCTCCTGCTTCACACTTTGGCTGCTGCCTTTGGCCTTCTGTGCTCCCTTGGGCGTTCCTCGCGTCGATGCCTCATGCCTCATGCCTCCCCTAGCGATTCTGCTTCTCCACTGTCTGTTTTGAGTCTTCCAAAGTTTTGCTCGATTGCTTTTAAAGCACTTTTCTCTGACGAATCTGCGAGCGAAGTACACGCCGAGGCGCTGCCTTCCTGTCCACCTGCGTTATGCAGCTGCATGACACGATGCATTTCTGTCTCTTTGCTGCAGTGGCGCTACAGTTCCTGTGAGAAACTTTTGCTTTTTGCGATACTTGAGGCTGCGCGCACTCTCCGCCTCCCTTGTGGGAAGACGGCTCCGCGTGTGGTGGCATCCAACTGTCGATACAACAAAAAGTGACTTTGGAGGCAGGTAAGCAACGCTGACAAGGAGTCCCTTTGTTGTTGTTATTTTTGGTGCTGTTTTTGCTGCTGGGGGCAGTTTTGTTGTTGGTATTGCTGTTGGTGGGGGTGGTGTTATTCTTACTGCTGCTGCTGTGTTATCGCTGTTGCTGTTGCTGTGTTATTGCTGCTGCTGCTGCTGTGTTATTGTTGCTGGTGTTATGATTGCTCCTGTTATTATTGCTGCTGTTGTTAGTGCTGTTGCTGCCGTTTTTGCTGTTGTTCTTACTGCTGTTGCTGCCGCTTTTGCTGTTGTTGATAGTGCTGTTGTTACCGTTTTTGCTGTTGTTCTTACTGCTGTTTGCTGCCGCTTTTGTTATTGTTGTTGGTGTTCTTCCCCTGTTGTTGTTAATGCTGTTGTAACTGTTTTTCCTCTTGTTGTACTTTTCCTTCTTCGTTTCTTCTTTGGCGTTGGCGCTCACTAGCCCGTGTTTCCTTCCTAAAGGACAGTAGTAGTCTTTGGTGCTCTGCGGTATGCGAAGGCAGGGAAGGAAGGAGGGAGGGACTGAGGGAGGGATTGGGGGGTTTTGGGGGGCAGGAAATAGAAGAAGCTCCTGCCTCGATTTTAGTTCTTGCCACAGTCTTCCCATGTGACCAGTGTTTCCAGCCGTGTGCTCTCTCTCCCTTCTTTTTTTTCTGGAATGCTCTATGGTGGCTTTCGTGATTTGAATCGTTCCTGTGCTCCTGCGCCTACCAGACGCGAATTCTCCTTTTGTTATTAAGGTGTACATGTGTCCTGCCTGCTGTTTTCGCTCCGAAAAAACAATTATGCAGTCTCTTTTCCAGAAGAGGATCTGCTGTGCGCGACTTGCTTGCGACTCCCACTGTCAGGTATTGGCCATGCGCAGTTCTTCGACAGGATCCTTCTTCTCTGGTATTGCGTGTTGCCTACGACAATGGGGAAGAAGACTTCGTGCATCTCGCTTCTGTCCAGCCCTTACACCCATTTGAGTATGGGGGGGGATGGATGCAACTGCAGCAGCAGGAGAAGCAGAAGCAGCAGGAGCAGCAGGAGAAGCAGAAGCAGCAGGAGAAGCAGGAGCAGCAGAAGCAGCAGAATCAGCAGGAAAAGCAGAATCAGGATCATCAACTTGCCTACCATCACCCCCACCCCCACCTTCACCCCCAAAGCCATCAACAGCAGCAGGAGCATGACGACTCCCAAGAGCAAATACCCCCAAAGCTACAGCCGTCCTCTGATGCAGAGTCTCTTCCTGGAAGAAAATCTCCCCCAACGAGGCTTACCCGGCTCGCGCGGCTGTCTCAAGGGCAGCACGAGCTGCAGCTGTCACTGGCTCTTGGCAGCAGCATCTGCAGCAACAGCAGCGCGAATGTGGACATGGAAAACACTGGCGGAAGCAATCACAGGCAAACCACCGCGTTGCCTCCTCGAGACACCCCACAGCGAACTGGTATTTCCAGCGGCAAAAGGCCAAAAAAGCATAAAAGGCTGCAGCCGCATAAGAAGCAAGAACGAGACGTGCAGCTTCGCAGGACTAGCCGCTCCACATGCTCAGAGGCTTCTGCAGCAACTCCCCTGAGTTTTGCATCACGAATAGCAGCTCCAACGCCAGCACCTGCATGCAACGGATGCTGTGAGCGCTGCAGCAATCCGCAGTCAGAAGGCTACGCACAAAGACTTCCACTGCAGGACGCAGCAGCAACAGCAGCAGCGGCTGCAGCCTATCCTGCGCTCTTCGAACGGCATCTGCGCTCCTATGTGCCTGTCTCTCTTGCCCGCAGCAGCACCAGCAGCAACAGCAGCAACAGCAGCAGCAGCAGCAACAGCAACAGCAACAGCAGCAGCAGCAGCAGCAACAGCAACAGCAACAGCAGCAGCAACAGCAACAGCAACAGCAACAGCAGCAGCAGCAGCCTTTCGAGCACGCGTCGGTGGAGGGGAGGCGTCAGCAAGCGTGCGCAGCAGGGTGTAGCCGATGCTGTATCAGCGGCAGCAGCCGCAGCAGGACTGCAGACCGCTTGCCTCCCTCTTGAGACTGTGGGGAGCGTTCTGCTGCCTGGGGAATTCTGTGAGTACAGAGATCCAGAAGAATATAAAGGTTCTGATCCTTGCGATTACGTTGGTGCGTCTGAAAATGCTCTTCTTAGTCTAAGCTGAACTGGATTCAGATATCTTGAGCGCTCTACTGGAGGGCCGTCTCGGAATCTCTTCGTCTATTCTTGCCGCCTCCACTGACCGCTCTTGTCGAACGTCCATCCTCCTCCATCTAGCTCCAGCCCACGTTCCCTCTTCCCTGTGCAAGTGTGCGTGCAGCTATCTCGATGTATACGTAGACGCGCACTTGTAGAGGGGATATGTCCGTATGTATAGGCATACACATATTTATGTGCTCATTATTTACGAATAGATATACATATGACATCTATCAAAGTGTGCGTATGCAGATGTGGCTGAATATATGTGCTGTTGCGGTGTGTATGTGTGTGTATGTGTGTATACGCGTATATGCATATATATGTATATGTATGTAAATGCGCCTGTACATGCATATCTGTGTTTATATGCGTATTTGCGTATATATGTGTGTGTATGTTTGTATTTGTGTATGTATGCACTCTTCTGTGCACATGGGTGAGTATATGTACATGCCTCTATTATTCTGTGTGTCAACATGTATCTGTATGTGTATATGCAAATGTCTGTATACGTGCACATATGTGTATGTGTAGGTATACAGATAATATATATATATCTATATATGCATACGCATATGTGTGTGTGTGTGTGTGTGTTTGCTTAGAGAAAGTTTTATCATTGTTTGTGCTTGTGTTGTAGGTGTCCATGTGTGTGCTGCATCTGTCTGTAGGAATGGTAACCCGCGTCTTCCCTGAGGAACCTATCTACGAGGTTCAATGCATCTATCACAGTGCAGTTGAGGTACGTGCACGAGAGAATGCGGGGGGGGCCTCTCGGCTTATGAACAAAGCTCTCTGTGCCTGGATTTCTTACTTCATACACCGACAGTGTAACGCAAACGCTGTACATCTGCCTGTGCACGGGTGAATGCCTCTTCCTTCGTCTCTTGGTCTGCATCTTCACAAATTCTCGCTTCCCTTGCACCTTGCGCTGCGCTCTGTTTTCGACGCTGCCTCATTCTCCGTCTTGTGCCTTATTACCTATTTCCCGTGCTGTTAGTCGCTGTGCAATGACGTTGAGGATCTGCCGCTTTCGCTCAAAGCCTGCCTTTTTCAGTGCGTGTGCCTGTGCGCGCTTTTCCACCCTCCCTCTCCCCAAACCCCTTGTTGTAATTCCATTTTGCTGCTTTTGCCGTAGCATATTCGCGTAAGCAGCAAAGACGTGCGGCGCTGTTTGGCAGTTCCCGTAGACTCCTGGGCTGCCTGGCAGTTGGCACTTTGCAGGAACATTGGAGGTAAGCTTAGCGTGTTTTGACGTATTGGTGTGTGCGCATGTACGTGTTTGTATGTTGTTTCATTGTCTTGCCATTCTCTGCGTATCCTTAAGTAGCCTCTCCTCGATTCTTCTGTAAGTGAATGTGAGTGTTTGTGCAATGCATGAGCTCCCGCTCCCGATGTGCAGTCCCTTCTTCTTGTCTCTCCTTGACAAAGTTTGGTTCGCCTACGTCTCAGATTGCCTTTGTGCATCTCTCTGCTCTTACTCGGCTGCAGCGGCAATTCAGCCTTTTCCAAACTACCTTCTCGCTTCGCCAGTATCTCTCGATCGTCTCAACGAGCCGCCTGTGCCCTTGAGCCCCTTTGACGCGAAGCTCATCACTCCGAAGTTCGTAGCCTCCAGCCGCCTTTGCATCCACTTTCTGTTGCTGCCTCAGCCCCCTCTTCTCTGCGCATGTAGCTCTGTCTGCTTCCTGGGGTGTTCCTCGCCCCCTTCCCCCGCCTTCCGCAGTCTCTTCTTGCAAATACTAACTTGTAGACCTACCTGTGCATTGTCATAGGGGTGCATGCGTTTATAAGCCCCGAAAACGTATCGACCTAGGCGCGATTCAACTGGATGCATGCTCTGAGCCAAAAAGCGATGTTGCTACCACCAGCCCTTTTAGACGTGCCTTTCCAACCACATGTCATTCCCAGCTATGTATACACATTTATGCATGCATATATATACATATATATACGCGCGTTGCGCCGATTAGCACGAGAAGCAACTCTGAGCGCAGAGCTGTGGACGGCTGCAATCCGTTGTATAATGGTAATGGTTTACCCGAGCGTCTGTGTGCAGAGAATTTGCAGCTGTCTTCCTGGAGCGACAGGAGACAGCCCTATGCAACGTCATGAGGCTCCAGGGGAATCACGGGCTGTATGTACAGCCGGGAGATCCCGACGGCAGCTGCACAGCACTGTGCAGGGGCCCTACCGAAGGCGTAACATGCAGTACCAAAAATCGTAGCGAGGAGAGGCGGCGTTTGATTTCCTTAGTTGTACACCCCCGGCTGCAGCTGTTGGGAGGGGCACGATATTTTACGCTGCTGAGTCGGAGAGAGCTGGTGTTACGCCTACTGCGTCTGCAGAAAGATACAGAGCTGCTGCGCGAGCAGCAACAGCGACAGCAGGCCTTGTCCACCGAATGTCAGAGTTTGCGGGAGCGCTGTGACCAGCAGCAGCAGCAGCAGCAAGAGGCAGAAACCCGAGTTCTGTGCATTGTATGTGCAGACAGGGACAGGAGGGTGGTGCTGCTACCCTGTCGCCACTTTTATCTCTGTGTCGCATGCAGTGACAGCATCACCGTATGCCCCCTTTGCAGGGGGCACATTAGGAAAAAGCTCGTCGTACGACGAGAAGAGGATCATGCCGAGGTTTAAAGAAAACTGAACCGTAGCGTTCTCTTCAGGCAGGCTCCGTACGTAAAACCTTAATATGATTCGGACATAGCATCCAAATACTGAACCTTAGACTCGGAACAAACGGTCAACATGAGACTCGCAGGATCCGCTTCCAAGTGCAGGCTGCCAAGCCGCATGCCGCCAGCACAGAGCGGCACACACACAGCTGGAATTGACAGAATACAACTCAGAGGGAGGGACAGGGAGCATTACATTGCAGCAGTAAGGCATGCCACGGCGGCGTTTCCTGCTTAAAAGAAAACGAGAAAACCTCCCTCGTTATGGACAATAGACAGCGTGCGCTTAGCTCAAGCACACGCAAATGCACGAATCTCTAGAGTACTTTAGAAGTTTACTGGGCTGCTCGCTGCTAACACGTATGCCGACGACGCATGCACCTGTACCCTGCGAACACACTCTTATGTTTATGGCGGCGTGCGTGTCCTGTCCTACCGATCAGCTAACATGCATGCATACGAAACTCTTGCGACACTATTCTATCCATATATATGTATTCACATGGATGCAAATGCTTGCGCACTTGTAGAAACAAACAATAACTCGGCCTGCAGCCTTATCACAACTACCCCCAAAATGCGCGTTTACTGGGGAAGACAAGACAGTCGCAGATGTATGCTCTCTCATTGGTCTCTACTCCTCCTGCCTGTGCATCCTTGGGTGCAGCTCAGCCCCCCAACAAGATGCCTTGATTCCATCTTTGTGGACGTTTGTGATTCGCAGCCTACGTAATCGTAGCGCGTGCATAAATCACTATAGGGATAGCAATTGTTCAGGTGTACTGTCCGGTGCAGCACATGTAGTTTGAATCATCTCAGAGGGAAACCATCGACCGAACACAGTGGCGCCGACCATTGTCCTCTCGCACCGTTGCACAGTTTTGCAACACGCCTCCCCATTCGGTACGGCATCAGGTGCGCAATTCTTCTAAGGTGCAGCATGTGCATGCAAAACTCTTGACCTATATAACACCTAGAGCTACCAGCACCACCTAAGCATGAAGTATACTATCTGAAAAGATGTATATATAGATAATTTGGACTATTAGGCACTTAGAGCGAAGCACCGGAAGTACGTGAAGCGGCTCCTTCGTAACCTTCGCCCACCGTGCCCTTGACCCTACGTGCACTTGGGGTGTACGTACACACTACAAAGCATCATATCAGATACTCCCTTGGCCGCAAAACACATGCCATGGGTGCGTCGAGTCCCTAAGCCCCCATGAAGCGAGCAGCGGCTAGACCCCTAGATTCAACTTTATCCAACCCTAGTTCATCCGAAACAAAAAAACTCGCTTCCGCCAGACGCTAAGTCGGTGGAAACCAGGAGCGTCACGGGAAGACTTCTCTTCCATAACGCAGGCAGGGAAAGCATCATAAAACTGCCCATGCTGCTTTCCCAACGCTGGAGCCGCACCCGCTGTCGTTGCTAATGTATAAAGCAGCAATTCGTTTCCGCAGGTGCCTCCTTTTCTGAAGACATAAGCCAGAAATGCTAAACAAGCGTTGCGCACGCGCTAGCGATTGCACCCAAAGATTCCTGCTGTTCCTAGCATCAGTGTCCCTGCCAGGCATATGCATCTGATTGTTCCTTGCAGATGGCGTCGCTGTAGATATAGATAAACTGAGCAGTTTCCCCGAAATCCACGGAGCGGTACGCCACGGCGACTCCACAGTCGCGACACTTCAGTCTGCGCATTGGCAGTACATAGCGCATGCATAGAAACACGTCCTAGTGTTGCTGCTGTCTGCCGAATCAACTGCCGCTGATATCACGCAGCGCAGCTCCGGCCACATCGAGGAGCATCCAAAACGTATTGCAGCGTCTAAAGAAGCAGGGGGAACAAGAAACGCAAAGGGCGTAGCAGCACTTGCTGCACGATCAGTATCGGCAGAAGCTCACTGGTATTGAACCTCGAAACCTGTGGGCCTCCTCAGAATCACGCGTTTGCCCGGTACAACGTACAACTTGTGAAACACCTCAGTAGCCTGCAACCGCGCATAAGAGGCGACACCCCAAGATACTCTGACGTCTGCATTATTGTGGGCATGACGGTAAACGCTGGCTGCCTGGGCTGCAGCAGGTTCTCACAAGCTTAGGCCCTTCTAACCCCCTTTCGCATCGAATAGCCATAAAGCGCCTGCATCTGTCAGTGCCCGCAAGCCTCTTTCACGCGGCAGATCCACTCCTTAATCCCCAAGGGACAGGCTCAAAGTGCTGCCGGTACAAGTTGAAAGTCTCGAGCTTGCAGTGTTATCGATCTATCTGTCTATATCTGCACACTTGCAATACGTAGGCAGAGTCGGTGCCCCTTCTGGGCATGTCGTCAATCGAGACCTCAGAGACGCATGCGTTTGCACCACAGCAGCTGCAGTAAAACGTGCGGAGCTTTTTTTCCGTGGTATGTTGTAGAGCGCTATCTTCTGAGCTGTAGTTGAGGAACTGGACGCACAATTCGCAAAATAACGAAGGACACATGCACACATACATTTTCAAACATACACACGCACGCATGTATGTGCACTGAAGTTTTGAAGGGAAAACAGACTGAGAAGTACTTGTTATTCTCTGTAAAGGGCCCCCTTTCCGCCCCCCCTCCCCCTCTCCAGCAGCAGTAACAAGTTCATATAGCGCAGTGTATAGCAGAAACAGCGTCGCACCCGGTAGCGGCGCAGGTGACCCTCATCCCTCAGGGCTTGTTGCTCATCCAAGTTGCGTCGACGAATATCTGCCAAAGTGAGTCCCTTGTTGCGTTGCTGTTGCTGTTGCACTGCGTAAGGAGACGGAACCACTGGAGTTCCCCTAGCAGCTGCAGCAGCCGCAGCGGCAGTTTCTGGGGTAATCGGGGTGTTGGGTGTAAAGCGATTTCCGGTGCCATAGTGAATTAGGGTCGCTTCTTCCCTGTCCGACGATGGGGTCGCCATCTTAAGAGTATCCTATTGGCGACTGCTCCAGCTGACAATGCTGCTCCTGATACTGCTGTGTTTCGCAAGGGTTATTCCTGGAACGCCGTTGGATGACTTTCTTATGCTGACGCCGATCTACATGGGGCACCTATGGTGCCAAGGAAAACTGCTCAGAACCGCTGCTGAGGCTCTGCTACAGGTACTGCCCCTGTAGTTCCTTTGGCGCGTTGAAGATGGCTGATGCGTGCGCCATCAAAAGGGAGTGCACTCCAGGCTGCAACAACGATGGAGAGGGACCTCAAAGGAGGCTTCGGGAATGAGGGAGGCCGGGGAAAAAGAGAACACTGCGGATTCTTGCACTTCTACAGAAAAGCATGCGCCATCTATCATCTTCCCAGAGTCTAAGGTGCTGCATAACTGGTGCATGGTGACGAATAGAATAGACGCTAACGCAGGACCCTGCATGCAGTGGCAAGAGCAGCCGCCCCCGTCTACACCACCCGGTCAGTTGCACATCCACTCCTGCTTCATTGTTCGCAGACTCGGAATATGTCTTCCTGTCTCGATTATATACGAAGCTCACTTCTTTTTGTATTCTAGTCTCATCCTGTCTTCCACCCGTCTGGCCTGTAGTACTCTCTACCTCACCCTCCTAAGGATGCCATCGCCACAGCCGCCCGAACTTCGTACCCTAAATGGACAGAAAATAAGTTCAGAAACCCTACGCCTCCCAAAATGGACGTGGCCGTATTTCCGTGCAGGCGGAGCCTATACGCAGTGGCCCCTCCCCGTCTCTGACTATTCAGGAGGGCGCACGCGCGTAGCCGATTCTGCTGCCGGCGGAGCAGCACTGAACGGGGGAGAAAACTGCGGAGGAGATACCAAGGCAGAGGAAAGGAATGATCTGCAGCATTTTAGTGCTGACAGCGCGAGTCTGGTCAGCACCGCAACAGGACCTGAGGACGGGGTGTACAGGCACCTTCTACATGACATGCTATTGCAACCCGGCGCGGTTGAGGAGCTGTTGTACTTCGTCTCCGAATGCAAATGTCACTTAGTGGTTATCTGCAGTGTAGGGAGGCTCGTGTGCGGTCATAAGGGTATCGTACACGGGGGGTTCACAGCAACTTTGCTAGATAACTCACTTGGCGTTCTGGGCCATGCACAGTACAACAGGGCCGCCACAAAGAATCTCTCAGTGAAGTATCTGAGACCCTTTGTGGCCGACAGCACAGTCCTTTTGGATGCGTATATCAAAGATATCAACCCGCACGTCTGCACTATTGCAGGAACTCTTTTGGGACCGATACCACCTCAGTTCGCATCGAACTTCCCCCCGCAGCAGCAACAACAGCAACAACAGCAAGAGAAGCAGAACGGGCTCGAAACTTTGCCGCCGCGGGATGAGGGCCTGTGGGTAGTTGCCGCTGTTTCGGGAGAAATGGTGGATGTAACGAGGCAGTGGAAGGGTCTGTAACCTACATTTAGCTGTGCACTCTCTTCCTCCCCATTTCTTGAAAGGAACCCCTTGGATCCATGCCCAGCGAATGTAGTGTACAATTTTCTTCCTGTAGGATGTGCGTTTTGCTTTCGTCATCAGTTTATAGGGCTCGATGCATTATGGTGGCCACTCCCTGGGGGTCTGAAGGCCTCCGAACTGATTCCCGCCATCAGTGTTTTTTTAGATGCAAGCTAGAGCCTAGTTTCCGCTAATGCGCTGTGGCCGCCCGCACATGACCTCTGACGACGCCTTCGTGTTTTATAGCGCTGGTGCCACTGGCTCCTGCTGTGCGAAGGACTAGCTGCACCAGCTCCGGCTGTATTAGAGCTCGAGCTTAACTGCCGTGCGCTCTGTTGCTGCAATGAAACCCAGAAGAAACGATCCCACGATTTACCGTTCAATGTTGCAGAGCCTTGGATTAGATTCCGAAGTAGCGCTTACCCGGTGACCTTTCCCGCGTAAAGACGCACTGTGCGGTCCGCAGCCAGTCATGCGCTGCGGCGTGCCTTTAACGCGATTGTGAGGGCCTCCTCCCACCTCTAGGATAGTTTCCCTAGCCTTGCCGCCACTGGGAATGCGGACTTGGGGAGAACCCTCGTAGCGAAGCTCCCCTCTACACTTGTTTTAGGAGTAATTTTAGCGAAACTCCCCTCTACACTTGTTTTAGGAGGATAGTTCCAACTGCCGGGTTGTTGTGTCCCGAACGGAGAAGCCACGGCTGCAGCACGGTGAGGCGTCTGTCTCTGAGGCACACCAGAGGAGGCAGCGAGAGAGAGGCTTCGTGTTTACATAGAGGGGAGACTAGGGGATGGTGGAGGGCTGGGGAGGGGAGTCGCTGCTCTGCCCACTGTTCGAGAAGTATACAGTCGAGTTTGGCTTGTTTGAGTAGTTGGCTGGAACTGGTGCAGCTTCATTTGAAGAAAGGACAAACAGCAATACCGGAAGGGCTGTACCCCGCAGCAGCATTATGGGTGGTACTAGCAACAGCGTAAGGGGTGGGAGACGCACGCAATGTGTATCGGGGCATAGGCAACCAATTCGTCAGAGGGGGGCCCCTGGGGGCCCCTTCGAACTACGCCAATCAGAATTTCACTCCCCTGCGCAAGCGAAGAGGGCCGCAAGCAGAGAGAAAGATACATGACGAAGAGTCATGTGGGCGGTCCTATGCAGTCCGTAGCCCGTGGCCCTCTCTGCACGATTCTAAGGGTATGGGTGTAGAGAAGCAAAGAGCTGAGGGAAGCAGGGTTTGTATTCAGGAAAGCGGCAGCAAGCAATAGGAAGGCAGTAAGACGCTAAGGCACTCAGCAAGTGGGCCCTCAGGGCCGTGCTGTTGCGCCTGCCAACCTTATGGTGTGGGCATATACAACCCCGTAGTCAGGAGCAGCACAAAGATTGCAAAAAAGCACAACAGCTAGCTTTGGGGAGAAACGGTACAACCGGTACAGGCACAGAGGCACAGACGGAGGCAACTGCTTGCACGCGTGTGCATGTATAAATCCATACCTACACATAGATACACATATATGTATGTATATGCATGCAAATTGATAGACACGTGCTACCAGGCCTACTGCGGCAAATGGCAGGGGGCAGGAGAGGGTCTGATGGATCATCAAGGAGCCGAGACCGCTGTCCAGCACAGCCGGTGCAGCGCTGCGGCTGTTGCTGGTTTCAGCAGATAGCAGCATTGTTGCGGCTGTCCGCATCTCGTCACCTTCCCGTTGCAGCAACAGCTGCTGCTGCTGTTGCACTGCAGCAAGGCGAATCTCCAGCGGCCGGTTCCGCAAGCCAGCGCTCTCCATATCAGCAACGGAGTGTACGTACACCCGAAGGTGGCAGTTCTCCCTCTCTGAAGGAAGGCTGTTTATCAGTGTGGCCCCATCTGCTGCCACTGAGGAGGCAGCCAGGGAGGCTATGGAGCAGATGGTGCCGCGTCTTAGATAAGAGGCCCTTCCCCGATATTCCTCTTCGAAAGCCCCTCCCTGCATGCGTCCTGTGGCGTTCAACTCCGCCGAGGGTCTCAAAGAAGGCCCTCTTGCCTCTCCGTGCCTCTCATGCAACTCTCTAGGGTGCGTCCAAAGGCTTTTAGGACGACTTTCTGCTGCTGCCGCATCGTCGACTCTAAGGTCGGCTGGCGAAGGGCAGTATACCAGTCTACAGGAGGCTTTTAAGAAGCCTTTGGGGGCCTCGGCCTCTGCGCCGCTGGCGGCTATTCTCTGTCTCACAAGAGACACCCGCCTATGGTGCTGGCACACCAGGCTTGCTGCATGCGTCTCCTCTGGTGTACTGGGAGCTGCTGCTCTCCCGTCTGAGAGGACGGATCACGCAGCAGCAAGAGCAGCAAGGGGGCTGTGCAGCTGTAAGAGCTGGACGGCTAGCACCGGCGACGACAGCAACGCTACCACACGCGGCGGCTGCAGCTTGCGTGTGCTCTACACTTACACCCCCCGGAAACCCCTTCATAAGAGGATTACCGCTTTTCTAGGGGCTCAATCTGAAGCTCTGCTATACCAGCTGCGGACATCTGCTGGCTGCCGGCTGCTCCTACGGGTGGCACTGTGGCGCGAATTTCACTCACGGCAAAGAAAGGGAACTTCATGGGGGGATACTGGAGAAGCAAAGAGAAGGCAGAGGGACGGGGCGGTCCCGGCACCGTGCAGCAAGCGGCTTCTACAACAGCGTCACAAAGAAATATTGGCTTCGAGCATCAATGTCGAAGTGATACAGTTCGAGAGGGGAAGGGCGGCAGAAGAACGCACACAGACACATCTACACACATACATATGTGCATGCCTACATACATACTTGCATACACTCATACATTTACATGCATATACATACCTACACGCATACGCATGTACATGCATATAAGCCTACATATACTTGCATTCATACATACGTAATACAGTCATACATAATGCATACATACATAATACATTCATACATATATTCATACATACACACACATAAGTACAGTGAAAACACTGGCTTGCAAAGAGATAAAAGGATAGGCTGCCAGCAGGACAGGCAATCAGAGGAACCCAATGGGGCATGTGGAGAGATACAAAGGTCTCGAGTGCCGCCGACAGAACGCCATAGTCCAATACACACACTGCTGGCATGTATCTATTAGCATGCCACGCTCTTGAAGCGGTCTCTTAGGGGCTTACGGCAATACCGCCTGCTGCACCGAGAGAGCATCAGACAGCAGAGTCAGGTACGACTTCTTCGAATACGGGTCCTTATTAAGGGCTTTTATCAGCAGAGCTGTCAGCATGCCTGTACAAAAAGCGATTGCCGCACATAAAAAGGGAGCAGGGCCTCTAGCAGCGGCGGAGCGGCACGAATCATCCCAAGGCGCTAGCCAGAGCTACACGCTGTACCCAGGCAGTGCGGCAAGGCAGGAAGGAAATGTGGCGATGGGCTTGCTATACCTCTTCCCTCCTTGCCTTTCCCTGCCAGCTCTCGGGCTTCAGCATCTCCAAGAGAGATACAAAAGCGGGCACAGTCTCGGCGCTGCGAATTAATTCGAGGCATCAACACGGGTTCAAAGCAGAGAGTGCCGGGAAAATCGTGTGTCAGAGGAAGTAGAAGCAGTGACGAAGATAGATGAAGAGCGAGCTGAGGGGAGGGGAGTGCTGGCTTAGAGATAGCCTCGGCGTCAGCGGAGACGCAGTTGGAGGCAAAGGAGAACACCTAAAGATGTGTCTCAACCAGCAGCAAGAACTACAGCCAACAGGCCGCCTCGAGTGTATCGAGGCTACAACGGGGGGCATAAGGGGTGCATCTGCCGCTGCTAGGACCAGGCAGCCTCCCGTGTGTGCAGCTAGCGTGAGGCGTACATGAGACAGGGCGAGTATTTCCTGCTCCTGCCGGCGTTGCTGCAGCTGGTGTTGCATGGCAGATACGCGGAAGATGCCCGCAAACTTGCCAGCTCTTAAGCCTCTCAGCAGCTGCTGCTGCTTCGCAAACACCCACGGAAAGGGGTCTGCCGGCGAGGGGCAGTCAAAGCTGACACCTGAGGTAGGCAGAAGTAAGCCCGTATCGCCGTCCGCATTCGCGCAGCACTTCTCCGACTCTCTTTAAACACCAGCAGGAAGAAAGGCAGCGGCAATGCAGCACGAGCAGCAGGAGGATTAGCACTAAAAGTGCTGCAGAGAGACTCTTACACAGCCTGTCCCGTTTCAAGACCGATACAAAGTTTCCTAGCGGGAGTAAGCGACAGCCGAGGGCGCAGTCCATCACCGCACAGAATTGCACACCTAATCCAGACAGGGGATAAGAGCAATCGCAACAGTAGTAGCCTTCCTTCTTAGGAGGGCGCCCGCACACAGCACCGCTTTCGCGGCATAGGCATCTGCAGGGGCAGCTGTTGGGGCAGAAGGAACCTACAGCTTCCCCCTTCACACTATTTGCAACGAAGCTAAAACAGGGCGGATGCAGCCGAGCATCAGCAGCAAGAGCTCCTCAACAGACACACTGTCGAGACACACCGTCTGGCAAGCTATTTATGAGCGCAAGGAGGGACCCCGAATCTACGAACTGAGTCACTCTCCAATCTCTGAAGTCTGCGGGCAGCAGCGCCAAGCTGTACGGCTGCAGAAACGCCAACCGCATCCTCAGTAGCATAAGCAACAACACCAGCAACACCAGCTGCAGCAGCAAGCGAGCGCCTGTGCAAATGTCATCTTTGCAAAACTCGCACAGCGGCCCCTTCGATCTCCAGATAAGGCTAAAAGCTACTGAGAATGACGGGAGAGGGGATCTAAGCAGGGAACGTCATACGGCAGAAGGGCTTTCAGGCTGCTCTGTCGCAAGCAGTGCGCAGCTGCATCCCGAGAAAACAAACAGCAGCACGTCTCCCGGCACAGCACCCTGCACCAGCCACTCGAGGCCTTGCTTAGAAACCGCAGCAGCACGACACAAGCATTAAAGAGGAGCATCAGCGAACAACTGTCTGAACGACTGCGGCAAGC